TTCCATGTGAATCTAACAGAGCTTTTGACTGACAACTTGTGCTACTAAATCAACTTCGCTTTTGACCCTAAACGCGGTTCTTACAATGGAAAATGCCGTGTCTACACTTGTACTAATGGATGACAGTGATTACTATAAATTTGAAGAGAAGGAAAGACAATGATGGATGAACATATTGGTCCTCCAGCATAGACTTGAGATGGTTTTGGCCTCACAATTAATCTAACAAAGCATTTTGATTGCTGGATATATATAAGCATGATATGAACATTCTGATCTAAGACAAAAGCTAGTGAGTTCACTAATTGCTGATGTTTTGTTGATTGAGAATGGGGAGATGAGGGTTTATGTCTTAATATATTCTTAATAAATAAGACGAGAGAAAGTTCTCCCATTACGTGGGTCAAGCTCACTGAGTTTTCACTTTACACCAGTAATTAAATAAAGTAGTTAGATCGGAGTAATGGAAAATTATTCCCCTCCTTAAGCCTCATTCATGAGCCACTGACCTGCCTAATCCTAACTCCCCACCATTCCCGGTTCCAGAGAAAACGTTTTGAGCTTCAAGGCTTCAAGGCTTCAAGTAAGGGCTGACCAGTGACCATTGGTACTAGACTACAAAACAGGCAAACTGTGCCCAGAGTTTCGGGCTTTCAAGCCCTTTAGTTTTGGACCTATTACTTAGTAATTCATTCGTTGTTTAGTTATTATTTCTGCGGTAGGGTCAAATTTTACTTGGGTTTTTATAAGAGGATGTTTCAGTCCATAACATGGTGGGTGGTGGCCCGACGATGAGAGTTTGAGCAGGCTTCGGCCTAGGCCAATCTGATCATGGAATTTGATTGATGAAACCTTAATCAAACTGACAACATAATCAAGCGTTTCTTAGCAGTGGGGCATATATCCAAAAGAGTCAACTCCATTTCCATGGGTCCAGGACTCTAGGCAAACAAGGACAAACCTATCTGATTCATTCCCAAAAGATGTGAAAAAAAACGTCCATAGGCACAATTCAAGTCACAAGGGAACACAACAGAGAAAGAAAAACAAAGGATCCTGCTATTGGAATTTCATTATCAGAGCTTTAGGGTACATCATACCCTCTGCAAATATTCTCTACGATGATTAATTTCAAGTCCTAATTCTTCTCACTGATCTTGCAGCTCTCTCTTCAAGAATATAACATGCGCTACATAAAACTCACCTATCCATCAACTGATACGATCCTAGAAAAATGATCCAAGCTCGTTCTGAAAAACAAAATTGGGCGTAAAAAAGTGTTACTATTACCCACCTAATGGCCCTATATATTCTAAGAATACCAATATATAGGTAACCATACATGATCGGAAATGAAAATAAGGGCTGGATATATGCTACTACCAAAAACATCTCAACAGGCTGATGAGGAAGTGGAACAAGTAGTTTTCTCGATCGAGCAATTCGCGTCGAACCAATCTTTCTAAGTTGAGGTTTCGCGGTAGAAGATCGCTGTAATAAAGCAACGTTGTGAAAGAGGCTGCTGGATGAACCACTAGCGCTGTTACTAGCCTTGCTAGTGTGCGGACCATAAGCGGCATGAGAGACTGCGAAAATATCACCAACATTATCAAGAGTAGGCTTCAATCAATGGCAGAAGACAATACTACATTTATCATTGCAGTTTTAAGAAAAGTCCCACAAAACTTGGGTACAAAAATGGAGAGAAAAAAATGAAACAATGCGAGGGAGAGTGCATACCATGATTTACTCTGACCAACAATCGATATTTGATCTAATGATTTTTACCCTTCTGAAAATTACCAATCAGGAAGATTAGTTGATTGAAGAGAAATTTGTGGAAATGGAATGAATCCAGGAGGTGAGGAGCAGAGACAGGGTTGGTTGATAAGCAACTGGATTCTTTCAAAATTTTCCTAGCTGCCAATCTTCAGCTGATGTTCATACCTACCCTTCTCTCAGAGTCAACCCCTGCAAAACTGTTAAAGTTGCTGATACAACGACTGAGAAACCAACACCAATGAATTTATTAGAAGCCCGAATTGGGTTAGTCATCAACCCCGCTAAATCCTTAGCAAGTAACAACAAATGACAGAGGCCTCGATGTTTATGTATATGTCTTTTGCTAGTGTACCTTATCGATTTCCTACACAAAAAATTAACTGATTTGACATTCTTATCGAGGTGCCTGTATAAAACTCATAATTCAGGAATATGATCAAACAACCCTTAAACAGGGGGCTAACACATGGTTTTAATTCTTAGAGAATCTTTGGTTTTTTTTTTTTCTGTAGATTTGCTTTTATTTCTTGTTTTAAGTTCGAGGAATAATAGGAGTGTGTGACTTGCTTTGTTTTACCCTTTCATTGAAGTGGCTATATTTAGTGAATAACCATTTTAACTTTTAAGTTGATATTGTTTAAAAAAGATTCTTGATCCAAAGTAAATGTTGATCACTACCTCTTATAGAATTAATTTTAAATTTATTTATTTCATATTTAATTTATATAAAATATAAAAAATTTTATATCAAATAAAATAAATTTCTTTTATTTTTTAAACTCATTTAATTTTTGTAAAAATTTTAAATTATATTATATTTATTTTTTTCATATCATATAATTATATCGTATTTAAAATTATCAAATTTAATTAATTCAAGTAATAATCTAAATTTTTATACAAATTGCACGCTTTAAACAAATCTCAATTACATGGATAGAATATCGCTACATATTAATATTATTAGGTTGGCCATTACGGTTAAGGGTTTAAAAAATGTGAGGATTTACAAACGGAGCCCATGGTTTTCTGGAGTCCAATTTTTAAAAGGAGGGGGTTGATTGTTTTAATAATGTTTTTAGGAATGTTAGGGACACGCAGATACTTTCAGGCACTTGAGTAATTAAACTGCCACGTTGTCTCATGTTTCAAAATAGAGATCGATAACTTTCAATAACCGGTTATTCAACTTCCAAGGCGTCTTTACTTATTTATTAATAAAAAATAGTTCTGTACTTGACAGATGATGTTGCTTGCACAGAAAAAGCTGTCTTGTATGCGTAGAAGAAATAGGTAAAGCATCATGAATTCATGTTTTATTGAATTCTTTTTCTTTCTAATCGATTCAGTATAAATTCAAGTTTGCTTCTTTTTTTTTTCTTTTATTTTGATTCACTTGGCAATCTGTCAAGTTTATTTTTACTTTTATACTCATAATTTGGTTTAACTCTTTTTTAAATGGTCTTTTACTTCTAAAATTCAAAATGCTTGGTTCCTTCTAAAAGCAATTAAACCAATAAAGCGCTGGAAATGAAATTTTTATGGTGCCATGGCTGTGTCGTCGGAGATGGACAAGGCATGAGCTAATGAAGCTGCGATGGCTCCAGTCAAGCACCATAGTTCTTCCTGATTTGGCCTATTAGAGCTTTCAGTCTCGACTTTAAAAGATGAAGAAACGTGGCACTTTATATGCTCAAAGTCTCCAAAAACGTTTGTGGGAGGACTGCCCTTAGCATTCCTCATGTTTTTTAATCTCGAGTGCTCTGCATATCTCCTTTGAATATATATAACTTTGTACTCTATGTTCACTTCTTTTTTATTTGATAAAGAAGAATAATAAATAACTGGTATCTTAAGTAAACAGAAGAAAAACAATCAATACCATAAATTCTGTTTCTTTAGGCTCCGTTTGCTTATATATATTTTTGCTATTTAGTTTTTATTTTACAAAAAATAATAAAATACAAAGAGTAAAAAATAATAAATAGCAAAAAGCATATAATAAGGGAAGTTGAGTGTTGTGAGAATCCAAGGCAAAACAATGGGAATTGTCCTGGCTGGCGTTAGAGTCGAGATTTCCTTTTGGATATCACACAACTCGCCCCGTATGATTGTCATCATTCTCCACAAGAGGCATGGGGTATTCGATTATTCCTACTTTAACAGAAAGGATTGTTCTTAACTCTACAGTACTGCAAAGTAATGGCATTCATAATTTTTGTTAACAATTTCTACTTACAATTCATGGAAAGTGAACTCCAGGAAAGCGAATTCCGGGCTGGTACTATTAAGTGAATCTCCGGTAGCAGACCAGAAAGTCAAAAGAATGATAGTGGAAATGAACTGCGTATCTTCAGCTTTTACAAGGAGTCTGTTCTGGGTGACTTACCCCTGGTCGAGACTTTCAGCAAGTTCAGGACAAGGTCTTGTAGAATTCGAGAATCAAGCATACTAATCATGTAAAGCTCCTTGTCCATGGTTTCTGCATTCAAGAAGATGAGGAAATATCATTATTCTATGATTACATGCCAAACAAAAGCTTGTACTCCTTTCTTTTTGGTAAGCCATCCTAAGCACTTGGCCAATCCTTCAACTTGACAACTGATGGAGTTTATGCTTTGCTAAACTATGCGCTCCATGTGTTATATAACGTGCATAAAATGCAAAGAAGAAGGTCTGCCTGTGGCTATAAATTTCTGAGAAAACTAACACTTCCTACTAAATATATAACTATATAATCTATTAACAATATTTTATTAATAAAATTTTTCTAACTTTTAATTTATTGAATTTAATTAGGGGATTGAAAAGTGAATTTCAAGGTGGATGGACACAATTCTATTGTTAAATCTGATGATGGATTATTAAAATATTTTTATGTTCATTTATTCTATACTATAATTTCCTTTGAATGTTTTTTATACATGACAGTCACCAAGCATTATTACTTCAAATATAAATGCTTAAAAAAAAATTTGTTGGGCAAAAAAAAAATTCATAATAAAGAGTTAGAAAAAAAATAATGATATTCATTTAAGCATTTGTAAGAGAGTACTAATTAAAAATTGAAAATTGCCAAACTTTTTGAAAAAGAATTTACTTAAAAAAAAAAAAAAAAACAAGAAAAATAAAGTGTTGGGCGGAGGCGGCTTCTTATGGTTTGACGCGGCAACTAATCACGTGCAAAGCGCGTGCCAAATAACTTTCTCTATTTATACGGGCATTTTAGGAGATTCCCAATAATAGTATTCTAGGGTTAGGGCGTTTATTTTTCTGGTTCTCAGATCTCACCGAATTTCTGTCGCAAACCCTGACCCTAAAATCCCAACCATGTCGTCCAAGCAAGGTACTCTCTTTGACACATTCAAAGATCTCGACTTTGCTTATTTCGATGCTTCAAATTTCTCAGCAGAAAATTTTTTTTCGATACCTGTTATTTTCAAAGTTTTGATTTTCTTTTTGTTTTTCTCTTGGGTATTTTTTAGGTGGCAAAATGAAGCCTTTGAAGCAACCCAAATCTGATAAGAAAGAATACGACGAGGTATTATAATTATTTATATTATTTGAATCGATCTATTATGTAAAACAAAATATATATTTGCATATCGTGGGTTATATTATAATTTTTTTTTGTGTGTTTGGTTTAATTCTTTAAAATTTACGTACAGAATTGAAAGAAAATCGTTTTAACCTAATGAAATTTGTGCTAGGTATATTGTGAATTGCAGACTATTCCATCTGAGAATTCAATGGCTTTTTCAGATATTAGGGGCTAAATTATGCTGTATTTTTTAGATTAAATTATGTATATTCATGGTCTTATGCCAAGATTGTATCTTACCAAAGAATCTTGCCGGTAAAGAAATTTTATTTGGAGGCATTTTTCTAATCTCAATTTATTTGTTCTTGCACAGCATGATTTGGCTAACATTCAGAAAAAGAAGGAAGAAGAGAAGGTGAGATGTTGGTTTTGTGACTCGTGCATTTTTGTTGTTTTTCTCTTTAGTTCTTTTCTCTTTTTAAGGAGGTTTTGCGAATCATCAATCTGGTTTGATCTTTGTGATGAGCAGGCACTTAAGGAGCTGAGATCAAAGGCACAACAAAAGGGTTCATTTGGTGGTGCCGGTCTTAAGAAGAGTGGGAAGAAATGAGGGTATAAAACCCCAGATAAACAGAAACTATCGAGTCTTGTGTTGTGAGTAAAACTTATATTATGTTGACATCTTATATTTCCAGCGCGATGGCCTAGGGCATCGATTGGGATGATTTGATGATTCTCTAGTTTCAAACTGAATTTGCTATTAAATCTTGTGTGGGATGTCGTTATGTAAAACTTAATAAATTTAAGTTCTACGTTTGTGCTTTTGTCTTTGTGTTCCCATATCTCCTATAGCTGTCTTTTATAAATCTCACGAACAAGAGCCAAGAATCAGGTTAGTTGATGGAGGGAGAGGGGTAGATTTGGGGTTCAACCAGTAGCGAGAGAAGGGGTCGCTTCCTTGAATTGAATAGTTCGTTCAAAAAATTCATCTGTCTGATTGATGAGCCATAAGACATTTGCTAATGCTTGTGAGTCTGATTCCTCAAGCATGCGGGACAGTCAGTCCCTTCTTGATTGATGCTTCCTGAATTTTCATTTGACAGGTCTTCCATCTTGATTGCATAATAGGTTCTGGTTTTATGCTTGATGGGGATGATCTGATAAACTTGTTGCACGCATGAATTATCATAATACAACTCAATATTGGTTTTTCCCACGAGTATCACTCATGATTTGATACAGGGAGTGAACATTTAGCACATTAACTTTCATTTCAATCTATAAAATTAAAAAACTGTGAATAAAGGTGCTAAGGGCCCGATTGGATTCTTCTGGCCGGTGCTGTGAAGTTAGGCCAGCTTTTTGGCTCAATCGCACCATCTATCATGTTTGGATAACATGATCTGCAGCGCAATTCAATCTTTGGCCCGCGCTGAAGCTCAAGTGGTGGACTGGAAAAAAAAGGTTCGGTGGACCACCGACGATTGCATTGGACTCTTTTATCCTCATTAAAAAATTTTTACCTCCATCATACCAGATGAGTTTTTATTTGCTAAAAGCCTAACATCTGTTTCTTAATACATCCGAAATAATGTTTCATTATTTATTAAATAAAATTTTAAAGATTTTAAATGTTAAATAACATTAACATATACATAAAAATAATTTTCTAATATCGAATACAAAAGTATTATTTGATATAAAAATAAACTAATTAATTTTAAAGTTATTAACAAAAATGTTATTTGATATAAAATAATTTTAATAATTTTTAATAATTTATTAATTTAAAAAATATCAAATATATATTATAAAATTTATTATATATAAATTTTAATCTAAGATCCAAATGATCATTTTCTTTTCTAACAATATTTCATTTCATCGTGCGTTTGCATTTAAACTCGTATCTCTCCATTGATTTTATCCTCACCACTCCAATAATATGGTTTTGTTTTTGTTTTTTAAATCCTTCCAATCTATTTTTTTACCACAATATTACATGCATTCACAATAAATAACAAACCACAAAGTAAACACCGAGATTATAGAAAGAGACCAACGATTAGGAAAAATATGGCTAGTCTATAACTCGCCAGAACCATTCCAGTGGTTGTATCCCAGTTAACAGAAAGCAAGGGAAGTAAAAACAAAGCTATTAGTCGCCAAGATTGTTAGCTCCATCAGTAGATAAGCAATGTGCTCAGTGATCTTCAAGACTTTCCAACTTTCCACAAGACGCCATGTGCCATAAAGTAAACCAAGTTGAAATCCACACCAAAGGTGATATAAATATAACAAAGGCTCTACAATTCATGCTGTACCAGTGTTTCTATTGCCATAATAATGGAAAACATACACATCTCTGAAGGAAATTTTGGATGAAATCATGCCTGTCAAACTTAAGATCTGAAAAATCATACATAGGCATTCTTTAAGCAAGTTAGATATTGCCATCCTGTAACTGACATGCCACAAAAGCCTTTATACCTTGTGGTTGGAAAACCGAACAAGCTCAAAGTCCAGAATCACTATAATGACTTCATTGTCATGTAATATTGAATGCACTTCTCCAATAATATACAAGTTAGAAGAACACATCCATTGGTTACAATTACATTTAAAAATGTGCAAAACTATAAAACAGTTGTTATATCAGCATAAATCATAGGTCAAAACACAGATGAGGCAACATATTACCATTATGAATTCAAAAACCATTCAATGGAAGACAAGACAAAAGTAGCGCTTTGATGAATGATGACCTAAAGAGTAGAAGACGCACTATCACATTACACTTGAAAGATCATAGTGAGAAGGAAATGATATTTCAGATCAAATGTTGGAACTTGCAGCAAAATAGTACACCACTGTCTTGAATGAAAATCAAAACTAAGCTCAATCACATCCCTACCCTTTGGTGCAATAAAAATGAAGGGTTCCCTGCCCAACAAATTATGTGGTCTGTTCATCACATTCTAAGCATAGCTATCCTCAATCACACAGTGATAGAACTAAACATGATTTATGAAAACGTCATTATATTGTCATGCAATCAAATTGCCCATCAACCTACCAGAGACATTCATAGTCCAACATCAGGTTTCACAAATTAAAATTCTTTGTTCGAAGAGCTCCAGTTCAAACATTTGTACTGATATAACTCAGACCCAACTCCTAGAAACAAGGGAGAGTCAGCAATTATTGGTTTTGATAGCAAAATATAGCAAATTTCATTGTCTTATACAAACCTAAATCACCCACCATCAAAGAAATTTGTATATAAAAAGGATCTCTTACTAAATTATAAATTCAATGAATTTTTTCCAAGCACACCAACCTCATACAACCTTAAACAAAAACAAAATATTTCTAAAGCCTTCAAAAAGAAATTTTAAGAAGGAAGAAAACAAAGAGATTTGTAGAAAACTTACTATGGGGAAATCGACGAGGAGCGACGAGTCATTTTCTCTTCCTCCGGAGCCATGCAAACAACATGTCTCTACCGTACGCTGTAACTCGTAAGAAGATTTCGACGAAAAGAAGACGGCGGCAAGACATACAGACAGGTAAAATTGTGAGTCAGAAGTTGAAATTTCATGTAAGAGCTTCATGTTGAAGTAGAATTAGAACAGGGAAACAAAGAAGAAGAAGAAATCAGAGAGGGTTTTGTCACTGTAGCTGTTGTTAGCAACGCCGTCACTGTGTTGCGGTTGCCGCTGCCTCTCCGCTAATTTTCAATTTGTTTGTTGAATTTATTTTGACAGAAACCAACTTTGGGTTGATGGATCATGGGTAGGGGAAATGGGTTGGATTTGGGGCTTTAGAATTTAGGAGCAAAAGAAGCTTATAAACCATGATATTGGATTTTAGGGGAGCCCATGATAGAAACATGATGATCTTTTAAGAAGGAAAAAGGTTGGAATTAAAAAGATTTAGATGACGATAAATATTACAATAGATTAATTTTAAAAAATTTTAGATTGTGACAGCTGTATAAATGTAAAAAGATTTTTCTTTATTTTTTATCATTGTAAAATAATTTTTTTTATTTTTTAATAAGTTACATAATTATCAAGATATAATATAAAACTAATTAAAAAATAAAAAAAAGACACAAATATCAAAAATCGTTTCACGCCCCAACTTCCTATGCTTAACTATCCATTAGATTTGCCCAAAGGTTGAGCTTGTTTTGTTTGTTAATCAAGAAAAACCCCTGTTTATATATTTTCAGTCACAGTGTCTCCTTGGCTGTAATATATATTTTACATATCTATATATATATATATATATATATATATATTTAATATTAAATCACCATAATCTGTCGATAAAATATTAAATTATTAATTTCAAAAATCATAATTCAATCTTGAATTATAACAATCAATAAAACTAATGATGGTTGTTGGAAATTCATGGGTAAAATTATCAATTTTCATATCCAATAAAATTTATGAAACCCATTTAAATCAATTTATCATAACAACTTGAGTTAGTGATTAGATTTTTTTTTCCTTAAAGATCTCAACCGATTTATCATTACAACTTGAGTTATCTTTTTCTTTTTTTCTCAAAGAATTATTATCAAAATGAATGCATCATTTCCAATTTCCATTTCCAATAAAATCTACGAAACCCATCTCAATCAATTTATCAAAAAACTACTAAGTGGATTTTTTAGTTGAGTTTACCGATCAGAGTAAAAAGAGATTTTCACCTAAATATATAATAGATAAGTCAAGGTTACTCACATTAATTCTATCTATTTAACAACGTCATAGATTAAAATTGTACGGAATTCAATTACATTAGTGCAAAATTAAAAGTTTGTTACACTTTTTTTAACCTTTAAATCTTAATAAAATGAAGGCCAGGTTCCACTATTAAAAATTTTACACTTTTTTTTTTAAAATATTTGAATCATACAAAATTTTAAAAGGCTGGAGTTTGGCCAAAATTTAAGTGCTAATGAACCACACCTGTAATTAAAATAAATTAATTGGCAAAGAAATTGGACTCAATCTCAACTCACCACATACCCACTTGATTTGGCTAAGCACAAATATTTAATTATGAATGTAAAAGTGCATAACTTATGATTAAATAAAAAAAAAAAAAAAGCGTGATTGTAGAACTTTCGTATGAGTCCTAGGTGTGATTGTAATATATATATATATATATATATATATATATAGAGAGAGAGAGAGAGAGAGAGAGAGAGAGAGAGAGAGGCAATGAACGTTCTTTTAAAAAAAAAGCAATTAACGTTTCTTCCATGCTAAACGAAAATCAGTAGCCAGGCTAGTGACACCTTCCTGGTAACTTCACCTAATGTTCAACTTTCAAACCGCGTATCAAGTACTGTCGAAAAACATAATAAGTCATTGAACAGAAAAGTGAAACTTGAAACAATACGAGAATTAAATTTCCTGGCACTGTCAAAGAATAAGAGCATCCAGCAGACTAGCATTTTAGCATAGAGAATCACTTACTAGCTAATTTATCCATCTCTGATTCCCCAACTTCAATCAATTAATGGCTAACAAAGCAAGAGAACTAATCTTCCTTGTCAGTCTATTCACTTACCTTTTTTTAGTCAGCTCATCGGCTCTAGAGGCAGACACATTAGCGCAAGTTCGACAGCTAAAGGATTCAGACTCAGAGCATCTGGTCTCTGCGGGGGGGACTTTCAGGTTAGGATTCTTTAGTCCCGGGACGTCCAGTAATCGGTACCTAGGAATATGGTACAACCAGCCAGCAGATGGAAGGGAAACTCAAATTACAGATAGAAAGGCTGTCTGGGTTGCCAATCGAAACGCCCCATTATATGATAAATCTGGGATCCTAATGATAGATGAAGTTGGCAATTTGAAAATTTCGCGTGGTGGAAGCAGTCCCTTTCTATTATCTTCTGCTCAAACAGATGGTAATTTGAGTGCTACGCTACTGGATTCTGGTAATTTTATACTCAAGGAGCTGAGTTCAGATGGTTCTACCAAGCAGATTTTGTGGCAAAGCTTTGATTATCCGACAGACACACTTCTTCCAGGCATGAAACTCGGAATTAACTTCAAAACTGGGCACAACTGGTCACTAACTTCCTGGATCACCAATGAAGTTCCGGCCACTGGCTCTTTTACCTTGGGCGGAGACCCTAGTGGTGCAAGCCAATTGATCATCTCGTGGCAAGGAAAGAGCTTTTGGATCAGCGGGCTTTGGAGGAACCGTAGCAAGCATTTCGATCTAGCCCCAAAATTGTCCCATGAATCTGACCACGAGTTTAGCTACACTAAAAATGAGAATGAGAGCTACTTCTCCTTTTCCGTGAATAGAAACCACACAGTGTCCAGATATATGATTGCATCTTCAGGTGAAATCCTGCAGAGGTCAATGGAAGCCCCTTTTGGGGGATGTGGCTCAAGCAACTTCGAATCTTTCTTGTTTTCACCATCATACAACCATCCAGGTTGCATGGGGAAGCACACAAAGCCAAAGTGCAGGGAAAATTCTACCATGGTACAGTCTAAGCGCGGCAAAACTTTCCCTATAGGCAAAATCAAGTTTGATGAATATTACAATCTTAGTCTTTATGATTGTGGTGCCAAGTGCTTCAACGATTGTTCTTGTATTGCATTTGCTTCTGATAACCAAAAGGCCAGTTGTGAGATCTGGAGCGAAGGATTGAGTTCCAAAAGCTACTCCCTTTCTCATAAAGAAACGCGGCAGCTTTACTTAATGGACAACTCTACCGATAGTGGTAAGGTCATTCTCGGATAATATAGCATTTCTCTCATTCTTGTCAACAATCAATATAAATCTTATTTTATACATCCAGAGTCTTTTCAGATTACACCTAATGAATTAATTATGGACCAACTATTATCACTGTGCTTTTGCAAGTCCGATAATCGAGGCATTGTACATCCATTCTCAATAAAAACTGTTCCTTCACCTGCAATTCTTTTCTTACAATCTTATAATTGTCTGATCATAATAAAAAATTATATAAAAATTCACCACTAATAACCATGTTTTGATAGAATAACTTTAAATTTTGATTGGTTAATTATAATACAATTATTGTAGATGATACCGATACTAGTTCTATCGTGGCACAAGAGGATATTTGCATCTCCAGGTCTTAGGAATCGTTGCTTGTCAATGGGCATTAGAAAGAAACAAGCTTGTAAATACTTTAAATGGTAGTAGATTATGGAACATGACAGTTTTACTTGCTTGCTAATGTAGAAGGGTGGCAGGTTCCAGGATTCATGTTATTCATGGTTCCACTGATGATTCTTTGCTTTGCCTTTATCTCAATCTTGGTTTTTCTCATAGTGAAAGAAATTATGAGACCAAAAGGTACATTTTTAAAGGCTAATTTCAATTAATCATTATTTTCTCACTATTTATCTTAATTAAAGCAAATATATTTATAGGAGATGAAGCAGGAGTAGAGATGTTATTAAATGAGCTAGGGGCTAGTGGCAGAAATAAAGAAGAAGGAAAGAAAAAACGTGAGTCGCAGTTTTTCAGCCTTGCAACAATAGCACAAGCCACTAACAACTTTGAAGTTACAAATAAACTTGGACAAGGTGGGTTTGGATCCGTTTACAAGGTATGCTCAAAAACCATTTAGCTTTCTTAGGAATTGCTGAGTACCTGTTAACTTGATACTCTGGCTAAATATTTAATTTTTTCAAGGGGAAATTACCCAATGGTCAAGAAATAGCAGTAAAAAGGCTTTCAAGCAATTCTGGGCAAGGACTGGTTGAGTTCAGAAATGAAGCTGTTTTGATTGCAAAACTGCAACACAGAAATCTTGTTAGTCTTGAAGGTTGCTGCCTTGAGAAAGAAGAAAAGATGCTAATCTACGAGTACATGCCGAATAAAAGCTTGGATTTCTTACTCTTTGGTTAGAATAAACGTTAAAAACTTTTTACGCCCATAAGTTTTGCTTCTTTCTTTGAGTAGTTGTTGATTGCATGCATCTATATATTATTCAAATGAATTATTACTTCTCTTAGATCCTCATCCGAAGAATGTCTTGGATTGGAAAACACGTTATAACATCATCCAAGGTGTTGGTCAAGGCCTTCTTTACCTTCATGAATATTCAAGATTGAGAGTAATACACAGAGATCTCAAGGCTAGTAACATATTACTTGATGATGAAATGAATCCTAAAATATCAGATTTTGGCATGGCTAGAATTTTCGGGCATCACGACTCTCAAGCAAACACAAATAGGATAGTTGGAACATAGTAAGTATATATTGCATCTACAACTAGCACATGCACTGAAAACCAAATCAAATTAGTGAGGACATAGTTTGCAGCTTCAAAAGTTTGAATTTTGTTTACTGAATACCAATGCAGTGGTTATATGTCTCCAGAGTATGCTATGGATGGCATTTACTCAACAAAGTCAGATATTTTCAGTTTCGGAGTTCTGTTGCTGGAGATTCTAAGTGGCAGGAAGAATACTAGTTTCCATCGTCTTAGTGGACCACTCAGCCTTATAGGATATGTAAGTTCAGCAAAATCTCGCATGACCTTTTTTTCGGAATAGCCTATATTCTTTTATTGTATTGCATTCAACTAAATTCTTATTTTATGATTTTTACCCAAAATATTATTCTATGATTTTTATGACGAGAAAATGTAATGAGACACACATGATCTTAACAATCCTTAAGCTCAAGACCAGCTAGCATCCTTCGCACTTGTAACTTGTAACAGTTGACATGACTTTTTTAACATGAGGAAATTGACTTTATCATGATCATATTTTAATTTAGGAGTAATATTTTCCCATTTAGCCATGATAATATAAATGCCACGTCAGCATCCACTTATGCAAAAGATGTCAGGTGGCTACGAGCTCAATAGCCCGCTGTCAATGTGACATGATCGATTGCATGCCTTGAACAGTATTTATAAGAGATCTGAAATTATTTCAGGCGTGGGAGCTGTGGAGGGAGGACAGATCTTTGGAGCTAATTGATCCATCATTAGGTGACTCATATCCGAATGATGAAGTGATGAGGTGCATACATGTGGGTCTCCTATGTGTACAAGACAACCCAGTTGATAGACCACCTATTCTAGATGCCTTATCCATGATATGCAGCGAAGGTAATCAACTAGCTGTACCCAAACGACCAGCATATCACTATGGCTGGAACAGGGAGGAGGGAGGTATAGTAGAATGTGACTCGGAGAATTTTTCACCGAATAAAGTATCAGTTACAGAGATGGAAGCCCGATAAGAAGAGCAACTTTGTTAGACCAACCAGACTCAGTTGCAGCATTCTCAGAAACTAAATAAAAAGATTATAAATGTGTTTTTGTTTTTCATAATATTGCTTGCTACGACTAGATGAATGAACTTACCCTGTATGGCCAACAAAAAAGGAAAAGAGAGGACAATCAGCTGACCCCGTAAATGATATTCCTTCGGGAACAAATTCTCAGGCATAATGGTGACTCATAGGTGACAGATGTGGTTCCATTGCTAATGATATTTCAGCTGTTGGCCTTGCACTAATGTGGCTATTTTGGTAAGGAAACACGAAAGACTAAAGAGAATTCTTCCTCTGCTTGCCATTAAAGAACAGTGGAGCTTAGACTCGTGTCTTTTTAATGTATGCTACAATTTGTTATTATATTAACACTACTTTCCTGTTAGTCAACGTTTATGGCTAGCAAAAATGGTTACTTTCAGGATATTTTGAAGTTTTGAGAAGATGATGATTCAAATGATTCAACTTGTTTTCACACCTAAAGAGCTTTTAAACGAAATTGCTAATGGCAAAAATGGTTTTTTAGGATATTTTGAAGTTTTGAGATGATGATGATGATCTAGCTCCATTTTTTACTGCTTTTGGGATGAAATGGTTTAGAACAAAATTTAACAATCCAATTAAATATACAATTTTCCAATTGTAGGGAATCTATAATTTAAATAATTTATTTTGCTTAATTTTATCTGATCAGATGTTTGTTAATTTGCCATACCTGCTAACGACCTTGATCTGCTTTAAAAAATTTTTTTATAAATTCATGCTGATGTATTTTAATGTCATTTTATTATAGTTATTTAATTCTGCATGAATTTACCATTATGTGAATAGTTTGAATTTCTCTATTTTCTAACTTGTGCAATTTTATCAACGTACATTTAATTTTAAAACAAATTTATTACTAATAATTTTAGAATAAATTCAATCAAAATGAAACAATTTAAGAATATTTCTTACTACATTAAAATTCAAAACACAATTTTAAAAAATACTTTTAATTTTAGATAAAAATGTCATGTTTTAGCATTATATTTAACAGAAATACAGTGATGAGAAAAGAAAAATCAATAAAATTTTTAAAAAAATAGACGTTAGCTTCATGAATGTTTTCTTCATGCCATCTTTTTTTTTTTCCTTTTCTTTTTCTTAATTATAGAAAATTTTCTATCGAATATTTTATAAACATTTCTCGATTGTTACGTTTGATCAAATTCATTTGAAAATCAGAAATATTGAGATAAATTTGCTCCAAAATTAAAAGTATAATAATAAAATAGCATCGATTGACAAATGAGGCATAATTTTGAAACATTCATTTTTTTTTTTGGTCAATAGTCAGTCATTATTGGTTTTGGTAGCAAAATTTAGCAAATTTCATTTTCTTAAACAAACCCAAATCAACCACAATCAAATAAATTTTTATATAAAAAAAAGGGTCTCTTACTAAAGAATATAAATTAAATGAAATTTTTCCAAGCACACCAATCTCATACAACCTTAAACAAAAGCAAAATATTTCTCAGCCTTCAAAAAAAATAATTTAAAGAAGGAAGGAAACGAAGAGATTTGTAAAAGACTTACTATGGGGAAATCGAGAGGGAAGCGATGAGTCATTTTCCCTTCCTCGGGAACCATGCAAACTACATGTCTCTTCCGTACGCTGCATCTCGTTAGAAGGTTTCGACGAAAAGAACGCGGTGGCAAGACATACAGACAGGTAAAATTGAGAGTCAGAAGTTGAAATTTAATGTAAGAGCTTGATGTTGAAGTAGAATTAGAACAGGGACACGAAGAAAAAGAAGAAGAAGAAGAAGAAGAAATCAAAGAGGGTTTTGTCATTGTAGCTGTTGTTAGAAACGCCATCACTGTGTTGCGGTTGCCGCTGCCTCTCCTCTATTTTACTCTGCTGAATTTATTTTGAAAGAAACCGAGTCTGGTTTGATGGATCATGGGTTAGATTTGAGGCTTTAGAATTTAGGCTCAACAAGAAGCCTATAGACCATGATATTGGATTGTGAGGGAGCCCATGATAGAAACGTGATGATCTGTTTAGAAGGAAAAAGGTTGGAATTAAACAGATTTTGGTGGACGATAAACATTGTTTGGTTAGTCAACACTACTGTGATTTGTTAATAAAAGAATATTAATTTTTTGTTTTAATAATCAATATTTAATTAATTTCAAAAAATTTTAGATTATAACAGCTGTTTAATATGTAAAAAGACTTTTTTACCTTTTATCATTGTAAAATAAATTTTTTACCTTTTAATCAGCATAAGTTACATAATAATCAAGATATAATGTAAAATTAATTAAAAAATATAAAGAAAAAAAACACAAATATCAAAAATATTTTCACGCCCTAACTTCCCATGCTAACTATGCCCAGAGGCTGAGCTTGTTTATTAATCAAGGAAAACCTCTGTTTATATATTTTAAGTCACCATGTCTCCTTGGTTGTAAAAGTCATTCATACTCAACTTTTATGTAAATTTCATAATTATTTTAACTCTTTATAATAATTGACTGAAATAAATTTATTTTTATTATATAGTAATTTATTATTATCACAAAACATTTGATTAATCCTTGTTACACTAAACCACTAAAATTATCCTTAGTTGGACATATAATTTATTTGAAACTCATTGATTATGTAAATTTCAAAATTATTTTAACTCTTTATAAATAATTAAATGGAATAAATTTCTTTTTTTATATTATTGTTTATTTAAATATAATAGTAATATTATTAAACATTATATACTTCTTTTAACATTAAATCATTGTGATTTGTTAGTAAAATATTAAATTATTAATTTCAAAAATCATGATTCAAATTTTTTATGCTGATAATTTCTTAAACTAACTATGTTTATTGAAAATCAAAGCGTAGTATTATCAATTTTCACATCTAATAAAAATTATGAAACCTAGCTAAATCAATTGATCATGACAACTTGAGTTACTAATTAGATTTCTTCTTCAAAGATCTCAACCAATTTATCAATACAACTTGAGTTACTAATTTGATTTTTTTTTTTTCTCAAAGAATTATAATCAAAATGAATGCATCACCAATTTCCATTTCCAAAATAAATCTATGAAACCCACCTCAATAAAATTATCAAAACGAGCTACTAAGTGGATTTCTTTGTTGAGTTTACTGAACAAAGTAAAAAGAGATTTTCACCAAAGTAATAGATTAAGTCTATCTATCTAACTTCATCATACATTAACAGTGTAAGGGATTTAATTACATTAGTGTTAATTAAAGGCTTCATACATTTTTTTTTTAACTTTTAAATCTTAATAAAATGAAAGCCAGGATCCACTATTAAACATTTTACACTTTTTTTTTAAATATTTGAATCTTAGAAACAATAGAAGGCTAGAGTTTGGCCACAATTAAAGTGCTAGAACTACACTCGTAATTAAAATAAATTAATTGGCAAAGAAATTTACTCAATCTCCAATCACCACATACCCACTTGATTTGGCTGAGCACAAATATTTAATTATGACTGGAAAAGTGCATAACTTATGATTAAACAACAAAAAGCGTGACTACGGAACTTTTGTATGAGTCTTAGGTTTGATTGTAAAATATACATTCACACACACATATATATATATATATATATTTATATACATACGAGGCAATGAACGTTTTTTCCAAAAAAAAAAAAGCAGTCATCGTTTCCTCCGTGCCAAAGGAAAATCAGTACCCAAGCTAGTGACACCTTCCTGGTAACTTCACCTAATGTTCAACTTTCAAACCGCGTATCAAGTACCTTAAAAAAAAATAATAGAACATGGAACAGAAAAGTCAAACTTGAAACAATACGAGAATAAAATTTCCTGGCACTGTCAAAGGATAAGAGCATCCAGCAGGCTAGCATTTTAGCATAGAGAATCACTTACTAGCTAATTTATCCATCTCTGATCCCCCAACTTCAATCAATTAATGGCTAACAAAGGAAGAGAACTAATCTTCCTTATCAGTCTATTCACTTACCTTTTTTTAGTCAGCTCATCGGCTCTAGAGACAGACACATTAGCGCAAGGTCGACAGCTGAAGGATTCAGACTCAGAGTATCTGGTCTCTGCTGGGGGGACTTTCAGGTTAGGATTCTTTAGTCCCGGGACGTCCAGTAATCGGTACCTAGGAATATGGTACAACCAGCAAGCAGATGGAAGGGAAACTCAAATTACAGATAGAAAGGCTGTCTGGGTTGCCAATCGAAACGCCCCATTATATGATAAATCTGGGATCCTAATGATAGATGAAGTTGGCAATTTGAAAATTTCGCATGGTGGAGGCAGTCCCTTTCTATTATCTTCTGCTCAAACAGATGGTAATTTAAGTGCTACGCTACTCGATTCTGGTAATTTTATACTCAAGGAGCTGAGTTCAGATGGTTCTACCAAGCAGATTTTGTGGCAAAGCTTTGATTATCCGACAGACACACTTCTTCCAGGCATGAAACTCGGAATTAACTTCAAAACTGGGCACAACTGGTCACTAACTTCCTGGATCAGCAATGAAGTTCCTGCCACTGGCTCTTTTACCTTGGGCGGAGACCCTAGTGGTGCAAGCCAATTGATCATCTCGTGGCAAGGAAAGAGCTTTTGGATCAGCGGGCTTTGGCGGAACCGTAGCAAGCATTTCGACCTAGCCCCAAAATTGTCCTATGAATCTGACCACGAGTTTAGCTACACTAAAAATGAGAATGAGAGCTACTTCTCCTTTTCCGTGAATAGAAACCACACAATGTCAAGATATATGATTGCATCTTCAGGTGAAGTCCTGGAGAGGTCAATGGAAGCCCCTTTTGGGGGATGTGGCTTTAGCTACTCAGAATCTCTCATGTTTTCACCATCATACAACCGTCCCGGTTGCATGGGGCAGCAAACAATGCCAGGGTGCAGGAAAGATTTTTCCATGAGACGGTTTAAGCGCAGCAAAACGTTCCCTAAAGACAAATTCAAGTATGATGAATACTACAATCTTAGTCTTTATGATTGTGGTGCCAAGTGCTTCAGGGATTGTTCTTGTATTGCATTTGCTTCTGATAACCAAACGGCCAGTTGTGAGATCTGGAGCAAAGGATTGAGCTCCAAAAGCTACTCCCTTTCTCATAAAGAAACGCGGCAGCTTTACTTAATGGACAATCCCACTAGTAAGTCATGCTCAGATTATAGCATTTCTCTCATTCTTCTAAACAATCAATATAAATCTTATTTTACACTTCCAGAGTCCTTTCAGATCACACCTAATGAATTAATTATGAGTCAATTGACACCATTCTGGACCAACTATTATCACTGTGCTTTTTGCAAGTCCGATAATTGACACATAGCACATCCCTTTTGAATAAAAATTGATCCTTCACCTGCAATTCTTTTCTTAGAATTCATCATAATAAAAAATTATATAAATATTCACCACTTATAAATGTAGACTTCATATAATATTTTGATAGTCTCTGCTTAACTTCAAATTTTGATTGGTTAATTATAATACAATTATTGTACTAACCAAAAAATTGTAATATAATTATTGTAACTGATATGCTTCCTCAAACAATAAATTACCAACACTAGTTCTACTGTTGCACGAGTATATCTGCATCTCCAGGTCTTAGGAATCGCTGCTTGTCAATGCCATTAGAAAGAAAAAAGCATGCAAATACTTTAAACGGTAGTAGATTATGGAACATGACGGTTTTACTTGCTTGTTAATGTAGAAATGTGGCTGTTTTCTAAATTCATGGTTCCACTGATTCTATGCTTCGCCTTCATCTCAATCTTGGTTTTTCTCATTGTGAAAGAACTTATTAGACCAAAAGGTAAATTTTTTAAAGGCTAATTTCAATTAATCATTATTTTCTCACTATTTATCTTAATTAAAGCAAATATATTTATAGGAGATGAAGCAGAAGTAGAGATGTTATTAAATGAGCTAGGGGCTAGCGGCAGAAATAAGGAGGAAGGAAAAAAAAAACGTGAGTTACAGTTTTTCAGCCTTGCAACAATAGCACATGCCACGAACAACTTTGCAGCTACAAATAAACTTGGACAAGGTGGGTTTGGATCCGTTTACAAGGTATGCTCAAAAACCATTTAGCTTTGTTGGGAATTGCTGAGTAGCCGTTAACTTGATACTCTGGCTAAATATTTAATTTTTTCAAGGGGAAATTACCCGATGGTCAAGAAATAGCAGTAAAGAGGCTTTCAAGCAATTCTGGGCAAGGACTGGTTGAGTTCAGAAATGAAGCTGTTTTAATAGCTAAACTGCAACACAGAAATCTTGTTAGTCTTGAAGGTTGCTGCCTTGAGAAAGAAGAAAAGATGCTAATCTACGAGTACATGCCGAATAAAAGCTTGGATTTCTTCCTCTTTGGTTAGAATAAACGTTAAAAACCTTTTACGCCCATAAGTTTTGCTTCTTTCTTTGAGTAGTTGTTGATTGCATGCATCTATTTATTATTCAAATGAATTATTACTTCTCTTAGATCCTCAACAGAAGAATGTTTTGGATTGGAAAACACGTTATAACATCATCCAAGGTGTTGGTCAAGGCCTTCTTTACCTTCACGAATATTCAAGATTGAGAGTAATACACAGAGATCTCAAGGCTAGTAACATATTACTTGATGATGAAATGAATCCTAAAATATCAGATTTTGGCATGGCTAGAATTTTTGGGCATCACGAGTCTGAAGCAAACACAAATAGGATAGTTGGAACATAGTAAGTATATATTGCATCTACAACTAGCACGTGCTCTAAAAACCAAATCAAATTAATGAGGACATAGTTTGCAGCTTCAAAAGTTTGAATTTTGTTTACTGAATACCAATGCAGTGGTTATATGTCTCCGGAGTATGCTATGGATGGCATTTACTCAACAAAATCAGATATTTTCAGTTTCGGAGTTCTGTTGCTGGAGATTCTAAGTGGCAGGAAGAATACTAGTTTCCATCGTCTTAGTGGACCACTCAGCCTTATAGGATATGTAAGTTCAGCAAAATCTAGCATGACCCTTTTTTCCATAGGGTTAAATATTAAATAAGTTCATGAACTATATCAAAATTTTCGGAATAGCCCATGTTCTTTTATTGCATTGCATTCAACTAAATCCTTATTTTATGATTTTTACCCAAATATTATGCTATGATTTTTATGACGAGAAAATGTAACGAGACACATATGATCTTAACAATCCTTAAGCTCAAGACCAGCTAGCATCCTTCGCACTTGTAACTAGTAACAGTTGACATGACTTTTTTAACGTGAGGAAATTGACTTTATAATGATAATGTTTTAATTTAGGAGTAAAATTTTCCATTTAGCCATGATAATATAAAAGTCACGTCAGCATCCACTTATGCAAAAGATGTCAGGTGGCTACGAGCTTAATAGCCCGCTGTCAATGTGACATGATCGATTGTATGCCTTGAACGGTATTTATAAGAGATCTGAAATTGTTTCAGGCATGGGAGCTATGGAGGGAGGACAGATCTTTGGAGCTGATTGATCCATCATTAGGTGACTCATATCCGAATGATGAAGCGATGAGATGCATACATGTGGGTCTCCTATGTGTACAAGACAATCCAGTTGACAGACCAGCTGTTATAGATGCCTTATCCATGATATACAGTGAAGGTAATCAACTAGCCATACCCAAAGGACTAGCATATCACTATGGCTGGAACAGGGAGGAGGCAGGTAGAGTAGAATGTGACTTGGAGAATTTTTCACCGAATGAAGTATCAATTACAGAGATGGAAGCCCGATGAGAAAGAGCAACTTTGTTAAACCAACGAGACTCAGTTGCAGCATTCTCAGAAACTAATTAAAAGATTATAAATGTGTTTCTGTCTTTCATAATATTGTTTGCTACAACGAGATGAATGAACTTACCCTGAATGGGCAGCAAAAAAAGGGAAAAGAGAGGACAATCAGCTGACCCCGTAAATGATATTCCTTAGGGAACAAATTGTCAGACATAATGGTGACTCATAGGTGACCGATGTGGTTCAACTGCTGATGATGTTTCAGCTGTTGGCCTTGCCCTAATGTGGCTGTTTTGGTAAGGAAACACGAAAGGCTGAAGATAATTCTTGCTCTGCTTGCCATTAAAGAACAGTGGAGCTTAGGCTCATGTCTTTTTAATGTATACTACAATTTGATAGTTATATTAACAGTACTTTCCTGTTTGTCAACCTTTATAGCTAGCAAAAATGGTTAGGATATTTTGAAGTTTTGAAACGATGATGATTCAAATGATACAACTTTTTTTCACACCTAAAGAGCTTTGAAAAGAAATTGCTAATAGCAAAAATGGTTTTTTTAGGATAGTTTGAAGTTTGGAGATGATGATGATCTAGCTCCATTTTTTACTGCTTTTGGGATGAAGTGGCTTAGAACAAAATTTAACAATCCAATTAAATATACAATTTTCCAATTGTAGGGAGTCTATAATTTACATAATTTATTTTGCTTAATTTTATCTGATCAGATGCTTGTTAATTTGCCATACCTGCTAACGACCTTGACCTACATTTAAATTTTTTTTTTATAAATTCATGCTGATGTATTTTAATGTCACTTTATTATAGTTATTTAATTCTGCATGAATTTAATAGTTTGAATTTCTCTATTTTCTAAGTTGTGCAATTTTATCAACGTACATTTAATTTTAAAACAAATTTATTACTAATAATTTTAGAATAAATTCAATTAAAATGAAAGAATTTAAGAATATTTCGTACTACATTAAAATTCAAAATACAATTTTAAAAAATACTTTTAATCTCAGATAAAAATGTCGTGTTTTAGCGTTATATTTAATAGAAAATACAGTGATGAGAAAAGAAAAATAAAAAAATAAAAAAAAAAAGACGTTAGCTTCATGCATATTTTGAGCAAGGAAATGAAGAAGAAGAAGAAATCGAAGAGGGTTTTGCCAGAGTAGCTGTTGTTAGCGACGCCATCACCGTATTGCGGTTGTCAATCTTTTGTCTGTCTTTTTTTTTTTTTCCCCCCTCTCTCTCTCTCTATCTTCTTTATTTTTTTTATTGAATTTATTTTCAATGGGTTGGATTTGGGCCTTTAGAGTGTAGACCCATGGTATAAACTTGATGATCAGCTAAGAAGGAAAAAGGTTGGAATTATAAAGACTTAGAGTTAGAGGACCATTAAATATTGATAGCTTTGTTAGTAGAATATTAAATTTTTAATTAATTTTAATAGTTAAGATGATATATGACAATTTTAATAAAAATTATTGTTTGGTTCTCTTGAATCTTGAATGATATTGTTGTTGGTTTAGCATTTAGGTGTTGAAGGTTATTGCAATTTTTTGCTTTGAATATTGCCAATAGAGATGGGCATTGGAATGTTGGAGTGTTTGATATTTGTGGAGGAGGGTGACAATAAGAAATTGTTAATCAAATTAAATTTTATTTGAATTATAGTAAAATATTTAATCATAATATATCATGATAATATTTATTTGGATTTATATTATCGAATGATTATTAAATTATAATAAAATATTTAATATGATATTTAAATTTAAAATTTTTTTAATATAATATTTAAATTATAAATTTATTAATTAATACAATATTTAAAAAATTATTTATGCATTATATGTTATTAATTAAAATTAATTATATTAAAAATAAATATTATATTAATTAATAAATTTATAATTCAAATATTATTTTAAAATATATCACATTAAACATTTAATTGTAATTCAAAAATCATTCCAAACATTAATCACATTTATTTTTCTTCGGTGGAAGGATTAAATAGATATTGAAATTTTACTATATTTATAATAATCAATGGGAAGTGTCTAGTCCTGTTAATGGAAGGAAAAAAAAAGTGACAATTTGAAGAAATACTTTTGCTTTATTTAATTCTTCAACAAATGATTATGAGACAAATGTTGAATAACTCCAAAAAAGTTTTGAGGAAGTTTGCCCAGTTCCAAATCATCAACTCCTTCAGGTCAGGCTCCAACGTATCCAAGAACAAAAATCCAGAACGGAAGAACTTAGAGACTTCAAGTTCAATGATAAGACTACATGCAACTTATCTCATCCCATCTTTACTTGGCATTTGGCAACATCATGATTGCTTTAAGACAGTTCCATGTAATTATCATGTGCTTTCCCACGCGGCCTGTCTCTGACGTGGCCCACTCCTGATGGTCTTTTCGGTGTGGTTGGCCTGGCCTGGCCTGGCTTCCACACCCAATCAAGAAATCTCCTTTCCTGACTGCAGCTTATGTCATCCTCCTCCGCCTAACAACACAAAACTGCATCAAATTTTCCCAAAACAAAATGTGTCAAATCACACCACTTGCAAGTTGCAACAATCCCCCACTTTTTCTCATCCTTTCCATGCAATTCCTAGTTCATTGATTATATCAAAAATCATCTGAAATCAAAGCAAAAGCACAGAATGATAGTAAAATCATTGATTGTTACCTTGTACACCGCTCAGGCAAACTGGATTTCCATGAACTAATTTTAAATTGGCCAATGGTCTATCCATTTATCAACTATATTGTTTTCAATTAGTACTACATGTACATGTACATTAGTGAAGACTTATATTAAATAAATCAAATCAGCAATCATCTGGAACATTAGCCATGGGCAAAATTTGGGTGTGTCACTCCACCACTGAGAACAATTTTCATTGGGAAATAAAAAAAGCGACTGAAAGATGGCCGAAAATAACCCAAAAGCACCAAGGGCCAAGGACACATGGGAGTTAACGTGTAGAAACGTTGTTGGGCCACGTGAAAAGCTGCTAATGGGACCTGAAAAGAGGAGTTGGCCGTTTCTTGGCTTGGACACTCCCAACAAAATAGCAACCAGTGGCATTTGTTGCGGTCCTCCTATTTTTTGTAAGAGGAAACAAAGAAGGAAAACTTGGTCTCTCTACTCTGCAGACTTCGGTTGTTGAGTCTTTTTTGTTTCTCTCTCTCTCTCTCTCTCTCTCTCTCTCTCTTTATTGGTGTTGCTTTTCTTTCCTCTTTGCAAGGGAAAGAAACTAAAAAAATTGTCCAGAAAGTGAGATACACCATTAGTATTGTCAGGTTATGATTTGTTTTCCTTTTTTACAAAGAAAAGGAGCTTGAGTTTTATCAAGTCTTAAACAGGTGGAGAGAGGAAGACAGAAAAGACTTGCTTTTTATTTCCATTTGAGTCAGACCTTTTAACGTATCTTATTTGTGTTCTTTGTGCGTTTCTTTTTTTTGTATCTCAAACTTAGATAGGCTTCAGGATCATATTAACTTAAGATCTTTTAAAGCTTTTTCTCAAGTAAGAGAGGGTAACAATCTGTTTCTAGTTTGAGCAAGGAAGGAGGAAGAAGATTCAAAGCCGTGCAAGATAAAAAGACTACAGGTGTCCTGTTCATGCTGCTTGTGTTTGTATAAAAGAAGGAAACAGAAAAGAGTTTTGGGGGTTTGGTTTTGAACAAGAAACCTTCATATTTCTGTTGTCAATGAGATTTGGAGAACAATGGATTTCTGGCCAGAGTTTCTTGCAAGTAGCTGCGGAAGAGAATTTGTGGCTGGAGGGTTTGGTGGCATTGCTGGTATCATCTCTGGTTATCCACTTGACACCCTCAGAATCCGGCAACAAAGCTCAAATTCAGGTTCTGCCCTTGGCATCCTACGCCGGATTGTCGCCACTGAAGGACCTGGTGCACTCTATCGAGGCATGGGTGCACCATTGGCATCAGTCACCTTTCAGGTTCTTTTCTCATCTGTACATTTGACTAATTATGTGTTGGTGATTCAATCAAAATTTTTTTTTCAATCTAAAGTTTTCTTTTTGTGGATCACATATTAGGTGTAATTTTTTTATGCTTTCAGTTTAAGATATCTTATTGTAGTAAAAAATTTGTTTAAAATTGCATTTAAATGGATCACATGGAGGGTTATTACAATCTTATATGGATCTAGCTGATGAAATGTTCTTAACCAAGTGAACTCATCAATCTTATTAGGTCCCCCAAAAAATCCTTCTTTTTTATGTTTGTTGAAGCTGGTGCTTTGGAAAAGTAGTAATAGACAATAGTAACGACCTCATTTTGGCTGATCAGAGATTTGTTGCTTTCACTGATGTCACTCTTTGGTAGGAATCACATTCTATTAGAAATAGGGGATGGTGGGTTGGTGACTTGGTTTTGATATTTTGCTAAAGTCATTGTCGAGGAATTTGGCCTGATACGGTGCCTATAGCTTATCAACGTTACAATTCTGATAATCTGCATTTTCTTATCCTGAAAACATTTTCCAGCTACATATCCTGGTGAAAACTATGACAGGAATTGGGTCTTATTATTATTATTATTCATTCTAAAGGGTTTTGATTTTTCTGAGACCTGACCATACCTTCTTTCCTCCAGAGCCCATAACTTGCTCTGGACCCAATATTTTAATTATAATAAGGTCGATATCATCTGATAAATGGTACCTCCTTTTCTATAAGAAAAAGAGTTGTTTTTTCGTAGACTGCTCAAACCTGTTATTATTAAGCCCAGGTTGCATGCACCGCTCTGGATGGGTGACCGATGACAATCGTGCGGGTCTTTCATAATTTTTTTTTTTGACAACTGGATCTCATTTTGATTTTGCATTGATATTAGCCAATGCGGACTGCTGACAGAAATAGTTGCGTAGTGCAGAATGCTATGGTTTTCCAGATATACGCTATTCTTTCACGAGCGTTTGATTCATCTGCTTCTACCACTGACCCCCCTTCCTACAAAGGTGTTGCTCTGGGAGGAGTTGGAACTGGGGCCCTACAGAGCATTATGCTCTCTCCTGTAGAACTTGTAAAAATCCGGCTGCAATTGCAGAAATCGGCAAGTTCTCATACAGGGCCAATTACTGTTGCTAAAAGCATACTGAAAACAGAAGGCTTAAGGGGACTATACCGGGGTTTTACCATCACTGCCCTTAGAGATGCACCTTGTCATGGCTTCTACTTTTGGACGTACGAGTATATGCGAGAACAGCTTCATCCAGGGTGCAGAAAGAGTAGCCAAGAACGCCTGACAACAATGCTGATAGCAGGAGGTTTGGCAGGGGTTGCTAGCTGGGTTTGCTGCTATCCCTTGGATGTGGTAAAGACCAGACTGCAGGCTCAGTCGCCATCCTCCCCACAAAAGTACAATGGCATCATTGATTGCCTCCACAAAAGTGTAAAACAGGATGGATATGGCGTTCTATGGCGAGGGCTAGGAACTGCTGTAGCTAGAGCTTTTGTAGTCAATGGGGCTATATTTTCTGCTTACGAGAATGCATTGAGGTGTTTAGTCAACAACGGAAACGTTCAGACAGACCACAAGCTAGAATAAACTAGACTTTACTTCAAGAGTTAAGTGTCAATAACAATTTATTTATAGCTTAGATGATCCATGTATCATATATGCCATGATTTTCAAGGATGTTTCCAAAAAGAGAAACAATCGGAAAAAAAAATCACGGTAAACTGTCTTCCCTGTCAGCAACTGAAAGGACTTCATTGCAACTTCAGGCTCCAGACTAGCATTGATCTGATCAAGCTTAAGACATTGTGTCACGAGTCAGGACCCTTGTTTAATGCATTATATATATAAACACATTCAATTCGATTTCTTCATCGAGTGTGATCAGCAAGGGCATAGCATTTCAGTTCTTCGCCTGGGCCATTCTCCAGCCCCAGCTGATCTACAGCAGTGCATATAATTGCAGTTTTTTACAGCCAAGATGGCCAAACTCGCTTAGATAAACATGGAACGGTTGAAAAATTCTGGACTTACATGCTTCCATCGCACCCTCTCTCATCATGAGTGCCAAATCAACAGGAAACAGGGTTATAGGGATACATCCAGCATATTTTCATTTTCGGCTACTAGCTAGGAAAGCACCAACCACGTTTGACAATGCGAGCATCTTGTCTTCATCCAAACTGTAAAATAGCATAAATCCAACCTGGACAAACTCTATCTTATCAATTTATCATATCCAGACATCATTTGTTATCGTCATCAAATTTGAGTTCATTCTCTTTATTGTAATCTAAACCAGTTGTTTTTAGTATTTCTAGTATCATTTGCACTTCCAAAATTATCCATCAAATACGCTCTGTCATTACAGCTTTGATTTGCTAAACTAGAGATGTATCAGCAATGCTTGGTGTCCCCGAGCGAACAAGCATGGAGCATGATTTGGCAATCTGCTTAGCCGATTCACAATTACTTGAAACCATAATGCTCCAACTCCATTAGAGACCACCGAATCAGAATGAAGCAACAAGGAAAAGAAAGTGAAGATGAGATTGTGTAAGCGTGGTTGCTTACCTTTGCGCTTTGGCCTTCTACATAAACACAGGTTAGAATATATAAGCCAGGGTCACCAGGAACAAGGAAAGAAGGTAATTTTTTTTGTGAATTCCACAATTTTCAGATAAGGTAAAAACAGGGCAAACAACAATTAAACCATAAGTATAGAGAAAGGAACTGGATAAGTACCACTTGTTAAATTCAAAAGCTTTTAAACAAGGCAGGAGTATTGCATTGGCTTGAGACCTCTTGGATCTAGCTTTAATCAGTACAAACTGAAATATGAAAGCAATCTACGTGATCTTATTTCTTAGACTGACATCCTCAACAACTCACATCCTCTAATATGAGATGTTCCCAGCATGCTAGTGCAATCTTTAGGCCTGTTAATCATGTAGATGACATTCAAACATATTTTTAAGAATGCTGATAATATGGTGCATCAATGGGTTACATGTACAATCATAAATGTGAAATAGCAATAACTTTCAAAATCGTATTCCATAATTGCAGCACCTCTATTGAATGCATCTCTTTGAAGACATTAGCATGCATCATTTGCATTGAAGAAAAAACATTGACCGGGTTATGGTAAACTATAAATGAAGCACACACAAAGGCTATGGACTAATTTACGATGGTCAGTTGCATTGCCTATAGGATCAGAATGGCATAAGGCAACTCAATGTCCTGTATGCAATAGCTGTGTAGTTTTCGTTGCTCAGAGCATGGTCCTACCATATGCAATTGTACCAGTAAGGACACAGAACTAATATTACAGGTGTGATTCTCCTCCATGTTAGCTCAGAAATGTTAATTTGCAAGAATCAAACAAAGCACAAACGAAAATACAACACACAGAACAGACATTCTATCGTGTTAGCCTACGGGAAGAGGGAACAAATGTTTAAATACAAAAAAAAAAAAATCTTCAGTCTGGCTACACTTTGGACCTGTAATCACTCGCTAGCAAATAACGACGAATCAATCTCATCGAGAACTAAGTAGTGAGAAACAAAATGTAATCGCATAAAAGAATTAGACAGACTGATTAACGGACTTATTCTAGTTCATTTCTGTATTATATCCTCCAAGAGTTCAACAAACAAAATACAAATCATAACCTTAGCAAAACTAAAACAACAACAGCAATAAGAGGAAACAAAACGGACTCATATTCTCAACAACAAACAAACAAAAAAACATACATTACTTGATCAAGCTCCTCCTTCTCCAAACTGTTCCATCCTTTCCTCACTAACATTAAGCCCCGCCATCTCCTCCTCCAATCCGCAACTATTCTCAACCAAAACATGAGGATCGTTATAATTTCTAACTGCCTCTACAAGTCCCCGAACACGCTTGTACGGATCGGTACAGTTATCAAACACTTCCGATCCTACAAAAACGCCATCACACCCTAGCTGCATCATCAATGCAGCATCTGCGGGAGTCTCAATTCCACCAGCAGCAAAATGAACAACTGGAAGTCTCCCCACTTGCTTAGTTTGAGCAACCAAATCATAAGGGGGCAGCAATTTTTTTCGAAAACGCGAAAACTTCATCTTCATCCATGTTATTTAAAATCCTAATTTGACCCATCACAGACCTGACGTTTTTAACTGTTTCAACAACGTTACCAGTCCCTAACAAGTCCCCTTGCGTTCTAATCATAGCAGCTCCTTCCCTCACTCTCCTTAACGCTTCGCCGAGGTTTTTGCAGCCGCAAACAAAGGGGCATCTAAAATTATGCTTGTTAATAAAATTATCTTCATCAGCTATGGCTAAAACCTCGTTTTCGTCAATGTAATCAATTCCGACTCGTTCGAGTATCTGGGCTTCGACGAAATGACCGATACGGGAACGAGCCATAACGGGGATTGAAACGGCGCGTTTTATTTGTTCGATGAGAGAAGGATCCGGCATGCGAGAAATTCCTTGGCGCTTGGGTTCGGTGAGGACTAAACAACTCGCGCCTGCTTCTTCGGCGACTTTGGCTTGGTTAAGGGTTGAGACTTGGATAATGGCGCCACCATGGAGCATTTGAGCCAGACCCACTTTGATTGAGAATGGGTTTTTCTTGGCGTCGGTGCTGGCCGTGTTGTTGTAGAGTGTTACGGCTCCGTCTTCTGCCATGGCCGCCAGATGCTTGTGAATTTGCTTCAATGTCAAGTAGCGTAAGCGTAATTTTGTTTCTTTAATTTTTGAGTTTTGTTGATTGATTCAACGATGGGAGACTGGGAGGGAGAATAAAAGAGGGGCCGGCTGATGGTGTTTGGTTAGTTCCAGAAGTTTCGATTAAGATCTAAAGGTGTGGGTTTGCATTTTTAACTTCCATAAAAATTATTGTAATTTATTTCTGTACAAATGTAATAAAGTAATTATAGTTATAATGTATACGGTATATCAAAATATGAAAAGTTTAATATTTTTAACAATCTTTTTAAAGAAATATTAATTTTATTTAATATTTTTTAAATTGGATTAAACAGATTTATTTATACTAAATTTAATAAATCTATAAAAAATTATTTTTTCATAATCTTTCAATGTATTTAAATATATATTTTTTATCATTTGACCTAATATTAGTACTTTTTAAATCATAAGAATGTATTTTTTCTAATCATATTCACAAAATGAGCTTTTGTGATTTATCCAAAAACAAAATAAGTAAATCAAATATACAATTTTATTTTGCATTTATATTTTACCATTAAAACTTGGTAAACTTCTTTAAAACAACACAATTAAATTAAATTTTGATAAAATTATTTATTTTTATTTTAAGCAAAATTTTGAAAAAAAAAAGGGGTCAATTTGATGAAAGGTGTGGGATAGTTGAAGGGATCCCTACAAAGTGGGAGTTTTGAATCAGAAATCTCAAAAGCGCGCGACTGATTAGTTTCTCTGGGGCCCCACCATGTGGGACGAAGGTTGTGGATAAGCCGTTCCCGGCCCACTGGACCACCCACCACCACCACCACCCTGAAGGCTCAATGCGGCGCCGTTTCAACACTACAACCCTTCACCCCCCACGGCACGTGCCACACGTGTCTCCAAATTGTCTTCAAAATTCAAAAATTGAAACATTCTTTCTCCTCCTCCTCCTCCTCCTCACATTGAAACAGTCCTCTTCTTTTTTACTCTTCCTTTGAATCTTGTCTGAAACCAAAGCTAAAGAAAAAAAGAAGCTTCTTTTTTTTTTCCTAAAAAATCCGATTAAGATCGATTAAGTGTTAACCGGTTGATTGGGCCCATTAGTTTTTCATTTTATCATTTCATTTGAAGAAGGGACAGTGAAAGGGAAGCATTGGAACAAAGCATCGAAGTTTTTTTTTTTTTTTTAAATTTATTACACTATAAATAACTGAGGAAGGGGAGAGAGTTGGTAGATGAACGGAATGGGAAGACAAGGGCAGAGATCTGGTGCGGCAGGAGTGCAGGTGCACCATCAGAGACAATACTCAGATAACTTCTTGGAGACGACGTCGAATGGGAGATGGCTTCAGTCTGCTGGTCTTCAGCATCTTCACTCGTCTAACAACTCCATTCCTCCCCTTCAGGTTCTCACACTTTTTTCTTTTTAAAAAATAAATAAATAAAATTTTGTTGTATGCTGGTTCCGGATAATACGCAGAAAAAAAAAATGAAATAGCAATCAATTTTTAATTTTTTTGTATTTTTAGTAAGAATAAACTGACAATTTTTGGATTTTGGATCTAATTACATAATTTTAAGTCTTAAACTTTTATTTCGTAGCTCGTGCAAGGAAGACTGTGAGAAAGACGGCTGTTTTAACTCTTAAGGTTTTTTTGGGTATTAAGAGAAAAAAAATTTAATGTTGTTTTTTAGATGCCATTTAGTTGGAGCAGAAATGGGTTTTCCTTTTTATGGATTAATTCTTAATTTTTTTTTATCTAAAATCAATTTTTCCATAAAAAAACTACAAGAAAAAAGATAAATTTATATTAATATGGTAAAATTTGATGCTCTATTGATGTTCTACGACTTGAAGAGTAAAAAGTAATGCTGAAAAAAAAAATCAGAAAGGGAAGGTTTTCATTGAAGTGTTGTCTTCTGGATCTCTATGTATTAATATCCAATACAATTTGATTATTTTTTCGAATGCTTGATTGTGCTACTTTGCCGCTTGAATTGAGGGCAGGATTATGCGTTTAATGGCGGTGGAGGAGTAGGAGGACAAGGGTCTAGAATGTATAAGAATGTGCAGAGGGGTTTTAACACGGGGAATGACTTTTTCGCGGGGCCTACAACTCCTCCAGTTAGTTCACGGCCGTCAAGCCAGAGGAAGAATGGTGAAGACTCGCTCAGTGAGTTCAGTCCTGGTCTCTTAGATCTGCATTCTTTTGATACGGAGCTTCTGCCTGAGGTTGGTGACTCGCCATTTCTTCTAAGAGTTATAGTCTTTTAGCGAATGTAGATTTTACATGTACTATATATGTTTAATAAGTAACAGCTTATATTTATGTGTGTGATGTGCACTTCTTGTTAAATTTTTGTATATGTAGTTCATACTTCTATCCATCAAATACGAAACATCAATGATTTGAAAGATGTTTGTACTTTTGAGATTCAACGTATGAGTATTTGGACCTATGGATATGATGCTGAATGACATAAAAATTGTTGCATCTGCTTTGGATAGACTCATTTTTGTCTTTTGCTAAGGCACTGATAAATTAAAAATTCATATACGGAGTAATTTAATTTTTAATGCTTTTTTGTGGTAATGATTTTTGTTTGATGGTGACAGATCCCAGTTTCCGACCTGTATGATGTCGCTTCTATCTATAATCATGTTCGAGGCAGAAGTTATGATGACTCTGAACCCTATATTTCAAACAACAAACAAACAGGCAGAGTTCTTGTTGTGCCAGAGAATGGCCTCCTAGAAAGCTTTGCTGCAGACAAAGAGAAGGTCAATTCAGTTGCAAAGATCAAAGTCGTGGTATGCTTTTGTTCTGCTGATTTACCTTTGATCATCTCGTCTTAATTTGCTCTCTTTTCAGTATAAAGGAAATGCAACACTAGCAAGAGCAGTGGATGCTGATTAATAGCTTGTGAATTCATGCATGACATGCTTTGCACAAGTAAAATTTTGCTCAACATATCTTATATGCACTACTACTAGCACCATGACTCAGAGTTTCTATGGGTTTTTGACTGCAGGTGCGTAAGAGACCTCTCAATAAAAAGGAGTTAGCAAAGAATGAGGAAGATATTATAGAGACACTTTCCAATTCTCTAGTAGTCCATGAGACTAAACTTAAGGTAACAATAACATTGCTTTATCCTCTACAATCTCAATGCTATACCATACTATAAAGGCAAAATAAGAACATAGAGATCCAAAATGAGCCCAGAGAATCTTCAATAGGTCTATCCCAATTTTATGCCCTGAGGTAATTAAAAGAAGTGTGAATGGAACTAATGACATGACAGTTAATTATTTTAAGAAGCAGTTACATAAAGCAATCATTAAACTCAAAGAAAGTTCAATTATATTTTCAGAGGTTCTGTGTCAAATGATTATTTTAGCCTTTCTTGCAAGAAACATTACATTTTTGTCATGCCATTCCATAGCATGTTAAAAAACTAATAGCATTTTATGTTGTGTTGATTTACCACTTGGCTTTTGACACACTTGAATTTCTCATCTAGCATAGTAGCATATGTAGATTTTTTAGTATTATCCTCTACATGCTTTGATGCATTTAATTCTTGACATGTTGTAGGTTGACTTAACAGAATACGAGGAGAAACATGAATTTGTTTTTGATGCAGTGCTGAATGAGGAGGTCTCAAATGATGAGGTAAGTAGATGACCTAAATTTATTAGTGGGTAAAGGAAGAACATATTACAAGACGTGGATTTCCTAGAATGGTTGTCTTACTCAGCCTATTTTGGTCTCATTTATGTTCCGTAGGTCTATCGTGAGACTGTGGAGCCCATAGTTCCTATAATTTTTCAGCGCACTAAAGCAACTTGTTTTGCATATGGTCAAACAGGTGAATAGCTGTGACCAAAATCTTGGATAGATTGTATGATGGAGTGGGTTTTGCATGATCCAGCATTTGTATAATTTTTAATCATTCTGAATATGCTGTTCACTGTAAATTTTTTGGCATAATCCAATTAGTCCTTTGTGAGGATAATTGTGTTATCACTATGGTTGGTCAATAGCCTTTTATTCTTATCTGCCTGAATTTGCCAAAGTTGAAGGATGCCTTCTTCGTTTTTTACTATAAAGTTTTCTTATTGGACACTTAAATTTACCTTCTTCATCAAGCCATCTCATATTTTTGAATTGCAGCTTTAAATCATCTTACACTTATAGGTCTTTCTCTTGTTCAGGAAGTGGAAAAACCTACACTATGAAGCCACTTCCCCTTAAAGCTTCTCAGGACATCTTGAGGCTGATGCACCATACCTACAGGAACCAAGGGTTTCAGTTGTTTGTGAGTTTCTTTGAGATATATGGAGGAAAATTATTTGATCTCCTCAGTGATAGGAAGTAAGTTGCTATACATTCTCTGTACCAGTGCTACAAGTTTCTAAATTTGCTGAAAGCTAATCCTTCTTTGTGCAGAAAACTTTGCATGCGAGAGGATGGTAAGCAGCAAGTTTGTATTGTAGGCCTGCAAGAGTACAGAGTATCAGATGTAGAAACTATTAAGGAACTTATTGAGAAAGGAAATGCCACAAGAAGTACTGGTACCACTGGTGCAAACGAGGAATCTTCCCGTTCTCATGCCATACTTCAACTCGCTATCAAGAGATCTGTTAATGGCAATGAATCGAAGCCTCCCCGTGTTGTTGGCAAGCTCTCTTTTATAGATCTGGCTGGAAGTGAACGAGGTGCAGATACTACGGATAATGATAAGCAGACAAGGTACAGTGACTTCTTTCAGTTCCAAAATGATATGACCATATAGATTATTGAGCAGATTGAGTTGCAGAGCTTTGATGCTTTATTTGGAGGCTATAGTTAAAATAGAGAATAAATGTTGTTAAGTATCTGATATTAAAGTTAGATTACAACACATTGCAACTATATATATACTAAATTTGTCTAAAAAACATAATATTGGAGTAAAAAAGTTTATGCTAAATGGTCGTCCAGAGTTTCTGGATCATCTCAGCCTTGCCAAGTCATGTATTCTTAGCTTCTGAGGCCTCTTAAATTAATTTTAATTAATTATTTATTATCAAGTCAAACATTTCAAAGTACAAGGGTGTTTAAGAAGTCTAAACACACCTGGAGTTTATATTTTTGCAGATGGCATTTGGTTCCAATTCATGATGTTCAGCTCTAGCATCCAACATTTCTTTTTCCTTCGCATCGAACAAACTTTAGATATGTGCTTAATTAATTTTGCTGGATGTGCTTTTTTAATTAAGCCATCTCTATTTCTGCTGCAGAATGGAAGGTGCAGAGATCAACAAGAGCTTGCTTGCTTTGAAGGAGTGCATAAGAGCTCTTGACAATGATCAGGGTCACATTCCCTTCAGAGGCAGTAAACTGACAGAGGTTCTGAGGGACTCATTTATGGGCAATTCACGTACTGTTATGATATCTTGCATTTCACCAAGCTCAGGGTCATGTGAACACACTCTGAACACCTTAAGATATGCTGATAGGTGAATAAGACATGTGATTATAAAAATTGTTTCAGTATCCATTTTAAAGCTATTCTGCTTTTGTTTTAGTTGCTTTTTCCTTTCACGTATTTGACTTTTATTCAATGTGACACTACATTAAGGGTGAAGAGCCTTTCAAAAGGGGGAAATTCTAAGAAGAATGTATTATCTTGTACCTTAAACCTGAAAGAGTCAACTACTCAGCCCTTATTTTCGGTTTTACCAACTGCATCAACCTTTGAGGATGATATTAATGATACATGGCCTGACCAAAACGAAAGAGATGATTTTGATGCATCAGAAGATTCCTATGAGCAGGCGAAACTGATGTATAAGAAAAATAGGAAGCCAGATCAATACAGTTTCTCAACTTCAGAGGACAAGTTACGGAAGCCTAATTGTCAGACAAAATGGAAGGAACCACTGAGATCTGATTTTAAGCATTCAAAATCAGATGATGATTTGAATGCCCTCCTACAGGTAAATTTTATAAGTGTTAAGGGACATGAAAAGTAATCTGTTTATATGTTAAAGCCTCTATGGTGCTTTTACTCAGGAAGAGGAAGATCTTGTAAATGCTCATAGAAAACAAGTGGAAGAGACTATGAATATTGTTAAAGAGGTAAACACTTAGACCATTTCATTTACCCTGCTAGAATCTGAGTTTTGAAACATATTCTTTTCCTCTTTGGTTTGCTAGAATCGTAATTCATAAATCACTAGTTATCTTTGGCTAGCTTATTACATTTGTTTGAGCTGCTGCATGCATTATTGAGTCATACATGTTCTATGATTCTACATCTTTTGAAGTTTCATTAAATTTGCTTTTAACATTTCCAGGAGATGAACCTGCTGATTGAAGCAGACCAACCTGGGAACCAGCTGGACGATTATATATCTAGATTGAATGCTATTCTTTCTCAGAAGGCTGCTGGCATCAAGCAGTTACAAACTCGTTTGGTTCATTTCCAGAAGCGCTTAAAGGAGCATAATGTTTTGGTATCTTCTTCTGGCTATTGATTACTGGGACGAAGATAGAAGTTAAACTATTAATCTGACTTCTCTCAAAATAGATTTCTAAATTCGACTAATAATGGGTTTGGTTAAGCCTTTTTTTTCTGTTTGCTGGATGATGCACTGGTTACCATGAAACTGTCATTGCTGCAGGGTATTAAACCCTGCCTTCTCCTTCATTTCCAGAATTTTTTCTCTTTTTTCCTCGATAAGCAATAGGCAAAGCAAGTAATGAATTTACATGCCTTTGGGCATGCCATTGAAAGTTCTGCAGCATTGTAATTGAATTCATTATTGGAATGTCTGACTATTTGCTCAGTGTTTCATTTACAAAAAGCACTGCTTAATTATTACCTTATTCTTTTTATCATTGTTTCCCTGTTGCTGTTTAAAAAAAAAACGGTCATAACGAACTCCCAGTTAAAAAGGGTGTTTTCGTCATTCTACCAATTCCTTCCCGCCATTTTAATCTCCCGTTACTATAACCCTGCAAGTAAACGAAGAAGAGAGGGAAAAAAAAAAAAAAAAAGAAAGAAGAGCAGAGGAAAAACAATTATCAACGAAGATGCCAATGTCAATCTTTGAATCAGCTATCATGAGAAAACTGAGCCTTTTCACATTCGTTTTGTGTGTTTGGATCTCCGTCAAGAAAACCACACACTTGAACCATTTTTCATTATCTTCATCTTCTTCATTGAGTTCGGAAACCAGTTGGATTTTACAAGATATACTGTTGGATAGCGAGGATTTTGAAGATGATGAGGCTCCTGCTCGGTCACTGGAGTATGATTTTTATCGGGAAACTTGCCCTGAGGCTGAGAAGATCATCCGAGACAAAGTCCATCAATTGTTCAAGATCAAGGCTGCTGTGGCTCCAGCTCTCTTGCGCCTTGCTTTCCATGATTGCTTCATTGAGGTGATCATCTCTCTCTCTCTCTCTCTCTCTCTCTTGGCTTTTTAAGATGGGTTTCTCATGTCTTTGGTGAATCTTTGATCTTTGATTTGCATGTTTAAGTTTTTCTTTGCATGTTACTCTCCAACTTTGATAAGTGTTTCTTGAAAGAAAGTTTGAAGCCAAAATCTTGCTCTTTGAGGGTGGTTTCTTTTGATTCTGATAAGCGTTTCTCCTTTCTTGCTAACTGGGAAAAGTAGTTTCTTATTTCAATGATTGGTGGTTGTTTTGGGGAATTCTTTGTTCTTTCTGCTTCGGTAGCAAATCTCTGTTTCTTTTTTTCTATTACGTGTATTTTCCCTACTTTTTCTGGAGGTTTTGTTATTCTTCCTCTAATTCCCTATATGGGGTAAAAAAAATTGTCAGGGATGTGATGCTTCTGTCTTATTGGATCCTGTTGAAGGCATGGATTCTGAGAAAGATTCTCCTCCTAATGAAAGCCTGAAGGGTTTTGATGCAATCGACATAATCAAGTCAGAGCTTGAAGAAGTGTGCCCTGGTGTTGTTTCCTGTGCTGACATTCTTGTTTTGGCAGCTAGAGAAGCGGTTCTCCTGGTAAATTCCTCTCTCTCTCCGTGTCTTGTATGTTTATGAAGCTAGGATCTTATAGTTTCTCCTGTTTCATATGTGCTTATCTAATCTTTGGATATTGTCAGACTGGTGGCCCATTCTATCCACTAAATACTGGTAGGAGAGACAGCACTGCCTCTTTCTCTGATAGTGCCACAAACGACCTTCCTTCACCCAATGCTGATCTATCTGAAACCCTTGCATCCTTTTCGTCGAGGGGATTTGATGAAAGAGAGACTGTCAGTCTCTTAGGTATGAATCTTTTTCCCCTGAATTTTTCTTCATTGCTTTGGATTCTATTAGTATTTGCTTTCTATTACTGAGAGAACAAAACCTATATTCAACTCTACATAGCCTATTCTATTGGACACAATCTGAGCTTTTTGTATATGCTCTATTTATGTGATTGAAACTGCTGTTGTCAAATGTATGCTCTGAGAAGTATACTAGAATTTGATTCTCTCTATTTCACTTCCAGGTGCTCACAGCATTGGACAGATCCACTGCAAATTCTTTCAAAACCGTCTATATAGCTTTGGTGGGACTGATGAGCCTGACCCAACTTTTGATTCTGAATTTCTCAACCGAATGAGATCAAAATGTTCCAAGAGCCACTCATCAACATCAACAGCACCATCACCTTCTTTTGATGGTTCACCATTGCCAACAGCTCAATCACCTTCATTTTACAGCTCACTGTCATCAGAAGCAGCAACATCAGCTTCATTTGAAAAATTGTTGTCTTCGTCACCTAAGGATCAAGGAATGGCGGTGAGCTATGAGGGAACTGGAGCAGACTTTGGCACAGTGTACTATCGCAGTCTTCTGCAAGGTAAAGGGATCCTCTATGCTGATCAGCAGCTAATGGCAGGGGAAGAAACTGGACTATGGGTTAGAGCATATGCTTCAGATGCCTCCTTGTACCAGCGGGACTTCGCCATAGCAATGATGAAGCTCTCAAAGCTCCATGTTTTGACAGCACCAAGAGGTCAGATCCGAAAAAATTGTTCAAAAGTGGCATGATGAGAGAGAGAGTGAGTGAGTGGCGACCAGTATAGTTTTCAGCCGAATTTGTGTGGTGTTGGGTGCTTTTGATCTTTTAAGAACTTTATCTTAACTCCTAAACGTTTCAATCAATGAACTAGTTCAATATTAAGTACTTGTAGTCATATTGTAACCGTAACATCAGCTTACATGAAATGGCTGTTGATTGAGGTTCATATACTATAAGTTGATGACCTCAGTTACCGGCTTTAACATTCAGAAAAATAAAAAAAAAAACTTTCCATGCCATGTGTGATGCAGGACTCAACTGATCAAAAGGCCCCAATGCAAGTAAAAACCATACGTGTCTGAAAAAGGAACATCCACATTCTAATGATGCCAGAAGGCGCAGATTCACACTAATGGTTCAAATAGTCAATCTCTGGGCTTCATTGAAGCCAGTTTATTCACAGAAAGACTTGGTAATACACCAATTACATGCAAATATATAATACTCAAATCTTGATATGAAACTTCGTATGCTTTATTGGTAGCAATAGACGCTCAAGCAAATTATAACAACCAAAGAGAAACAGAAATAAAAGCTAAAGTAGCAGAAGAATGCAGACAAACACACAACATGGAAAAGAATTTAGGATAAGAAAACAGATACATATGAACAAGAAAAAGTCTGGGAGACATCGTCTACAACCTAATTGATCCGAATCTTCGTTTTGAACTGTTGATGCTGGCAGAGGCCTGTGGAACAGAGAATTCTGAGTACATGTCCAAGAAGAACTTGTCGACAATAGAAAGGTAAACCGGACTTTTAAGCCGAGAATAATAATGGAGTGCCTCTTCTACATCCAATACATGTTCCATATCACCAACATCCATCATCTCCAATTCCTTCATCTTTTGTGCTAATGCATAACTTCCTCCATTTCTCTTGTAATAATATTGTTCCTCTCCCTTACTCACTCGTGAACTTCCCACTTTCTTTTTCTCCTCTTTTCCTCCATTTCGCTTTTTGTTCTTTACTGGACTCTTATCTGCAAAATTCATGAAGCTTCCACTACATTCATCTTCTTCCCTCATTTGCTCTTTCAATGTCATAGCATCCTTCTTTCTCATCTTTGCCTCCTCTAGACCAACTTCCAAGTCGTTACAGAAGTCGGTATAGAATTGATCTTTTTGGTGCTTTTTTCTGCTGCAACCAGTGCAAGAGAAGGGGTCTGGGAGGGGTGGTTTGGATAGCTTTTGGTATCCTACAAAGAGGAAAGATTTAAGGTTCTCAACTGTTTTATGAAACAAGTTCTTGGTCTTTTGAATTGATTCCATCAGAATCTTTGCCAGTAGTATTGAATGGTGAGGCTTGTTAATCTCTTGGTGTCTCTATCTGCAACTACAGACACAGCTCTAATCTTCTGCGGCTTCTCCAACTGTTGTGTCCAATATACAGGTAAGAGAGATAGAGGCAGAACATGTTTCTTAAGGTTACCTAGGGAAAAAGCTAATGGAACCCAAAGTGCAATTCTCTTTTCTATTTTCGCATCTTTTGTCCTTATTCCTCCTATATTTGCCTCTCTTTTTCTTGATCACAATGTCAGAAAATCATAAGGCATTGGAGGTTAAAAGAGCACTTGAATGCAAATTAAAGATTTAAGAGTTGAGGTCTTAGGAATCTAATGATCACAAATGTTTTGTTTTTGACTACTTTCTTGCCTAAAGTGAAGTACTGTTGATTAAATGCAAAGCTAAAGGAAATTGTTGGTGAAATTGAACTGATAATAATCCACATTTTCAACTGCTAGTTTTTTGTTAGTTATAATGATCAAACTAAAAGGACCCACAAATGGAATGATGCTGGTTCTTCTTTTAACTCTTTTTTTGCCTTTCATTTTTCTCTTTTTGTTGAATTTCACAACAATCAATCTGATATCAACATGGTAATTGACACCATACCTCTTTAGGGTTTGGTGTGATCATAATTGATCATTCATTCCTATAAAAAAAATCCTCTTGCATTTATATGGGGTGTGAATGGTCCCAATCTGTCCTTGGGGATGGCACCTAAAGGTACCAAAACCCTGTTAAATATTAATATCAAGATAAGGTGCATTTCGATGCTTGCATGGTTAAGTCACTTTCTTACAGTTGCCATTGTTAAACTATAGTCCTTCCAACAGCCCAAAACATGTTGACTTCAGCCTTTGTTTTGCCTATGGTTTGACAAAATATAGCCTACAGGAACCAAGAAAGTTCCATTCACAGCATCACAGCAGATGATGGCAATATTTCTATGCCTAAGATGATGAGTCTTCACTCTTCCCTGATAAATTCAAATGGTATTAATATCTAGAAGAAAGCATATCTCGGTGGGAGAGAAAATTACAAAAAATATGGATGGAATATATTAACTTATCAAGTTCCTTTTGGCTTTCAACAAAAGAAAAGAAAAAGACTGCTAACTATAATTGGGGAAAGGGCGAAAGATGGGGTCCATGGGGATACATTTTTAGCTGAAATTTAGGCGTGATTTTCATCCAGTTTCATGTTCTTCTCTGAAAGGCTATCTTCCACCAAATACAACAGCTCATCCAACTTGGAAAACAATTGGCTTTATGTGAGGTTTCCTTTCCTGTCTTGTGTATAATACAATGGCTTTTGCTTTCTCATTCCAACCACCAATTGGCTTCTACTTACAACCTCTGTTCTTGTTGAATCTGAAGAATTGATGCAACAGCTTGTGAATTTCACCATAATTATTAGTTGCAGAAACAAGACGATCTTTTATCCATTGTGGGAGCTTGCTGCTTGGGTGAGAAAAACTTCTTTTTGAAGAATCTGATGCATAACGGATGTCAACCAATAAAATTGCAGCATAATCATTTATGTGCCGAATTGCTCTACCTAAGACAGATCAAATCAGTTAAAGATTACAAGTATCAGAAGCAGTTCAATGATTCAAAATTGATATAACCAGGACATAACAGAATATGTAGTTAGATCTATTCATGTGTGCAGAGGCAAGTACTGATTGTGATTAGAGAGTTCACATCAGACGAAATTCAACTTTTAAATTATTTTCTCTATAAACATTACTCAAACAGAAATCTTATTTAGTCTAAAGATATTAGGCCAAGATTTTTCTGCCAATGTGAACAGTGAACAAAGAGCCTAGGGAATTTAATTTTAACCTCCCTTCCTATAGTGACTATAAGTAATAGCACTGAAACAGTATCCTCACAAATGACCACCTGATTTTATAATGCTTAGCACTTACCAATTGATTGATTTACAGCTTTCATGCAGAGATTTTCATAATATTCTTTCCCCCTGCGCCTGCAACTCCTTAGTACGCTGAAACCAGCCTGAATGTCTCCTCCATAATATTCTTCATTAAATGAAAGTTTTAGGGATTTTGTAGAACTTGAATCACCCAAACCTTCAATATGCTTCACTCTTTCCAACAATTCAATGTCAGATGGGCTAGGGTAGGGAAGTCCAACCATGACTACGCATCGACCCATCCCATCACTGAAGTTGATGCCTTCTGATATCTTGCCACCAACAACAGCTAGGAGTATTGCACCACTTTTAGGAGCAGGACTATCAATTGCTTCCTTGTATTCCTTGAGAATGACCTCTATCTCTGTGTTTTTTCTAGGTTCTCTGAAGACGTGCTTTTTCTTTATAATCCTTTCAAGGATTCCGGAGGTTTTCCATGCATCATAGACCTGTCCTTCATATTCAAATGAAGAAAAGAACACAACAATTCCTTCTGGAACAACTGTTGCCAAATTGCAAAGTAAGAGCCCTAGTTCCTCTATCTGCACATTCAAGACCCAATAATGGAATTTAGTAAAGGCCATTATGGTTTCACAGCATTAAATATTTGGAATAAAACACAACTAACAATTGTCACGCGATAAACAGTAATGAAGTCAGTTTAAAGTCAAGTTTGACCATAATCCAATTACAAAAAAAGGGATTCAATAACACTTCGTTATGAAATCCATTGCAGTGACAGATTCAGAGTGCAATACACTCACCATGGTCGATGAACTTCTCAAACCATAGCTAAAATCAAAAGATCTGCCAGAAGGTCCACGAGATACTGCAATTGGCAATATACTCTCTGGAGGGACAATGTGGCTACATGAAAAGAAATGGAGCTGATCTGATGGTAACCATGGAAAAAGTCGCTCTCTTGTTTCCTCTATTGGTTGCAGAGTTCCTCCTGCCAGCACAACTGCATGTGCCTCATGCACAATCTGCAAAAGTTGTAAGATAGACTTTCCTTAATAGAGCGAGACAATGTCAAGTACTTAAAATACGGACTTTAAGACCAAGTTTTGATCTTAAACAAAGGAAATAAAAGAATACTTGCTAGCAAGTGAAGAAGCTAATTGCTATTTTCTTCCCAGTGTAAATTATTGAAGTCTTAGAATAACCTCAGAGAAAATCTTTTCCCCAGTGAGCATAACATATTTCAGGTAAGCTCCTTGTCCTGAACATGTTGGTCTCTTCCTTGAGATTATTATCCTTCCATCACCATCATTATTTGTCAGTGACAATAACATATCTGCTAATGCCTGAAAGCCAGATAAAGTGCTACCATCGTCACAACTTTCCCCATTTTCCTTGATTGCTGAACCTTTCTGCAAGGTAGTCATTTTATTTCCGTACCCACTAACCTGGAACCATTTATATTGTGAATTGTGACCACGAAATTGGCAAAAAGTAAAAGAGAAAAAGCACTGAGCTAATGATTTAACAAAATAGAAAAAATAATATGGACATAAATCTACCTTATGCATGATGTTGCTTTCCTTTATATACTGAAGCAGTTTGATCAAATTAATGTTGTCGATATTGAGGGAGAATAAAAAATCATTTATGGCCACTGAAGAGTCGAAGGCACGCTTTTCTCCAACACCTTTTTCAGCATCTGGGCAAGCGTTTAAACAATTCACATCCTTATCATCAAGCAGAACTCGGAGGAAAGCTTGGGTAAGGACCAAAAGAGTTTGAATATATCTTCGATTTCCAGGTCCCAAGAGAATGCAGAATCTTCCAAAGTACTTCTCCATGTGGCTATGTACATTCTCCAACTGATAAGGAATCATGGAATAACTCAATGATTCTAATTTAAGATGCATTTAGGATTTACCATATCAACATAAAAGCTTGTACAACTGAAAGTAAAACAATATGTTTTAGGAGATTAAGTTTTCTTCTAAAACAAAGAGGTTTTTAAATTAATTTGTAACTGAATTATCCAATTTTTCATCATACAGGTTTCAAACAGTACTTGGAATATTCGAGAAACACAGAAATCAAAGCACCAACCTTGTGCACGAGGTTTTGAGTACCAATGAAAATACCAAAGAAAACTGGATATAACTATTTATTTACCTGTGTCAGAGTAATTTTTGCATCATACATGCTAATGAGGGAGTCAGCCAGATTGTGAGCCTCATCTATTATAACAACATTATCCTTCAGATTCAGTACCAGTGCTTCACGTGATGATTTTGAAAGAAGTGATTGATATGGAAGAACCACAAGATCAGCCGTGGTGATCATACTTCGGGAGCCATAATATGGACATGTTCCTATATTTCTTCCAAGTTGAACAAGATCTTCAATGTCCAAGGCACCTTGTTGAGAAATTTCACTCCTGAACTGCTTTTGTAGTTTATGTTTTCTGAGCATTGGGCATCCAGAAGAAGCCTTGGTTCGCCATATTCTTCCCTCTGCACCTAAGTTCTGCAAAAAACACCATCATTAGCTAAGAAACTTTTCCCAGCAGCATATACTTTGGTTGTTAGTCTTACTTGGATTAGGGAGTAAACTGAACTCAAAAGCAAGATGATAGGTCTCCAACTTAGATGTACCTAGTTATGTGATGTCTTAACTCTGTTAATAAGGTAATGGAACATGGAACAGTAACTAGTTAGGGGGCTGCAAGGTTGCATTAAGAATCTGCTGGACTTCTAGCTCTAAGTCCCAACTAAAGCAATAGCATAGAGGCTTAGGAAACCATGCCTGATAAAATGCGTTACAGCTGAATTATGGAATTAGAAGTAAGATATATAGTACCTTGATTTTAGAAATTTCCTTTTTCTTATTCTTTTGAAGCTCCAAGCAACGCTCATTAATCTTAGTAGAGTTTCCTAGTCTCACAACCTCTGGAATGAAAAAACTCCAAAAGGTCAGGCATATATCAAATTACAAGTGAATGATACTAAATTACAAAGTTTCATATACCTTCATTGATGCAAAAGTTCATCCTTGATCCCAAAGAGACAACATTCATCTCACTGGCAAAGACAGTCTTTCTTAGCTCCCTTATGAACTGTGAAAGCTGTGAATGTGTCCGACTACAAAAATAAACCTTCAACTTCACTTCCTCCACCTCCTCCTCAGACTCACCTTCCTCCTCATCACTCGATGAATTAACAGAAAGCTTACAGCCTTTCCTCTTTGAACTCAAACTTCCAACACCACCTTCCTCTTCACTTTCATATTCTTCAAGCAGAAACTCCTCATCACCCAAGTCCTCAACATCATTTTTCTTTATTGATTTTTTGCAGTCTTTGTTTTCGTGGAAGCATTCCTCAACTAGATCACGGGAGAATAAATCCCTTTGACCATCTTTATTCTTTCGTTTTTCCCCTTTTTTTTGTCCAAAACCATATTTCTTTTTCTTGCTCTTCTTCTCATACATTTGGTTGTCTTTGTTCACAACAAAGTTTTTGATCCAATCAGGTTCATCATCTGAACCAATCTGACCATTATTTTCCTGCTTTTCATCAGATTCAACCCTTTTTTCAGACTTCTCTTTTTGTCTCTGATCAAGCACCCATTGCAAAGCACTGCAGATAATGCTCAGCGTTTTGCCAGTCCCTATTTTTGTAATGAAAAATTCAAATTAATTTGTTCTTGACTTTCTTAATAAAAATTAACAACACTCACCACACCAAAAAAAAAGAGTAAAAAAGGGAATTTTTTTTAATGACAAAAAAAAAAATTAGGACAATTCGAATGAACAAGGAACAACTTCATCAAGTAGCTACAGAGGAATGTAGCATTATTCAAAATATACATAAAAAAAAAAAAGAAACCCTAATTTAAGTTAAATACAAAAATTTTAGCTTTTCTTTTTTCCCAATTCAATATAAAAATTTTCTTCCTCTCCATTTTCTTAACAACTAAACTTAAAAAACAGGATTAAAAAAAAAAAAAAAAACAGAAGAGAGAGTGAAAGAACCGGTGGGACTTTCGAGCATGGAGACGCCGCCTTTATCCAAAGAGTGATAAAGCGCATTCATGAAATCGATCTGAATTGAATATGCCTCATACGGAAATGCTAAAAACTTTGGCTCTCCATTTTCCATTCCACTCTTTCTTTCTCGATTGCTTCTTTTTTTTTTTTCTTTTCTTTTCCTATTCAAGTTATTACTGTCTTGCTCTGCCGATGATTTTCCCGCGAAAATCCAGAGAACAAGGTTTTTTTCTAATTTTTTTGGGTCAAAAGAGGGTGGTTTTTTAAATTTATTTTATTTTTTGACAACCTAACCTAAGCCCATTTTGTCCAACCCAAAAAATAAATGGGCTCTGACTGATATTGGGCTAAAAGCATAACAAAAATAAATGCCCATTGAAGCAATCAAACCGTTCAAAGTAAGCCACGTTTCAACCCTAGAAAACCCTTTGGTGCCATATTATTTCCTTCCAGCCAGTCTCGCAGTATAAACCATTTCCTCCGCGCCGCTCTCGTTCTTCTTCAGAGCCAAAAGTACCATATCTTTAGGGTTTTTCCTGCGTCTGCTCCAAATCCAATGGTAAAACAGCAAAAAAATAAACTGTTCTTTTTTTTTTAATTTTTTGCCCTTGATCTGGTTGGATATTTACAAATGAAATGGATATGGTAATTTGCAGGGAAAGGGAACCGGTAGTTTTGGTAAAAGAAGGAACAAGACCCACACTCTTTGCGTGAGATGTGGCCGTCGTAGCTTCCATCTTCAGAAGAGCCGTTGCGCTGCCTGTGGTTTCCCTGCTGCCCGTAAGAGGAAATGTAAGTGCCCACCTCTCTCTCTTTTATGTCTAAACATTGATTTTTGTTTTTTTTTTGTTGCTTACTGTGTTATTAAGTCTCTTTTTGAATCTGGGTTTCTTTATGTTTAGCTGATTGTGTGGGTTTGTTTCTTAATGTAATCGATTTATACAAGTTAATCTCTTTGATAAGACTATGTATCTGGGTTTGAAGTTTCCTAGCTTGTTTTTTCCTGGAATATATTTATTCTAACAAAATTTCATTTTCCTGAATATAATGAAAAGAAGGGTCTGATGTGAATTTTGTTTCTTTATAGAAGTATGAAGGTGTATAGTTGAAGGAGTGCGAATGTGTTTCTTTCTAATATATAAACTTGCATGGTAATACTCGTAGTTATGTGTTATGGTTTTAGTACTTGTTAGTTTTAATGTTACAAGAAATGTGCTTGTACTCGTAGTTATGTGTTATGGTTTTAGTACTTGTTAGTTTTAATGTTACAAGAAATGTGCTTGTATTCGTAGTTATGTGTTATGGTTTTAGTGCTTGTTAGTTTTAATGTTACAAGAAATGCGCTTGTATTCGTAGTTATGTGTTATGGTTTTAGTGCTTGTTAGTTTTAATGTGACAAGAAATATGCTTGTACTCGTAGTTATGAGCATGGCCATGGGGTGTCATGTGCATGTACGAATAAGTGCGAGCAGGCTGTGATTAGATGTTAAATGTGTGTGAATGGATTGTAATTAGGTGTTAATTTTTAAAATTAAGGATTGTAATTAGGTGTTAATTATTAAAATTAAGGGGAACTTGTTTATTGTGGGATTCAGATAACTGGAGTGTTAAGGCAATCCGAAGAAAGACCACTGGAACTGGTAGGATGAGGTATCTCCGTCATGTTCCACGCAGGTTCAAGAGTGGTTTCAGAGAAGGTAGGAAAATGCTAATTCCCTTGTGCTCATTGGATTCTAATTTTAGTTTCTTTGCATATTCTGTTCTAGTCAAAGGTTTTTTTAAAGAAAATTTTGTTCTTATTTTCAATTTGGTGTTGATGATGATCTAGGTACTCAAGCAGCTCCAAGGAAGAAAGTTGCAGCAGCTTCTGCTTAAGGTGTTGTTTTGGATGAAGCCATCTTCGTTTGGAAAAGTTTTATGGGAACATTACTTGAGGACTGTCATTATTACATTGGATGCTTTAGTTGTTTTTAGTTTCTATTTTTATGTAGTTGCTTTAAATTATGAACAAGTATGGATGAGGCTATTGTTGTTTGACCCTTAATTACTTGACGTCTTTCATGATTATGTTAATCATGTTCTTGTTTTGCTTATGATGCCCTTAATCTTGATTCAGATAGTTGAAATCTTTAAACATGATACTTATCAAATTATAATCTTCTGTAGTTGTGGTCCATAATCTTGGTCAGTGGATTCAAGCTTCGGAATTGTTGCTCGATTATGGGTTTATGAGTTCATCCTAACCTAAGATGATAGGTATAGAAATTTTGGATGAGATGCTTGAAGGGTTTGCTGCAATGATTTTTCTGTTACATCTCTTGGCCGTCTAACATTGTATAGAAGAGGGCGGAAGCCAGTAGGATCTGAGTTATCATCAGTAGCTATTCTGTGTGTATATTTTTCTTCAAGGCCCCTTTATTCTATACATTCTCTGGCTGTTGCTAAAACATTCACATATTGGGTCAATAACAGTTGAAAGTATCCCCTCTGTTTTTACTTCCGACCGCTGGAAGGAATGTAGTAGCGGAAGCTGCTCTTTATTTTTAAGAAACCGCTCACCCTTAGACCACATCTGTAATCCACGCCGTCGATTCTTCATTGGTCTGTTTCTCAGCATGTACTGATTAAGATTTTTTTCCTTTCTTTAGAGACTGCTAAAATCAAAGTTATTACGGCTTATCGAATTCTACGAATGCCCACAGATTTATAATTTAAAGCGACGGAGTGGATATTTCGTCTACGACTTGCACTCAGCATTCCTGGTTTTAACCATAACAGTTACTGGATCCAGAATTACGAAAATCTACAGTATTTTATGGAACCTTCTAGACAAAGCATTATTGTTGGCGAGTTATGCAACATGCTTTAAAAGAGGAAATCAGAGGAACAAGCTTTCCATTATATATTTTCACTGATCTCAAGATCTACTTACAACTTCCTCGAAATGTGAGATTAAAAAAAAAAAAAAAGACCGTTTACAGTATTTGGCCCTGTATATGAATGGATGATCTTGACACTGTATATGAATGAAGTATATCTTCTAGATGCATTGAAACGACAACGGCGGACATGAATCCAAACATTATACCTGAGGGAAAATATCAGGCCAGACCTTACCTTCTTTTTTTTTTTTTTTGGGGTGGGGGGTGGGGTTCAGCCACGCCAGACTAGTCGTGATTTCTACAATTCAACTCGTTTGTATGAAATGTAACTAGTTTGCTTTAAAGTCACCAAACTTATGTTTTTCTTCATGCAACTGCTTGAATGCATAATCCATCTCCGGAAATGCAGACAACAGCAAAAGCTCAACAAGGTCATATGCCAGCAGCTTCAAACAAACACGAGACTGCAACATGAGAGAACAAGGCAAAACTGTTAAGAATAAGCCATCATAACTGTAACGAGTTTTAAGGTGTAACAATCGCACTAGAATTTCAATTTGAGCCCAAAAACGGGAAAACCAAGTTTCAGGCCACTCTAACAACTTGCACCAATCATGTTCTACCTGGATTGATGTTATTATAACCTATGATGCCCTCACTTCTCACAGCAGTAAACTAGATCTGACGTACCTAGCCTATCATTAACTTGCAGTGCTGTTTCTGAAAATAAGACCACGTTCCACATTAAAAGAACAAAAATAAAGTCTCTTATCTCTTAAATTACCTGAATAAAGAAATAGAGATCCTTAGCGCATTGCTCATACTCTTTGCGACCAACAAGACCCACAATGGCAGCAGGTGCATTGTCTGTATCGAGAAAATCAAGGTCATTGACTTTCTTAAGGTTGAAAATTTTCAGCTTAGTAACATAAGATCCTATATACATGCAGATAATTAATAAGGTATAATGTCACAAATGGCCCCTAAACTCTAGTAAAATATTCAATATGATATATGTACTTTAAAAATCTCTAATATGATATATTAACTATGAATCTGTTAACTAATTTAGTACTTCGAGGGTTATTTGTCAGCCACATGTCATCATTTGGAGCTAATAATGCTAGGAGTGAGTACCACATCAGTTAACAGATTCATATTTCAAATGCCACATTAAAGATTTTTATAGTTCAGATTCCACATTGAACATTTTACTATAATTTAAGGTCATCCGTGACATTAACCCTAATAAGAAACATTCATGATAAACAAAACTACCAATCATTAGCTCATAAACAAATTTTGCTCGACGTTCAGCTTCCAGTTGTTGCTGTTCATCACTCAATCTGGGTGAAGGTATTTCAGGAGAATGCGGACTACGAGGTGAAGCTTGGGATGGGCTACTAGATGATGGCGGACGTTGACGCCTTGGATGTTTGGTTATGAATATTCCATCAGGCCAAAGTATCTACCATGGCAATTGCAGATGGTCTATATTAGAACCATGTACAAGCATAAAAATTCCAAACATATTATAAACATTTTAAGACTAACCACTTGTAGTCCCAGAAAACAAGACCAAAATTAGTATTGTTAAGCACAAGGAAATACACAAAAAATGGTCCAACATGGCAACAACAGATAAGATGGAGGCTGTAAAGCATAAAATTTAAGCCAGATAAGACAGTGAATGGAATCCCAGCTGATCTTGTTCTTAGACCTCCAAAAAGAGGGTTTCAAAAATATTTTATAGACAGATCTAGACTAATCTATGTTGTAAATTCCACTAGAAAGAACATTTCTTCCAGGCGGGGCTAATATCATGGGGGTTGGTCTGCCCCTTCAATAAAATCCTCTTGCAAACTTGGTTAAGAGGAGATCTGTTTTTAGGTCTCTTATACAACTAAAAGATTTTACCAGTTACATTTGTTACACTTTCTAAAGAAAGACCATTTCTTGATAATTTCTGAGATCAAATGACTACCTGCTCAATCCTCTTGACTCCTGAAGCAACAACAGAGCCCTTGCGCAGCAGCTGGATCTTTTCTATCAGCCAATCATCAAAAGCATCACCCATTCCAAGTTGTAGAATTTGTTTGGCCACCCAAAAAAACTTCCTCCTGAAATGCAAATGCAAAGAAAGGTAAAACTTATGCATCTGGTTAGAACTAGATGTGATAATGCTAAGTTGAAAATCAAAATATAATGCTGATATATGTTATAGTTCTATAGCCTTTTATGTACCTGATCCACCCACCATCCTGGAGCTGGAAAATGACATCCACCAAATCTAATATTGGGACACTTAAATTTGGTGGCACCCACTGCACAGAAGATGTATCTGTTAAAAACCTTTGAGAAGCCTAGAAGCCTCACATTTCAAATTGCTTTGCAAATACTAAAGACACATGAAAGTTTTACGTTCCATTTAGCAAGGTTATAACAGCCATATTAGTTCTAGACATTGATAGAGATAAGAAAATTTTTGACATTAAACTGATTACCTCTGTAGGAAGGGTTGGGTGCGTAGCAGCATCAAGAAGCAACTCAGAAGCATCTTCCACTATTTCGTTCTCTCGTCTAGCATTCTTCCTCATGTTTCTTACAAACAAATTTTTTTGCATTCTAGTATCAGAATCACTGCCTGAATCTTCAAAGGACTTGCCCCGTTCTTCAATGGGAAGTTTTGATGGAGAACAAAACACATCTTTTGCATTTGTTAATCCACCCGTTGCAAGGTTAGGCTTCATTTGCAATGCAGATTTCTTGCTTTCAGCATCTAATTTTTCCCTCTTAGAAGATAAGGGACCCATCGGTGGCCCCATAACATTTGAGGCCTTTTTGCTCTTTTCAGATGGATTATCTTCAAGGTTAACTAGAAAGTTCCCAAGCAACACAAAAAATAGAATCAGCCAAAATCAGGTTAAGAAAGAAAAAGCAAACAACGCACCAGTCTACTAAATTAAATCTGAATTACCTGACAATGTTTGGACAATAGAAAAAGAATTTGAGAATACATATGTCTGCATCACAAAATGCATATAATAAGAGATTCTGCTTTTTTGAAGAAACCTGAGACTGCCCCTCGCCACCCTCCCTCTTCCCAGAAAAAAAAAAAAAAAAAAAAGGAACAGCTTTTTTTTCCATGTGAAAAGGAAAATAAAAGTTCACCTGGGAATCAACACTTAGAAAGTCCCAAACTTCAATTGATCCTGAAATAGTAGGAAGTTGCAGGAGCTTCTGAAGAGGCAAAAAATATTAATAATTCCTATAAAAGTAGAAAGACAAGCAAAACCAGTACATAAAGCACATAATATAGTTATTTCTCATATATAAACTACAGATTGATCTCATAATGGCACTTTGGACAGATGGAAGTACTAGCAATGAAACAATCTGACAAGCATATTATGGGAAGAAGCCTCAGTAAAGAAATAAAATATCAATTTGAATAACTTCAGTTCAATAGATATGCCCCAACAGACAAAGAAAAACAATATGTTAGTTCAAGTGTTTAACCTTTAGATATCCATCAAGCAATTTACAACGTTCTCGTATTACAGGAACATCTAAACCAGTGGAGAGAAAATGCTTTGGTGGCAAGTGAAGTTTATACTCTGGAAATTGTTTAAGGCACTGATGCAGCTCCTCAAAATGTCGGAACCTGAACTAAAACAATTAAAAATATTAGCAACGGTGATAGAGGTGAAGATAAACATAACTGGTTTGACATTTTAGAAAAATCCAACCAAGATGACTAGGCAATGAAGAATAAATGCTATAGAATGCATCATGGGGGGACAAGACCAGAAAGTATATAGCACACTCTACCTTCTCTTGATTGACCAACTATTATTGTTATTTACATCTGTAACAGATATGGAATAAACAGCAAATGTTCTAGAGCCACTCTTCACAATATTTGCACCCAAAACCTGCAAAAGAAAATAATCTTGCAGTAATCATGTAAAGAATACCAAAATACAAAATTCTAGCATACTGACATTAAGTCAATCCTGATCACAGTAAGTACCTCACATCTCAATTTAAAGAAAGAATCCGCCACCAACGAATTCTGCAAGGAATTAGCAGTCAAACTACAACTTTCTGACATAGAGATAGAAGCAGCAGATGAAGAAGCAGCTGCTCCACTGTGAAGTCTACCAAAGAATTCAGTCTCAGAATCATCACTGGAATCATCAGCTTTTCCATGTCCGTTCGGTGAATTAAGTATGTCCTGTCCATCCCCTGATAAGAAGCTTGTCCTCTCAACTTCTTGCCAGACAGGCAACTTCTGACTGTTCAATCTAGATCTTTTCCAGCTGGATGGGGTTTTGGTTAATCTCCGAAACTGAACACGCCTTCCACCAGCCTTCTTCACCATACGGCCCTCAAGATTTTCAAGTGGATGATGAATGTGAGAAACAGTCAGATTTCTGTTACTCTTACCATCCCAAACTTTAGTTCCAGGAGAACCAAGACCTGTTATATTTCCTATTTCTTCTTCTTCAGAAGTAAAAGAATCACTGCTTTCCGATTCCACCTCCTCCAAATCAACAAGGTTGTGTTCATCATAAGATGCAACTGAAGAGCAGCTTGATACATTCCTAGATTCATGTGGAAATGATTTTTCTACTTGGCGCTGATCAGTCGATACAGATTGAGCAGCACGACTATCAGATGAGTTAAGCTTAGTTGGATACTTCTCTCTGGTCTTAGATATTGCTTTTGAATGATCCACAGTAGCAGGGTTCCCAGCAGAGGAATGTTGTGGGACTTGCTCAATTAATCGTTTTTCACCCTCCTTCTTTTTGTAGTTTCTCCCTTTGGTCCACATGTTCTCAAAATTTTCTGGGGCAAGGGCCTCAGTCTTTCTACGTGAAATGAGATCTAACATATCACCCCATTCTCCTCCTGAACAATGCCGTTCGATACCTCTTTCAACACCAGTTTGAGAGTTCACGGGAACAGAGCTCCATGAACGGGAAGATCGAGCATCCATAGAAAGCAATGGATCCTTCGAGAGTTGTGTCCCATTTACATTATCTGTTGCAGTGGTGCCTCCAGCAGCTCTGGACTGATCAGTTTTTAACTGTACAAGTTCAACACCAGTAGAAGAAGGATCTAGAAACTTAGAAAAATGATCAGATGGGATCCTTAAGGAGCCATTTGGTTTGTATTCAGATGCATCTTGTGCAGCATTAATTCCTCCTTTAGCCTTTGTCATAGATATAACAGCAGATTCGATCCTCTCATTTATAAACCTGTCACCAAAATTCTAGATGGTCGAAAACAGTAGCAACATAATCAACGAAGTCAAAAAAAAAATAGAAAGACAGATCACCTTGGACTCACTAAGTTTAAGACTGGTCGCATTACTGCACAAGCAAGAAGCTCCCTGACAATATAACGAAAGAAAGAGCACTGCAGATCTTCAGGCCTGAATGTGAAAGAAATGAGACCATCCATCAAATGTTGCAATACCTGAAATAAACAGGGTATAACATACTGTTATCAGAAGCTATATAATCAAGTCACTTTTATAGGAATGTTGGATTGATTGACTAGTTTGGCATAATTGGGAGGTTAAAGTAAAACTCAACAACCTTGTGCTCGGCTTCAACAGAGAATAAAGCTGGGTGCAGTTTGTTCTCTGCAGCCAGAACACGTCTTATTTCAGTATCTCGATGTTCAATAGTCAGTGGTCCAGATTGCTGACTTCCAACTTTTGCTTTGTTGATACGAAAAAGCTCCAAGTGCGAACAAATGAGATTAATAAGGTCCCTGCATCATCCTAGAAGTAGATTAGTTCCCTCTTAATCAGTTTTAAACAAAAATCATAACAAAAACATTGGTGGAATGGACTTATACCTTGTGAGTAAATCGATGAGATTTATATTTCTCATGCGGTCTGAAAGCTCCCCAAGAACACCATTGATGATCTGCACCAGTTCTTCTGGGCCTTCTTTATCAGGTGTTAAACGAGAATACCATTGATCTGTCACCCACTCAGAAATAAGATGTCTTGTAAAGTGATCTATTGCATCCTCGACCACAGGAGAATTTACTTTCCTTCTCCAATCAGAATGTTCAACAACTTTAGGAAACTCTGGTAGTCGCTTTGGAGTCATTGCATTTGTTGATGCAGGTTTGCTGTTGTATACAGCAGCTTTCCTCCGCATTTCATAATCTAGTGAAAAATATCGGAGGAGAATGATCAAGGTGGCAGCAGCAGGCAAATTTACCAAAACTGAGGAGCTTGTCACTGATGTAAGAAACAGAAAAAGAGTAAGTATCAATTGAAAAGGTTGAAACAAATTAATGGCAATTATGTGATGAAAATTTCTTTTTTAAAATCTTAAACTCCAAGTCCAAATTAAGCAAAAATTAAGGTATGAACTTGACATATTTCAATTTTTCATGTTTACAAAAATCTAATCCCACCCAATTGAGGTCAGTTTCTTGTAATACTCATCTGTAAGGCTATATCCTCCCTGCACTAAAATGTTAAGTATTCAATTCCAAGTGTTCATAAAGAAGAAAATGACTTAACAAACCCATGACCACTAGTTTGCGTTTGGGCATGAGAGAGAGGGTTAAAAATATTATAAAAAAATGAAAGTCCAAAAAACTGACACAGAACACAATTGAAAACTTCATTCTAATCATAAACCTCAGTTTGCCATGAAGGAATTCGCTGACTGCAAAACATGAAGCTGCAGTCAACTCGTTTTCTTAACAGTTGTCTTTTTACCTCATTGTAACAATCTGTACAACACTTACTGTTATATTCCATCAAGTGGCTCCTAATTGATAGCTTTGTAGTGCACTTTGCACTTGCAGATAATTAGTACAAAGGAAAAGGAACCAGGCTCTATCTTCACTCACCAAAGTTAGATAGTAATATCACTTTAAGGAACCAAAGTTAAGAACCACCATATTAAAATCTGTTAATCACATTAGTAATGTTAATTTGAAATTTTAGTGCAGAGAATGGTACGATCTGGACAATAGCTAAACATGTAATGGTTGCAACAGGATATTTATCACCTACACAGTCAAATGCAAGACTAACTAAACTATGTTAAGATACAGAATTGCGATTCCAGTCAATATGAAGAAACCCTAACTCCAAATTCCGGTGCCAAGTGCCAACTTAAATTTGAATCCAAAGTTCTACATAACCAAAATTTTATATTCCCTAAAACTCCAGTGCTACAACCTGTAGGCTTCATAAGCTATAACCGATCCAATTCCATCCTCAAAATGAATTGACGAGACTTAGAAAAAAATTAAAGTCCCTAAAAACAAAATTGCACATAAATTTTCTTTCAAAACTCAAATTGATCAAAGTCAAAACCCTAACTGAACTCTAATAGCAAGTAATTAAATAAAAACATTAATCAAATTTAACTCGAAGATCAAGACGAATAATCAGCAGCAACTAGATGAAAAATACAAAGAAAGAAGATTTGAGAGCTTAACGTGACATGAGATAGGACAATCCGACGACGCATATAGCTAAAATCACGATTCGCTTCTTGGCTTCCTCCACCAAGTCATGAACCGTCACCTGCTTTGGGCCGTTCATTTTTTTTTTTTTTTTTTGCCAAACCAAAATTAACAAATCAAACTAAAAACAAATCTCTCAACCGAACGAATCATAGTTTTTTTATCTCTCTTTTTCATGGCAACTCTAAATCACAGCCATAAAGAAAAAATATCATTTATCAATTACTAGGAAAGCAAAGAGGGGAAGAAAGAATCAAAGAATGTGAAGTGAAAAGTTGAAAGAATTGAAGGAACAGAAAGGAAAGGTCGTGTTTGGCATGAAAGAAAAATGAGTGAGAAAGGAAAAGACTAAAAACTGAATTTTGAAAAAAAAAAAAAATTCAACGCGAGGACCGATAGTTATTGTGTTGGTGCTGATGCATTCTCTTCTCTATTATAATCTCTCCCTTTGTTGATTTGGATTCGGGATTAAGTAGAATTTTTATTTAGATAAATTATTTTACATTGTTAATAGAGATTTTTAATTTTAAAAATGAATTAAAATTTTGACACATAATTTTTTTTAACAATTGAATATGTGTTATTTTATTAATTTTATTTATACAATTTAAAATTTTTATTGTATAATTTTTCTTTTATTTATTTAATTTATGTTTAATGTTACTTAAGGGAAACTTTTTTTTTTGTTTAAACTTTTTGTCCAAATTAAAATCTTTGTATTATTAAAAAAAAAAAAGGGATCTTTATATTACTTCATAAGACATAAATAACCCCTTTAAACCTAATAAATTTTTTGCCAACTTTCTTCTTCATTAGGTGGGATGCTCGCATATTATCATAGGTCAGAATTTTTTTTTATTATGTTATATTTATTGATTTTTTTATTAAATTTTATTTAATTAAAAAGAAGTAAAAAAAAAATCAAATAAGATGTCATGTAAATATATTATTCAGCCTCATATTTTTTCAAAAATTATTTAATAAAAATTTTTTAATGAAAAAAAAAATTTTTAAATAAAAAAATAAGAGAAAATATGAAATTGACATTACTATCGAATTAAAAATATTAATATCTTAAATTGAGTTTAAAATATATATATATATAAATATAAAATCAAATTTATAATTAAATATATATTTTTATATACACTCTAAAATTAATGAAATCAAATCGTCACGAGAATCTCACCAGAGCGCCTTTTACTTCAACAAGCCATGAACTAAATCAAAATCATTCTCAACGAACCCAGAAGAAGTGATCCCACTTTTTTCATCGGATCCGGGTGGAGACCAAAGGTCTTGAGCGACCGATCCGGCAGAACAACTCAAAAGATAAAGAAGTATCGTTAATTTCTTCATGCTCGTTCCAAGCTCGAAGTACCATTTGTACAAATAAGGATCCCCTTCGTTACCTGATTTCCTCTTTATATAGATAGATATAGGATCTATGGGGCAATTACTTAGAAGTACATTTTGTACAAGAGCCCTTCCTATCTGATAGAAAATGATCCCATGATCCTGAACCGGTCTTACCCGGGATCGCAAAGCCCAAGTTTGTCTATGAAGAGCAAATCTAAGTGTATTAGTGTCTAGAATTGATTTCTTCTGTGTAATACTAATCGATAGGGCCTCATTGGTAAGTGCTACAAGATCTCGTGCATTGGAACCCACGTTTGTGGACCCGAATCCATTAGTATGGAACATTTTCTTTTCCAAGTGAAATCCCCTATGATGGAGTGAAAAGATGTTTTGGTCCTCATGGAATAAAACATTTTTATATCTTAATACATGTATTTAATTTAGTCACACTTCACTCAATCTCATTTTTCATGAAAAAATATACCTATTCCAATTCGATTTTGATTTAAAAAAAAAAATTGATTAGATTTTTTACAAATTTATTTAAATAAAAAATAAACAAAAAAATAAAAAAATATATATGGTGTCACATTAACCCCTTGTGTGAAGGTGAAATAAAAATAAATAGATTTTATATAATATATAGATGAATGCATGAATTATATTTTGATTATTTATAAATATAATATTTTTATCTTAAAAAACATTGAAAAAACCCTTTAAAAAGCCTGATATAAAGCATATCTCACTTTTCAATAATAAAATCCCTAACAAAAATTATAAAATATAAAAATCTTGACAAAAGACAAAAAAAAATGGTGACATGGCTTAAATTTTGATCATGTATCATTCATATGTACATGATCAAATTTTAAAGTTACAGATGAGAAAAACAAACCTTTGACTTTTTAAATTTGAAATTATGTTTGAATTAAGAAAAGGCAAGAAAAAAAAAAGTAAAGTTGGGGAAAGAGTAAACTTTTCCTTTATTTTGGATATTATTTATTTTAAAATACAAAAAAAAAAGAAAATTGAGCTTCCCTTTTCCTTTAAATACTTCATTTTTTAATTATCTTAAAACAAAAGAAATAAAAGTTTTTAGAATATAAAATAACATTTATATCATTATTATTTTTTAAATTTTTTAAAAAATACATTATAATTCTAACAAATAATATTAATATTATATTTTATCACGCCTAATTACTCTACTCTTCAGTCTCCTATCAAACAAGGGCTGCTTTCAACTTTTTTTTTCCATAAATGTTTTTAGGTATTTCGAATGATTACTGGACATGTTGTTGAAATAACTTCAAGCTTTCGCTATCCCTGGAAATTGATGTCTAGTAAGCCTACTGCTCTGCTTTACTGAAATGAAAAATGGTTTGTGCACGCAAAGCCGAGTTGATAAGATATAGGGATGGGTAAAGAATGCGAAGGGTAGAATTTTTTTTATTTTTATTTTTAAATTTTTATATTATATTAATTTTCATATACATATTTATTGGATATATTAAATTTATTTCTATTTTTATTTTCGTGAATGTTTAATCGTATAATTTTTATATTAATAGTTTTTTTAAAATAAAAATAAAAATTATTTTTTTATATTTTTATTTTTATCTTGTATATTTAGATATTTTTTATAAATATATGTTAATATATTTTTCTAATAAAAATATATTTAATTTTAATTAATCTAAAATAATATAAATAATTTATATTATTTAATAAAAAATCTATTTACTAAATATATATATGTAAGATATAAATACAAGATAAATATTATATTATCCATTTTCATATTCATATTAAATAAAAATTTAAAATCATATCTATCTTCATTCTCTTATTTATAATGTAATACCTATTTTTATATCTATTTAAGTAAAAAATCAAGTTTTTTATTAAATATGAATGAAATTAACATCTCTAACAAAACACCAAACTAATGTGGGTTTGATCACCGGACAATAAAAATGAAACATGCTAATTGTATATATTAGAGTAAAGAGTTCCTACTTTATACTTTTTACGTTCTAAATTGTTTGGACAATATTAACTTTAATGGAGTTTAAAAAAAAAAGATTTGATTTTAATATATTGATTATTAAAATTATTTTTTTTTATAAAATTAAAGTTTCATAATTTTTAATGTCAAAAAGTAGAAAATATCATAAAAAATTAATTTTAAAATATAAAAATAAGAGTTTTAAATATTTTAAAAAATTATATAATTTTGATATATCTAAAAAATAAAGATAAACAAAAAAAAAGAGATAAAAAGAGTCAATAATATTGTTTTTAATTTTATGCCAAAATAGAAAATTGTTATATAATTTATTTTTTAATTAATTTTTAATATTTTAAAAATATGTATCATTTTGTTAATTTTATTTATAAATTTAATAACTCAAGGATGAGATAATTTCTTTGCAATAAACACCACTTGACTTCCCCTTTGTGCTATTGGCCTACTGTGGTATCTTAGCCAGTGGGGTTTATAAATTTTATACCTTTAATCTCATTGAGGCTAGCTCAAGCTATAATCTAACTATCCTACTGAGATCATTATTCAAAGGGTTAGGTTAGGTTCAACCCAAGGTGAATTTGTGAGCTCAGCAATTTTTTAAAATATTTAAAGTTGTTGAGATTTAAATTTAAATTATTAAAATTAATTATTTAATATTTTATCTACGAATATAATTGACTTTTGCAATATGATATTTTATATATATATACATAAATAATTTTGTTACATAGACATTTATATAAACAATTCTCTTAAATATCACATAAGATAGTTTAACAAAAAATAGTTTTTTTTAATTATAAATTAAATAATTATAAATTTATTTAAATATCAAAATTAGTCAAATTATAATTGAAAATCAAATTAATTTATATATATTCTAAAATAAAAAATATGAAATATGAATTTTATTTTTTTAATAAATAGTTTTAATTGTTTACCAAATAACTTTATTTAAAATTTTATTTAATTATCAAAATCTTTCAAACATATTTAAAATTTACAAAAATTAAGTTTATCCAAACCTTTCAATAATCTTTTTTATCTTGATTTAAAAATTTTGATTTAAATTTTATCTTTTTAAAAATTGTGAGATATTAAAAATTCAAATAATTTTATGTAAAATTTTAAAAATTCAAAAAATTTCATTTTAAATCTTTAAATAATAAAATTATCAAAATGATTATATTCATTTAAACTCTAATTATCAAATTTATATTTCAAATAAATGCAAAAATTTTAATATTATCTTTATCACTTATTATATCTATTTTAAATTTTAAAAAATTAATTTAAAAATTATCTATTTAATCCTAATTACCACTAAAAAATTATTCTATAAATTTAAGACTACAAATATAATGTGTTAAACATTAATTTTTTATATATTTTTTGTAACTTTTTTCTAATGTATATTCTATTACTATTGTAATTTTTTTATTTATAAAATTTTTCTAAGATATATTTTATTGTTATTACAGTTTTATTCTTATGAAAAATAATTTTTTTTCAATTTATTTTTGACATATTTTCTAACATTTTTCATATTTTGTATAATAATTTAGTCAATATTATTAAAGTGAAAGTATGTTAATACTTTTTTATTATTTAAATTATCATTCAATAATATATATTTTTATTTTTTAAATACATAATTCATTTTTAATTGATATAATTTTATAAGTGTATAAATATTATTTTAAACATAAATATTCAAAGGAAATACATAATTTTTTTAGTGTTTTCAAAAAGTTTATTTTTTAATAACAAATTAATATATATAAATTTTATATATATTATGAGTTTTAAAGATTTGAATATAATTTTGAAAAGAAACTAAAATATATATTTATATAAAATAAATAAAATTATTTCGTGCATTGTACGTGTTATAATTTTATTTTATCTAAAATAAAATTCATATTTTCCTAAGATTTTCACTATTAGTGTTTGTAGAAAAGAGTATTAAATCAAACTCTTTGAGTTTAGAGAAGATTCATCCACTTATTATTAAGCTAAATGCTCGGATATATGATATTTTTTAATATATAAATATATGTTTTTTTTTAATATATAAATATATGATTTTTTTATACAAAAATTTATGTATGAACTAATAAGATATTGGTTTAATGGCAAGAAAGAGATACTAAAACCTTTAGATTTTAAGTTTAAGTTTCGATACCTATGGATTTAATTATTCAGTTGCATTTTAATTGATCAGTTGATTATTCAATGATTATAATTTAATTATGATATGAAAATTAATTATTTAATTAATTATATAGATATAATATTTGATTATAATTGTAATTTAAAAATATATATTCATACACAATAAAACTTTATTGTTATTAAATAACTATTTTATATATATATATATATATTGAAGGCAGTTTGATTGGTTTGAATGTTGGATACAAAAAGTCGTAAGCCATTTTTCAAGTGGAGCTGATGTTAAGTAACAAAGTATGGAACAAATTCCCATCTTAATCTTACTTTACATTCATGACATGTTCTTAGGCATTTCTGTGCTAGATTCGTCTGCCAAAAAAGTGATGAGTCTGTTGGAAGCCTAATTTCACTCTCACATTTAAATTTCAAAACGAAGGTCTCACTTAAATATTATATTTTTATCTCAATTATATAAAGAAAAAGATGATTTACTTTTTCTTTCTTTCAATTATTAAAGGTAATGGTCCACGTTAATATGTTGAATCCCACCATTCATAAAGTAAAGCTAAGTATACCAATTCATGAATAAAAGAAAAAACTTAAATGAAACTTTGAATTTGAATTAAATTGGTTCAATAAATTTAATCGATTGATCTAGTATAAATAAATTTTAATATTAAATATATTATTTTATATTAAGTAAGTGTTAAATATAACTAATAATAAACAAAAAAATATGTATTTGGCTTAATGCATGATGTGGTATTTACTATATAATTGAGAGTTTAAAGATTCAAATCCCATTATTTATAAATAAACTTTAAATAATAAAACAATAAAATAAATATAAAACCAATTTAATTATCAATAATTTTTTGAATTAATCTAGTTTTTGTTGGTCCAATAAGCTCGATGAATTTTTTTTTTAAACATTTTATTGGATCAATCAGGTCATCCATTTTCAATTTAATTGATTTGCTTGTTAATTTGATTTTTTATTTGTTGATGTCAATATTATATTAGATAACATTTTATATTAAGAGCATGATTAATTATCTTTATAATTATATATATTTTTAATATATAAATAAAATATAATAATTATTTTATTTTATTCTCCTATATATTAAATATAATTTAATTTCTTTTTTTATTCGATTTTGTTATTATAAAAAAGAATATGTACAATCTTCTCTACACCTTGTTGTCACTAAATTTAAAAATATGTAACAAATTATCAATGATAAAATAAAATAAAGTTAGATGAGTTTGGATGAATAAAAAAATTGTATTTGATAATTTGGGCAGAGCCATGTAAGGCCCAACGAGGCTTGGTTGAGAAAAAAAGAATTAATTTTTTATTTAGATTATTTATTATTAAAATTAATATTAATTTTATCAATTATTATTTTATAATAAAAATAGTATTTTTAACAATAAATATTTTAAAAATTAGATTGATAGTTAAATGATAATTTAATTTGTTTACATCGAAAAGGTATGTTTAAATGTATTGGTAACAAAATTATTTATAACGTTATCATAATATATAATATTATAATTGTGTTTAAAATTTTTAATTTAATATATTTAAATTAAATATTCACAATTTTTTTTTTTTTTAGTTTCCTCATTGCCCGATAAAATTTAAAAACTCTTTATCACTTAACAAAAAAATAAATAAAAAACAAGGGTAGTACAAGTTAAAATTCACTCGTTGCAACATTTCCTTACTCGGCGTGGACACGCGGACAAGCAGAGACACAGCCAGCAAAATTTTGTCTGTAAAGCATGTGAACACAAACATGGCGTCATTGTTTCTTTTCTGATTAAGTCATTTTCTATGTCAGAAGCGGGGCCCACTCAGTCCACATTCCTTTCTGTTCCCACCGAATCATAAAAAAAAAAAAAAAAACCAACCTCTTTTCAGCTTCTACCCTGTTTCAAACCTCAAGCAAAAATAAAAAAAACCTTGATTTTATGACCGGAGATTCTCTCCGGCGATGTCTACTCCACCATCTCCATCACCGACGTGGCCGCCTTCCTCTTCTGACACTACTCCTCCTCCTTCCCCTTTGCCGCCAACTATAGATTCTTCCGCCCCTTTGTCGCCTCCGCTTCTGGTAGCTGCTTCTCCTAATGGTACGTTTGTAGATACGCCGCAGCCGACGCCCAGCGGGGGCTTGCCGCGTGGCACGTTAGCGGGGCTTATAGTAGGGGTAGTGTTGGGGGCGTTAATTATGCTGATCGGAGTAGGTATCTTCGTAATTTTTTATAAGAGGAGGAAGAAGAAGCTTGCACACAATTACTCTCTGGATTCTCCTTCTCCAGGGCCTAAAGGTCAGTGGAAAATAATTTTTTTTAAATTCATTAATTAAGTACTAGACCTTAATATAGGTATTGGCACTCCTTAATTTATTTTTTTAATGATGGCAGTTTATTAATTCGATTTTCGAAGTATCGTTTATTGCAGTTTGCTTAAAAAAATTTCAGTTTTTTTTTATATTATTTTTATGAATTCTAGGTTTATTATTTTATAGTTTTTGTTTTGTTCTTGTATTATTATTCAATCATGTGAAAACTATGTTGGTCTACATTCAGTCAATTTTGCGCTATCTATTTATATATTTGTTTATTAGTGTTTTGGATATATTAAAAATTTTTTTAAACAAGTTTTTTGGTTTAGTACATTGAGTCTTGAGTTTCTTGTTAAGTATTTTATGGTTCTTATTTATTTGGGTTTGCTTTGAAACGTTGATTTTTCTTTGTTCATTGGTTTAACTTGTATCTGGGAGACTACATTTATGGGCTAGATTTGCAATGTTGATGGTATGCCGTATTTTTTTTTTTTCAGAGTTAACATGAATAAATTGACAGAGAATACCTAAAGAATGCGGCTAGAACGAGTTACCTTTATTAAGGTTTTAAAGTTGTCATGAATTTGTAAGCTATTTTACTAATTTGTTGATTAAGTGTGGTATCAGTTTTATTGTTCTTATCATTGTGGTGATTTCCCAACGTTTTCATACTAATTTGCATATTTAAACAACAATAACAACACACTAAGCTTTATGTCCTATACTGTGGGGTTGCTATATGAAAAACCAAATAAGAGAATCAAGTTATGTTATAGTTTGAATTTTCTTGCATCACTCATTTCTTTCAACAACCACCATTTCATCTGATTCCTTAACTATCATATCATTTTTTATTCCTTGCATCCATTTTTTTCATCTAATTTGCATATTTAAACCATTTAAAAAAATGAGATTTATCATATTCAATGTATAGGGTTTTATTATGTCTCTCATTTTCTCTCAAAAGCCAGGCATACATAGACATGCACGCCCACACATGCTATAAGAACATACATGTGTGCATGCATGTGTAAGTACACGCACACGCACATGCACAGCTTCTAGGGAAAGGGAGTGGTCAACCGTTACTGACACTCTTGCAATTTTTGTCCATGGTGATATAAAAAGTAGCTACTAGTAATATGGAAGTTCGTTTCTGATTAGTAACAAATAACATATTGAAGGTTTTTTAAGTGCCTGTCTTTTGATTCCGTTAAATGCATTCTTCTGTTTCATTCTTGTATGATATGTTTTGGTGGGACAATTATCTGCTTTCTAATTATTGTCTATGTGGAATAACAGAAAACAATGGTCCAATGTTCTAAAATTTAAAGAATTTACACTGATTCTTGCATGCTTGTTATACATCCAGTTGACCATCAGCATTGGCAGCAGAATGCTCCTCAAGTTAGTGTTCTGCCAAAACCTACTCCTCCACCAGGAATCACACCACATCTTCACCAGTCACCAGTGAATTGTTATGCCTCTGCTGAACCTACTTCAAAAAGTACTAGTTTGGGTTCTGAGAGACCGTCAAATCCATTACCTTCCCCAGGAATGGCCATAGGACATTCCTTGGGCACATTTACTTATGAAGATTTAGCATTGGCAACAGATAATTTCTCTGATCCTAACCTCATTGGTCAAGGAGGTTTTGGTTATGTCCACAAGGGAGTGCTAAAAAATGGGAAAGTAGTTGCAATTAAGCAGTTAAAAGCTGGAAGTGGACAGGGTGAGCGTGAATTTCAAGCAGAGGTTGACATCATTAGCCATGTGCATCACAGACATCTCGTTTCACTAGTTGGATACTGCATTATTGGAGACAAGAGGTTGCTTGTTTATGAGTTTGTTCCAAACAACACATTAGAATTTCATTTACATGGTGAGTCATTTTGGTGGTTAATCCTCTTCCTTCCCACCCCACCCACCTCACCGGCTGCAAGAAAATGACCATTGACCAGCCAAAAAAAAAAAAAAAAGCAGAAACTGAACATTGTGTTGCCAATCATAATTTTGTTTCTTCTTTTTTCAACTACTTGCTTGTTCTACTGATATCATTTATCTTTTGAAAATTTTGCAAAGATTGCTAACTCATGTTCCTGGTATCTTTCTTTTCCTTCTATCTGGGTGCTTTAAGGGACTTTGAAGATCTTAATTCAAAAGATTTTTGATACCATGTTCTGGGTCCAAGTCTGTCAGTCATGAAATATTAGACTTTTTGAAATGGTGAAAATGCAATAAATTTAGCATATATGGAGGTGGAAAATTATACCGCATTTTTCTAGCTTGGTTCAGGATTGTGCATAGCAACAACAGTAACAAATGATGTTCTCGTATGTGTTTGGTTCTTAGTAATGAGTAATACTTGATAAAGCCTTTGGAAAATTCATAACTTAAGCTTTAAAAGAGTGAAAAAGTTGAAAAATACAGTAACATACTCTTGCAGAAGAAAAAAATTTAAGAATTTAAGAACGATAATGATTGTGCAGTTCTTTCATATGATGGATGATAAATAGATAAGTCATATACTATTATGCGAAACAAAAAGCGTTTATTTTCTTTGTATAATCTGATACTAACTGGTTCTTGAACATGCATGGTGAAGTATCAAATTGAGATCACAACTTAGATTGAGGATGTATAGCTGTATGTGCATATTTTAACTATGATACTTTGGTTTGAACTGGATGAAAATTAACATGCAGGAAAAGAGAGGCCAGTTATGAACTGGTCAACCAGAATGAAAATTGCACTAGATGCAGCCAGAGGATTGGCATATTTGCATGAGGACTGTAAGGATTCTTTACACATCTAGTTTACTTTGTGAGGTTTAAGCACTTTCCAGTTTCTAGTCTCATAGTTTCTACTTTTTCCTCCTAAACATAAATATATAATCAGGTCAGCCCAAGATCATACATCGTGATATCAAGGCAGCTAACATTCTTCTTGATAATAGCTTTGAGGCTAAGGTATGATTTCAGTTTTTCGAATTGAAGGCTATTATTTCATGGCTGCAGGATTGGTTTATCCCTTTGCCTCCTGAGGCTGAGAACAAGCAAAAGTTCATATATGTTTCTCAATGTTATGTCAGCTCTTTGGATGTCTCGTGGAAAAAAATAAAACTGTTGATTTAGTTTTTTCATGACTCTTCAATGAGCAAATTGTCCTTTAGATTGGAATGCTGAATAGAAAATGAATTTGATTATGAGAGTTTTTAAATATTACCTTATCTCAAATTTGATGAAAACTTGTTCTGAATGTATGCCCTAAAGAAAATTTCTTTTTGATTTGAATGACCCAAGTTCCGTGTGTCTTTCTGAATGCAAGTGTCTCACCTTTTTTCTCAGGTTGCAGATTTTGGACTTGCAAAGTATTCTTTAGATACTGATACTCATGTCTCTACTCGAGTAATGGGAACTTTTGGGTAATATATGTATTTTCACTTATTTCCCCATAGCATTTGATATTGTTGCAAAAATTCAATAAGTTATGGCTTACCCCATGCCATCTTGCAGTAGATTTTCTTTTTTATCTATAGTCTGTAAAATTCATAAGTACATCCCCTCTGACAAGAATGTACACATGCAGTTACATGGCTCCAGAGTATGCCTCCAGCGGGAAGCTTACAGGGAAGTCAGATGTTTTCTCCTTTGGGGTTGTGCTTCTGGAGTTGATTACTGGATGCCGTCCTGTTGATAAGTCTCAGCCATTCTTTGATGACAGCTTAGTTGATTGGGTCTGTAACTCCATTTTAATGTGAATATATAATCTAGCCAATCATGGAATATCGCCAGTTTTAGTTGATTTCTTAGTGTTAAAAGGGCGATCTTATATTCTTTTCAAATGTTCATAACCAAAGGTTTAGGCCCCCACCAGGACATGGACATGCAAATGGCCTTCCATCCCCTTGTTTCAAATCCTTATGTATTAATGCCTGACTGGCATGGGATGAATAACTGATCCTTTTATTGAATTCTAGGCAAGGCCTTTACTTTCGCAAGCTTTGGTACATAGAAATTTTGAAACATTTGTGGATCCAAGGTTGCACAAGGGCTATGACTCCAGTGAAATGACTCGTATGGTTGCTTGTGCTGCAGCCTGTGTTCGTCATTCAGCAAGGAATCGCCCACGGATGAGCCAGGTTCTTTGACTATCTGCTTAATATTAAGTTCTAGTCTTTAATCAACACTTCTCATTTTATCAATTAGATAAATGTTTTAGAGTTGAATGGTCAGTGTTTTTGAAGCATGGTAACATGTTGCCATTTACATAAGTTAATAGTTGGTATTTATTGGTGTTTGATAACATAATTTAAACTCTAGATAGATTTTGACCCTTTACGGATGTTTTTGCCTTTTAATTTATAGCATCTACATGTTCGAAATGAATGTCAATTTGACAATTCATGACCCTGGACTGAATGCTGGCATGTAACCACTTTTCTGTCACTCAACGAAGCAGATAGTTCGAGCTCTGGAAGGAAATATTTCTCTGGATGATTTGAATGAGGGAATCATACCTGGGCACAGCACAGTGTTCGGTTCCTATGAAAGTTCTGATTACAGTTCAACCCAATACAGGGAAGACATGAAGAAGTTCAGGAAGGTGGCACTGGAAAGCCAAGAGCTTGGTAGCAGTGAATACAGTGCGGTCACCAGTGAATATGGTGTTAATCCATCTAGCTCCAGCAGTGAAGGCCAACATCCTACCCAGGTGATGGAAAAGTCGAAAGCGGATAAAGAAACCAAAGATGTTATCGGAAGTTTGTAACAATCTATTGCAAAATTGCTTGGAAAACAGTAAATTCTTGTCTCCCAGCTGTATTCATTATCGCCTCATTTCCAACTTGGGAGAACCACTTGTAAAGCAAATTTGAGATTTGTTTTGAGATCCATTCCTCCCCTCACCCAAGTCTTTGGTTTTTCTCTGCTATCCAAAAATGTCAGCCAAGCCAAGGTAGACTGATAGCAATAGTGAAATCAAGATTTGGTTTAAGGGATTGGGTGGATTTTGTGAATTCCACTGAAAATGCATCGATTTTTAATATTATTTGCTTGTTTAGAGTTATCAAGCCTGTATTGCCTGTATATATTTGACGTAGTAATACTCTCACCGCAACAGTGTATCAAATATCTATAGAGAAGCTTCAATGAATTTCAACGTGTTCCTTTTTTTTTTTTTATTTGATAAGTTGTATTTCATTATCTAATGTAGCGGAAAAACTGCAAACAAAAATCAATACAAAGTGTTGCAACAGTGCTTTTTGGTGTTAAAAAAATTAGGTGAGAGAAGATTTCTTCGTTACATAATCAGGATAGACTGGATGTTTCACCACACCATTAGTCATGCAAATCTTGAACCGTAGCTTATTATCTTATACTTTATACATTTCAAATATGTATAAAGTAATTTAAATTAAGAATTTATTTCAATTGATTTATTTTTTTAATTTTAAGAGATGACATCTAATAAATTTAAATTTTAGTATTTATAATTTTTTTTTTATTTTTAGACTTAGAACCTCATTTTAACTAAAGTAATTTTATAAGCAATTTTATTAAGTTATTTCGTGTCCAACAATTTTACTTAATTTCATAAATCATATCTAATGAACTAGTTATAATTATATAAATTTGAAATTTTATTCATATAATATATTTTTTAATAGTGATTTATTGATGTAGCATTGAAAATTTAATTTAAATGATTATGATTTAAATTTAAATAATTTTAATTATTTATTATTTATTTGTACTTAAGTCACCATAGTTACTTTTAATTAATCAGTAGCATTTACTTGTACTTAAACAAAAGTTACCGATAATTACCAAAGAATAAATACGATACCAAAAATTTTAAAAAATATATAAATTAATCCAATAAAAATGAAATGATTGATAAAAAATATAAAAATATATTTTTATATCTCAAAATTAAAATTTAATAATCATAAATTTTTATTATTTTTTCAATTAATTAAATCATTTGACATCAATTTTCATCATTGTTAGAAAAAATGATTAATTATTTTTGTCCAATAAAAAATTTAATTGAATAAAAATAAATATTTAAAAATTAAATTAAATGAAAAAAATATTTAAAAATTTAACTAATTCAAAATAAAAATTTTAAAATTTGATTAATTATATTAATGTTAAAAATTAAATGGTTATTGAATTTTTATTTGAAATTTTTTTATCCTTTGCCTAAAAACCAACTGCAAATTCAACATATACACATGGGCATTTTTGTAATATTATTAACAGCTAATCTCTTTTCTGTCATTTGACTGCTTGGGTGGCTGAAAACAATATCAATTTCCTTTTCTGGCAAAACAAAACAAATTAATCAACCATCCAAAATTTCCCTTCTCTGATATTTTCTCTCGAAATCAAAGATTGTAAAAGAAAATTTGTTTAATTTAATAAAATCCCACAATTTTTTACAATTATTAAAAACAATAATTATAAAATTCTCAAATCCGATCCCATGGCTTCTCGTCGCCGTGTGCTTCTAAAGGTCATAATTCTCGGTGACAGCGGGTAATCTTTATGATCTTTTTTTTTTTTTTCTCTTACTCTAATTTTCTATCTTTGTCTCCTTAGAATTGAAAATTTTGTTGTTTTTCCCATTTTAATTACAATTATTTGCCTTTTTTTGGCTAACATGCATTTTCTTTTGATCTTTTTATTTTTTTTCTAGGGTTGGGAAGACATCTCTGATGAATCAGTAAGCTTTGAAACTTAAAACCTGAATTTTTATTTTTTCTTTTTAATTATTGAATTTTGGACATTCAATTGCTGGTTCTGATGTTTTAATTATTGTTAATTTTGTTGGAATTAGGTATGTTAATCGTAAATTTAGTAATCAGTATAAAGCGACGATAGGAGCCGATTTTTTGACAAAAGAGGTTCAATTTGAAGATAAATTGTTCACATTGCAGGTAAAAAATTGTTCATTTTCTAATGAAAAGTTTATTTTTATTTCTTTGATTTGCAGATTATTTAACTGTTTGGAACGGCATTTAGTTTCAGCTTTCCCACATGATGATATGATAGTGCAGTGTGAATTTTTGCATCTGTATAAGTTTACATTTCTTAGTACTCTTTTTTCTCTTTGTGTGCATAGATATGGGATACTGCAGGGCAGGAAAGGTTTCAAAGTTTAGGTGTGGCTTTCTACCGTGGCGCTGATTGCTGTGTACTAGTGTATGATGTGAATGTCATGAAGTCCTTTGATAATCTTAACAACTGGCGCGAAGAGTTTCTGATTCAGGTAATATTCTATTGAATGACATGTAGAATATCTTAATTTGAAGAATGACAAATGTTTTTTTTTTTTGGTTGAATGTTCAGGCCAGCCCATCTGACCCTGAAAACTTTCCATTTGTTGTGTTGGGAAACAAGGTTGATGTTGATGGTGGCAATAGTCGAGTGGTAAGATGTCTTCCACCCTCTTTACCTGCCTTTCTCCCCTCCGTTTGTACCCAAAGCTTTCTTAGTGTTTTATGGTAGTACGTGGGAGTGTGTGGGTTTTCTGATGGTGTAAAAATGAGGTTATTATTTCTGGTTTAGGTTTCCGAAAAGAAAGCAAAGGCTTGGTGTGCTTCAAAAGGAAACATACCATACTTTGAGACCTCTGCAAAAGAAGGATTCAATGTTGATGCAGCATTTGAGTGCATAGCCAAAAATGCTCTCAAGAATGAACCTGAAGAAGAAATGTAAGTATCAGTGTGTCTGAATAGTTTACTTGTTTTCTTAATCATGTGCTTATTGTTACTAAGAGATGTTGGATGGTGGAAGCAAAATTTGCATAAATCAATGATGTTATACAAGAAATAACAAATAGATAACTAATAAAATGTTTATGCTGGTGTGTCAATATTCAAAGAAATAATATAAAGGGTTAATGTCATATTTGGCCCTTATATTTTACAAAAATTTTTCAATGTGCTATCTGTACTTTTAAAATGTGTAATGTGGTACATGTACTATCATTTCTGTGTGATAATGTGTTACCCTGAGAGCTTTGATTTTTTTGCATGAGATTCTTTTAGTATCTTTTATTAGGTGGATCATGGGATCATGTCAAAGTTGAATAACAGATTGAGCCTTTTATAGTTCAAAAGCTAATATGCTGGAGACAGGAGTTCTTTTAATGGTCACCATGAATGCCTCTGGAATTTGCTTTATGCCTTGTGTCTGTCTGTCTGTGATCGAATTGTTCTTAGCTTTGTAAAAATGTAATTCCAATATGTGTGTGTGTGTGTGTGTGATTCTATGGAATGTTTTATAGAAAGCCTTATGAATGTACAAATTATATTGGATATCCACATTCTTCACGGATTGCTAATTGTCTGTGTTCAATTCTTGTTTTGTTGATGACCAAAGATACCTTCCTGAAACTATTGATGTTGCTGGTGGAGGACGGCCACAGAGATCGACAGGGTGTGAATGTTAAATGAGTTGTTGGATATGACTGTTTTTGCCAGAGTGCAAAAACATCTGCCATAGATTTCTGGTTTCTATCAGTTAATGGTGCAGGTTCTGACAATTACTAATAAACTAGGGATGATAACACTCCTATAAGGTTCGATTTTTGTATCAGTAAGTTGGTTAAAAAAGAAAAGTTGAGGTGATCCTCCTCTTGTTGATTTCTTTTTATTTACAACAATTGATTGTTCATTAATCGTCCTGTTTGAAAGTAATTATACCATGGTTCCTACTTCCCATGTCATTATCACCGATATTCTATTATTCTGTAATAAAATATGGAGTCTCTGTTGTATTCCTTTTGTCCTTTTTTCTTGGGTACCCATGTACAAGCTTTTGATGGATAACCTTGAATTGTTGTCAGGCAAATTACTTGCACTTTCAAGGCCAGAGAGATTCGAATTTAGTTCAATTATATGGATGGGTTAGAGTTCGATCCCTAATAATGCCTTTAAATTTAACTTGATTAGCACTTGTATTCATGGGCAATATCTGTAGAATTATATACGGTTCACTTTGAAGTTGAAAGTGGAGAGCCCAAATGATTCTTCTGATTATTAAGACAGTAATAGGTTAAAGTCTAATCTTGACCCTTTCAATCAGCTGAAAGTTACGGTCATCTCAGGTGTTAAATTGAACCTCTGCATGCGCATGGCCATGACACATGCCACTTAACAGCAAGTTTGGACTTTTACTGTAGGCCGACAAAAAGAAATTTCCAGGCATTTTGTGGGCAATGGCATCTATCGCTATCCACTTTCCCATGTCAGCTTCAGACAGAATTCCAATTTGGAACTTCCTATTGTTCCTGTCTAGCTGAATTATCCAATCAAGACTTTTCTTCTCTTTTAATTAGAGGATCAGGGTTCTCAAACATTTTGGAGAATCGATAGGAGCTACGAGAGGACGAGGATCCATGGGGTTACTAGAGAAGATCCTCCCACCGCGCCTGGAGGACGCGGGGCTCGAGGACTGCGCTCTTCCTCCAGATTCCATACACGAGGCCTTCCTCAAAGCCGCCTCTGCTGTCAAGTCACGTGCGGCTACCTTCTTCCACTCTGATGGTGAAGATGAGGTTGGAACCGCATGCGTCGACTACCCATTCCCCGACAACGGTAAGTGCTCCTCCGATATTCTTGATTCGCTGCTGTGTCCGGACATGTCTGATGTCGTAGTGGTAGGAGGGTCTCCAGACCCTGCCTCAGTCTCGGGGAAGGCTGCGTGAAGGGAAAGGAAGGGGGCAGGGAGTTGGTGGAAGGTAACGACATGGTGGTTGTAGGTGGTGATGGTGTAGAGGCGGTGGATGGGAAGGGTTGTCTAGATGATGAGTTGAAGGGTTTGAAGATTGGAGAGAGGGAAAAAGAAGAATGAAAATGAGGAGGATGATGAGAGGAGGGGAAAGGAAAAACCAACTCTGGTTACGGGTTTCGTGTAAGATCCCTTCTTGATGCTTAATGTAGCTCCTGTCTGTACAAATTTTCTTTTTCCTTTTTGAATAATTTAAGGGTGTGGCCAAAAAATAAAACTTTAAGGGTGATGGGAAAACATCCACAAATCTCATTGAACATGAAAGGATGTCATCAACGGTAGTTTTAATTGACATCCACAATAGCTTTAATTTGCCAATTGAGAATTCCTTCAGCATCATTAATCTGTTGCACCACTTCAAGGTTGTTCGATTCCGCCCATAGATTACTCCATCTCTTTCCAGTACTGCTAGATGACAAGTCTAATAGCCAGTGCTTAAGCGGTCTCAGTTGAACTTCTGAAACAACATATATTGAATCCGTCCACGACTTGATCCCAGGAGTCTCTAAAAACAGCAGCTAGTTCTGCTTTGTTGGTTTTGCATGTAAATGAGGCATAACAATTAACTTTGACAATCATGAGAGGAGGTTTCTGCCAAATAATACTGCCTAAATCTTGAGCTTGTGCAGGGCCTGGTATCATTAATTGAATTATAAGCTTCCTCAAATTCTCCATACCCTTCAGCAGCTTGCCTCCAAACTTGACTTGGGTCTTCCTTTATCCCTTCGAAAATGGATTTGTTCCTAGCTTTTCAAAGGTTCCAACTAAAGATAGCAATCAAACTTCTGGAACTCAAATATCCAAAATGGCGAAAGTTAGCACATACTTCCTTCAACAACCGAAAGAAACCAACAAAATTACTCCCTACTCGGGAACTAGCTCAGAGTACTGGCTCCCCTAGCAGCTGATAATAAAAAGAGACAATGCTCAATTGATTTATTTTCAAGCTCGCAACTTGGACGTAAGGGAGAAAGCATGGAGACGTTTAAAAAGGTTTGTCTTGAACAGGGGATTGCTATGAGGCGATAAAGGCATTAGCGATGTAGTTGTGAGCTTTGAAGGCACCACTCCAGATGGTTTCTCAGGGGTGTTCGCCCACCTTTATTGGGAGATTGTAGGGGATTGGGTGATTCAAGCAACAAAGGACTTCTTTGCCACTCGTCGGCTGGCGTAAGAAACAAATTTAACCCACGTAGTTTTTATCCCCGAAGTTGCCAAACCTGACGAGGTGTCCCAAAGCAGACCAATTAGCCTATTTAATTTTATTTACAAGGTTATCTCGAGACTTTGGTTAACAGATTGGAAGGGATTCTTCCTGATGTTATTTGCCCGGAGCAGTATGCATTTGTTCCTTCTAGGCAAATTTTCGATAATTTTATTGTGGGCTGTAGGCCATGAGGCTTTTCATCAACTGAGAATCAAAAGAAGCAAGAAGGATTTTGAATTGTGGGTTGAATGTTTATACAAGTTTAAGGGTTTAATTAGACAAAAATATTACTTTAAAGATTTTCTTGGAAAAAAGGTTTTTTTTTTAGTGTTCTAGTCTTATATTTATTACTACATAATAAGACTTGGAAAAATAATAATTTCTTCTTTTTTAAGAAGGAAAAACAATAATTTTATTTTTTAAAATAGAAAAAAATAATTTTAGAGTAGCAATTAAAAGTAAAATGGAATTTAAGATTCTCACAACAATGTTCGATGAATTCAGCAAATAATAGTAGTCATTGCCACACTTTTTTCTCAGTTACACCAGCTGACTGAAGTAAATAATTTATGTTACCAAAATGGTGTTAAAATAAGGGGGCGATAAAACCTGACCCTTCATTCCAAACAATGCAAGCTTTTCGCATTGATGAGAAGAGGGGAAAGGAAAAACCAATTCTGGTTGAGGGTTTTGTGTAAGATCCTTCTTCTTGATGCTTAATGTAGCTCCTGTCTGTACAAATTTTCTTTTTCTTTTTTGAATAGTTTAAGGGTGTGGCAAAAAATAAAACTTTAAGGGTGATGGGAAAACAACTTTTTGATATCCACAAATCTCACTGAACATGAAGGGATGTAATCAACAGTAGCTTTAATTGACATCCACAATAGCTTTAATTTGCCAATTGAGAATTCCTTCAGCATCATTAATCTGTTGCACCACTTCAAGGTTGTTCGATTCCACCCATAGATTACTCCATCTCTTTCGAATACTGAGATGACAGGGAAGTCTAATAGCCAGTGCTTAAGCGGCCTCAGTTGAACTTCCGAAACAACATATATTGACTCCATCCACGACTTCATCCCTGGAGTCTCCAAAAACAGCAGCTTGTTCTGCTTTGTTGGTTTTGCAGGTAAATCAGGCATCACAATTAATTTTGACGGTCATGAGAGGAGGTTTCTGCCAAATGATACTGCCTAAATCTTGAGCTTGTGCAGGACCTGCTATCATTAATTGAATTAGAAGCTCCCTCAAATTCTCCGTACTTATTAGCAGCTTGCCTCCAAACTTGACTTGGGTCTTCCTTAATCCCTACGAAAATGGATCTCTTCCTAGCTTTTCAAAGGTTCCAACTAAAGATAGCAATCAAACTTCTGGAACTGAAATTTCCAAAATGGGGAAAGGTAGCACATACTTCCTTCAACCACCGAAAGAAACCAACAAATCACTCCCTACTTGGGAACTAGCTAAGAGTACTGGCTCCCCTAGTAGCTGATAATAAAAACAGACAATGCTCAATTGATTTATTTTCAAGCTTGCAACTTGGACGTAAGGGAGAAAGCATGGAGACGTTTAAAAACGTTGTCTTGAACAGGGGATTGCTATGAGGCGACAAAGGCAGCAGCGATTTAGTTGGGAGTTTTGAAGGCACCACTCCAGATGTTTTCTCAGGGGTGTTCCCCCACCTTTATTGTGAGATTGTAGGGGATTTGGTGATTCAAGCAACAAAGGACTTCTTTGCCACTCATTAGCTTAGTTTTGATCCCCGAAGTTACCAAACCTGAAAAGGTGTCCCAATGCAGACCAATTAGCCCATTTAATTTTATTTACAAGGTTATCTCGAAGACTTTGGTTAACATATTGAAAGGGATTCTTCCTGATATTATTTCCCCGGAGCAGCATGCATTTATTCCTTCCAGGCAAATTTTCGACAATATTATTGTAGGCTGTAGCCCATGAGGCTTTTCATCAACTGAGAATCAAAAGAAGCAAGAAGGATTTTGAATTGTGGGTTGAAGGTTTATACGAGTTCAAGGGTTTAATTAGACAAAAATATACCTTTCAAGGATTCCTTGGAAAAAAAGCTTTCTTTTTTTAGTATTCTAGTCCTTTATTTATTACTACACAATAAGACTTGGAAAAACAATAATTTATTCTTTTTTAAAGAAGGAAAAAAATAAAATTATTTTTTAAAATAGAAAAACAATAAATTTAGGGTTGCAATTAAAAGTAAAATGAAATTTAAGATTCTCACAACAATGTTCGATGAATTCAGCAAATAATAGTACTCATTGCCACACATTTTTCTCGGTTACACCAGCTGAGTGAAGTGAATAATTTATGGTACCAAAATGGTGTTAAAATAAGGGGGCGATGAAACCTTACTCTTCATTCCAAACAATGCAAACTTTTCGCATGGCGGGGAAACCAGGTGTTAAACTTAGACAGCTTAATGTGATGCACTTGGCAAAGCAATTGTTAGAGCTGAATTCAGTGCATGTTTTCCCATTTTGTTACTTACTTATGGCAGGACCTTTGCCTTTTTTGCGATAAAAAATATTTAGGTCTAACATTTTTGTATTCTGTTTATAGATTGGTAAATTTTTAGTTTTAATAATTGTTAATTTATTGATAAAATACTAATTTCTTAATTTTAGTAAGCAGAATTCAATCTCTCATAATCTCAAATATTATAAAAAAGGGATATTTTAAGGTAGTTTTTTTTGCCACATTCAGTATATGGAATTAATGCTAGGTAATTAAGGTAAGTATATGAATGGTAAATTTTTTTTGGCCACATTATAAGCATAGTAATTAACGCATCCGCATTCAGTATACGGAATTAATGTAAGGTAATTAAGGTAAGTACTTACATGGCAATTTTTTTTTGCCACATTCAGTATGAGCATTGTAATTAATGCATCCATTGAAAAATTTCAAGATACATTCAGTGTATGGAAGAAAATCGTTGATGCATGCTTATTCAATTTCAGATTCAATGTGTTGAATTGAATATAAAATACCATCAACTGTAGTGTTCCAATTATATCATGAGTAGAAGAACAATGGCGAAGTCTGGGTTCCTGAAGTTTTCCAACTTTTCCTTCATTCTCATGTTTAGCATGTGCTCCCTGTTTGTAGTTGCAAAGGAAGATAGAAAGGCAGGTTTTGTCATTTTTAGCATACAACTGTAGATATAAGAACTGCATATTAGACAGATGACCTGCAAATTAGATTTATATTTTTGTCCACTCTTTATGATCAATAATTAATGTTTACAATGATGAGGATAATGAATTGACTTTTAACATCGTGCTAACGCAGGCCTACATTGTGTACATGGGATCACTTCCTGCAGTAGAACACTTACCAATATCATCTAACCATCTTAGTATGCTTCAAGAAGTTGTTCAGAGCAGGTATTATTTAATCTTTTTTTATTATTTTATTTTTATAGAATTAGCCTTTTCTTGATCCTTTTCATTTTTCAATCTCTTTCTGCCTGTACAGCTCTGTTGCAAATTTTTTAATCAGAAATTATGAAAGGACCTTCAATGGATTTGCTGCCAAGCTCACCAATCAAGAGGCAAAAAAGCTGGCCAGTAAGTGGTGTATAGCCCTTCTATTCTACTAGTTTTATTGGAGGAATGGTCTTAAGTTCTAAAGATATGTTATCATGCAGGCATGAAAGGAGTAGTATCTGTTTTTCCAAGTAGAACTCTCCACCTTCTTACAACAAGATCTTGGGATTTTATGGGATTCCATGAGAATTCTAACCACAATCTAGCTGCTGAGAGCGAAGTCATCATTGGTGTCCTTGATACCGGAATCTGGCCAGAGTCAGCTAGCTTTCAAGATGAAGGTTTTGGTCCTCCTCCCAAAAAGTGGAAAGGAGTTTGCAAAGGAGGCAAAAATTTCACCTGCAACAAGTAAATATATTTCTTCCTAAACCATCATTGCATTTCAGGGATTCTATCTTGTCTTAATGTCCACCATCTATATATGTTACTTGATTAAGATGCTGCTAATGACTTCCCTGACAGATTTATATGCTTAAAATTCTTGCAGCAAGATCATTGGAGCTCGATTTTACTCATCATCATCATCATCAAATTCGACAGATGGGACTGCAAGAGATGTTGAGGGTCATGGAAGCCATACTGCGTCTACCGCAGCTGGTAACAAAGTAAAAGATGCTAGTTTCTTTGGACTGGGGCAAGGAACTGCAAGAGGAGCAGTTCCCTCCGCCAGGATTGCTGCATATAAAGTCTGTCATCCAGAAGGGTGTGATTCAATGGATATTTTGGCAGCTTTTGATGATGCCATTGCTGATGGAGTCGATATTATAACGGTTTCACTTGGAGGAGAGTCTGCAGTTGATTTTTACGAAGATACAATTGCGATAGGTGCTTTTCATGCCATGGAGAAAGGAATACTTACCTTAAATTCTGCAGGCAATAATGGTTTATCAGGATTGCAATCAGTATCAAGCGTAGCACCATGGATGGTTTCTGTAGCAGCAAGTAGCACAGATCGCCAGTTCATTGACAAGGTTATTCTTGGGGATGGGGAAAAACTAAATGTATGTATCATAGGCTCGTATGTCTTTATAATTACTATTCCTTTTTTAAATTCCTGATGATTACTAATTGTTTTAAACTACTAATGATTCTGTTTATGTAAATAGGGATTCTCAGTTAATTCCTTCAATCTCAATGGAACAAAGTTCCCCCTGATGTATGGAAAATATGTCTCAAAAAATTGTTCTGAAACCGAGGCCATGTTCGTCAAATTTTACAATTTATTTTAATTTTCCTTTATTTAAAAAAAAAACTAACTAACTCTTTGTTCACTGTCAGGCTGTGTGAAGAGGATTGTCTAGATAGTAGTTTGGTAGAAGGAAAAATTGTGCTATGTGATCAGTTTAAAGGAAGCTTTGAAGCTCATAGAGCCGGCGCAGCCGGATCAATTTTGCTAAATGAAGATTTCAAGAATCTTTCATCTATGGTCTCATTACCTGCACTGGCTTTAAGCAATGACAACTATGATTTTGTCAAATCCTATGTGAAATCGACCAAGTATGGTGCATATATTAAGTAGTATTACTTTAGCAAAATTTTTTTACATGTGCATTGATAGTTTTCAGATGATTTATTTCCCATGTCTTATGATACAGAAAACCTGAAGCAGAAATACTAAAAAGTGAAGTCATCAAAGATTCTGCTGCTCCTGTTGTTGCCATCTTCTCATCCCGGGGTCCAAATTTTATTATACCGGACATTTTGAAGGTAAGAATTTTCGTAACTTGAAAATTCCCTCCAGTTCACAATCATGCTTGGCATTTTGCTTATATTATAGTTTACATGTCAATGCAGCCAGATTTAACTGCTCCAGGGGTCAACATCTTGGCAGCATATTCACCACTAGGTTCACCCTCGAATGATCCTACAGACAAGAGGCAAGTTGAATACAACATAGTGTCTGGAACCTCAATGTCATGCCCTCATGCTGCTGGTATAGCTGCATATGTTAAGACATTCCATTCTGACTGGTCCCCTTCTGCCATCCAATCTGCTCTCATGACTACTGGTACCTTTTCAAATCATCAATCATTACCATGAAATAGCTTGCTTGATTTGGTTACTTTTTCTTGGTAAACCTGACCAAACATTTTCATTTGTTATTTGTAGCTCGGGCCATGGATCAATCCAAAAATGATGATGGTGAATTTGCTTATGGTTCTGGGCATATTAACCCAATAAAAGCTGTTGATCCTGGGCTAGTATATGAAGCGTTTAAAGAGGACTACATAAAGTTGATGTGCAGCATAGGGTATGCCCCAGATTCAATTAGAGCTATATCAGGAGACAACAGCTCTTGCCCTGAAAGTTCTCAAAATGTACCACCTAAGGATCTCAATTATCCTTCCATGACAGCTTTTGTTCCATCAGAGAAGTCTTTCACTGTTAATTTTCACAGAACAGTAACAAATGTTGGGCTTTCAAACTCTACTTACAGGGCAGAAGTCTCTCCAAGTTCAAGACTTCATGTTAAAGTGGTTCCTGAAGTTCTCTCCTTCAAGTCATTAAAGGAAAAGAAGTCTTTTGATGTAACTGTTACTGGAGAAGGTTTAAATTCATCAGCTATGGTTTCTGCATCCTTGGTCTGGTCGGATGGCAACCACACAGTTAGAAATCCAATTGTCATACACACATTCCGAGGTACAAGAGACTAAGTGTCATCTACAAAAATTAGAGTTGTTCTTATATAATTGTTAGGTTGATCTTTCAACTACAATATATTGTAAGAAAATGATTCCTTTATGAATTTTTATGTTATAAAATTATAATCTTCTCAAATCTTTGGGAACGTTCTACCAATGAAAACTGATTCTCTTTCTTTTTGCCAAAATGGAAAATACAAAGGCAATGAACTAGAAATATAGCTTTTTCTTTCAGAAAAAGAAAAAGTAATGATGATAAATGATAAAGATGGTATTCTTTCAGAAAAAAAAAAACTTTGTTTAGGGTATACTGAGCGTACAAGATTATAAATAGGATTTTTTGTACAAAGAAAATCAAAGTTGGGACAAGGAAATGGGTTACAATGGCTGAGATTTACTTCAAAATTGTTTAACGTCATCTTTTAAAAGTGATTAAATAAATTAATTAAGTTAAAATTTAAATTTAACATTTTCGCTATTTCTTACCCTAAAATTTTCTCTATCAATATGTACCTCCAATCCGATTCCACAAGCAAATTCTTTGGGGGCAAGTTTATCATATATATATAACTTCTTTCCTTCATGTCTTCCTTTTTGTAGTCTTGTTGTTTTGGCCAATACTGTATTGTAGACTGGAGAGCTCTTGTTTCATCACTTCTGTAAAATGCCTCACAAACTAGTAGCTGCTTAGAATACAAGGAAAAGTTTTGTTGAAAATAGGCATGGGCGTATGGCTGATTTGGATGAGAAAGAAAACCCAATCAATTCAAACAAGGCATTTATCATCAATCACCACACATCATCAAGGTAAAGAATATAAAACTCAGGTTTTTTTCTTTCTTGCTATCATAATAGTATAATTTCCGTATGTATCAATACGTTTCAAATTAATATAATCAAATTAAAAGTAACCACAAAATCAAAGCGTCCGAAAAATTTAAAAGGAACCCTTTTTATTTTATGATGTATTGTCTCTATGGTTGGATGTTTCGATTATAAATTTGTAGGATTTTTATTTTTTGATTTTTTGCCAAGTCAAGTTTTGGTTTAATTTTTGGGTTTGAATTTATTGGATTTTGTGAATAGGTTTCTTGGTTGTATACAAGATTTGAGTTTAAGTGTGCTAAATTATTTATGTACTATTTTGATTTGGTGAAAACTGATTGTTTTCTCTGTTGGTTGCTTGATTATAAAAATTAAGATATTTGTGGTTTTAATTTTTTGGTTTGGATTTACCGAGTATTGTATATGAATTTTTTGGTTGTGTGGGTGAGCTAAATTTTATTCGACAATCACATTAATTTTCAATGACAACCACTAACAGAGTAAATAGCTTTGAAGAAATCCAGAAATAAACTTAGCAGTAATTAAAAAAATTTATAGAGTTCGAATCTACCCTGAATTATCTACAACTAGTAAATTCACAAAGCAGACATAAATACATATAACGGCCGTGACAACTTATCAGCAAGGTTTTTTTTTTTTTTTTGGTGGATTTCAGTTTGAATTTTTTTTAAATTTTTAGATTTTTAAAACAGAGACAAAAAGAGAAGAAAGGAGAAAATCGATTGGTAGCACAGTGAATGACAATCGGTGCACAGGTGCTAAAATCGATGATGATAGGTGAAGGCTATGGTCAGCTTCATCAGAAACTGAGTTTGGTTCTTGGTATTAACTTGGTTGAAATAAGTTAGGAAGAAGATTTAACAATGTTGGAGAGAAAAAAATAAAAACAAAAAAAAATTAATTTTGAAAATAAAATTGAAAATATTATTATTTTAGGCAAAAAAATAATCAAATATATTACAGAATAATTAAGTGTCAACTTTTAAATCTCAATAATTACTTTTAATTTGTCTCAATTTATAAGATAGTTTTATGTAATTTATTTTTTTTTTTTTAATAATTTAAGGGTGTGGCCAAACAAAAAAAAAAAAAGAATAGTTCAAGGGTGATGGATGTATGTGATCTATGATGAATCTTATTGCTATTTACTTAACCAAAGTCATGGAAGTTTGTCATTATGTGATAGTAAAACAACTCTTTGATATCCACAAATCTCATTGAACAGGAACGGATGTCATTGACAGTAGCTTTAATTGATATCTACAATAGCTTTAATTTGCCAATTGAGAATTTCTTCAGCATCACTAGTCTGTTGCACCATTTCAAGGTTGTTCTATTCCACCCATAGATTACTCCATCTCTTTCGAATATTGAGATGACAGGCAAGTCTAGTAGCCAGTGCGTCAGCGGCCTCAGTTGAACTTCCGAAACAATACATATTGAATCCGTCCACAACATGATCCCGGGCCTCTAAAAACAGCAGCACGTCCTGCTCAGGTAAATGAGGCCTCACAATTAACTTTGACAATCATGAGAGGAGGTTTCTGCCAAATGATACTACCTAAATCTTGAGCTTGTGCAGGGCCTGGTATCGTTAATTGAATTAGAAGCTCCTCAAATTCTCCAAATTCAGAAGAGCTTGCCTCCAAACTTGACTTGGGTCTTCCTTTATCCCTTCGAAAATGGATTTGTTCCTAGCTTTTCGAAGGTTCCAACTAAAGATAGCAATCAAACTTCTGGAACTGAAATTTCCAAAATGGGGAAAACTAGCACATACAAAGAAACCAACAAATCACTCCCTTCTTGGGCACTAGCTCAGAGTACTGGCTCCCCGAGCCGCTGATAATAAAAACAGACAATGCTCAATTGATTCATTTTCAAGCTTGCAACTTGGACATAAGGGAGAAAGCATAGAAACGTTTAAAAAGTTGTCTTGAACTGGGATTGCTATGAGGAGATAAAGGCAGCAGCGATGTAGTTGAGAGCTTTGAAGGCACCACTCCAGATGGTTTCCCCGGGGTGTTCTCCCGCCTTTATTGGGGGATTGTAGGGGATTTGGTGATTCAAGCAGCAAAGGACTTCTTTGCTACTCGTCAGCTGGCGTAAGAGGGAAATTTAACCCTTGTAATTTTTACCCCCAAAGTTGCCAATCCTGAAGAGGCGTCCCAATGCAGACCAATTAGCCTATTTAATTCTATTTACAAGGTTATTGTAGAAACCATTTGTCCGGTCTCTTCTCATTTCAATATTATTATTATTATTTTTCCTGATACATTTTTTTTTCTTTTTAATATCTTTTCTTCATTTTTTATACAAAATCATAATGCATTTAATACACCTAAAAATTATTTACGCTATCTAACTTGATATCATAAAATCTGATAACCAAAAATTACCGAACAAATCTTTATTTTTTTCACAAAGAATCACACAAAAATCCTAGATAATATGATATTTAATCTTCAAATTGCTCTATAAATAGAGCCAATCTTTACAAGTAAAAAAATACAAAAACACAAAGAAAACCTAGAGGAATGTTGTCAAAAAAAGGGGAGAGTTGATAAAAAAAACACACACACAAACAAAAAAATAATAGTCTTCCTAGAGGAAGAACCAACAACAAAGTCAAAAAAAAATTACAGAAACAAAAAATTTCCTAAACAAAATTTATTTATCTGGGCTTTTTAAATTTTTTTTAGTAAAAAATGTTTTAGAAAAGATGTTTAAAAGATAAAAAGATCATTTTAGGAATTTTAAACATTTTTTTTTGAAATTTTTTAAGGTTGCCGAAAATTGAAAAAAATTAAAATTTTTGAAGATTTTTAAAATTTTCAATGATAAGAATTTGAAAAATCTATTGAAAACTAAGATTTATTAAACTTTTGGTTGCCGGTTAAAGTTTTCGACTACTAGTGCACAATGGCAATTGGTTGAAAATTAAATTTTACGATGACCGATGAAAAGAGGTTGGTTTTAAAAAGAGAGGTTCTAGATTTGTAGAAAGAGAGAGAAAAGAAAAGAAAACTAATAAAAACAAACAAAAAAAGGCATATTTATACATCTCCAAAACGATACCGTTTTGAATATCTGAACTGTTTAGATCTACTCTTGACCAATGCAAAATCCGTGCATGACCAGCTTGGTGACTTGACTCGTTTGTATTTTTTTTTCATTTTATTTTGTTATTGTTAAAGATTTTTATAATTTATAATTTATAATAATTTATATATTTTTATACTTAAAATAAATAATTATTAGAACAATAAACAATAAAAAAAAACAAATACTAAGATTTTAATTTAAAAAATAAAAGGATAAAAAAACAATAATAATAACTATTTAAAGAACAATAAAAATTTTGTTGCAAAAAATATTATTTAAATTTCACTAAAGTGTTGAAAAATTTTAAAAATAATTTTTATTAAAAAATAATAAAATAAAAAATAAAAACTAAAGAATTGTTTAAGTTAATTTTTTAAATGTAATTTTTTTAAAAAAATTAAAAGAGTTTGATTTTCTTATTGCAAGTAAAAATAAATTTTTAGATTTTTTCATAGAATTGAAATAATCTAAAATTATTTTTACTAGAATAAAGATTTTAACTGCTAGCTTTCAAGATGAAGGTTTTGGTCCTCCTCCCAAAAAGTGGAAAGTAGCTTGCAAAGGAGGTAAAAATTTCAACTGCAACAAGTAAATATATTTCTTCCTAAATCCTAAACCATCGTTGCATTTCAGTGATTCTATCGTCTTGTCTTAATGTCCACCATCTATATATGTTGATTAAGATGCTGCTAATGACTTCCCTGACATATTTAAATGCTTAAAATTCTTGCAGCAAGATCATTGGATCTCGATTTTACTCATCATCATCATCATCAAATTCGACAGATGGGACTGCAAGAGATGTTGAAGTCATGGAAGCCATACTGCGTCTACTGCAGCTGGTAACAAAATAAAAGATGCTAGTTTCTTTGGACTGGGGCAAGGTACTGCAAGAGGAGCAGTTCCCTCTGCCAGGATTGCTGCTTATAAAGTCTGTCATCCAGAAGGGTGTGATTCAATGGATATTTTGGCAGCTTTGATGTGCTATTGCTGATGGGAGTGATATATAACAGTTTCACTTGGAGGGAGAGTCTGCAGTTGATTTTTACCAAGATAACATTGCAATAAGTGGTTTTCATGCATGGAGAAAGGAATACTTTCCTTAAATTCTGCGGGCAATAAAGTTATCAGGATTGAAATCAGTAGCAAGTGTTGAGCACCATGGTGGTTTCGTTAGCGAGCTAGTAGCACAGATCGCCAGTCTATTGACCTAGGTCATTCCTCGGGGATGGGAGAAAACGTAATTATGGTATCATAGACTTCATATGTCTTTCTTCATTACTATTCCTTTTTAAACTTTCTTGATTGAATTACTAATTGTTTTAGGCTTACTAATGTTCTGTTTATGTAAATAGGGATTCTCAGTTAATTCCTTCAATCTCAATGGAACAAAGTTCCCCCTGATGTATGGAAAATATGTCTCAAAAAATTGTTCTGAAACCGAGGCCATGTTCGTCAAATTTTACAATTTATTTTGATTTTCCTTTATTTAAAAAAAAAAAAAACTAACTCTTTGTTCACTGTCAGGCTGTGTGAAGAGGATTGTCTAGACAGTAGTTTGGTACAAGGAAAAATTGTGCTATGTGATCAGTTTAAAGGAAACTTTGAAGCTCATAGAGCCGGCGCAGCCGGATCAATTTTGCTAAATGAAGATTTCAAGAATCTTTCATCTATGGTCTCATTACCTGCACTGGCTTTAAGCAATGACAACTATGATTTTGTCAAATCCTATGTGAAATCGACCAAGTATGGTGCATATATCAAGTAGTATTACTTTAGCAAAATTTTTTTACATGTGCATTTCAGATGATTTATTTCCCATGTCTTATGATACAGAAAACCTGAAGCAGAAATACTAAAAAGTGAAGTCATCAAAGATTCTGCTGCTCCTGTTGTTGCCATCTTCTCATTCCGCGGTCCAAATTTTATTATACCGGACATTTTGAAGGTAAGAATTTTTGTAACTTGAAAATTCCCTCCAGTTCACAATCATGCTTGGCATTTTGCTTATATTATACTTCACATGTCAAATCAGCCAGATTTAACTGCCCCCTCATGCTGCTGGTATAGCTGCATATGTTAAGACATTCCATTCTGATTGGTCCCTTTCTGCCATCCATTCTGCTCTCATGACTACTGGTACCTTTTCAAATCATCAATCATTACCATGAAATAGTTTGCTTGATTTGGTTACTGTTTCTTGCTAAATCTTACCAAACATTTTCATTTGTAATTTGTAGCTTGGGCCATGGATCAATCCAAAAATGATGATGGTGAATTTGCTTATGGTTCTGGGCATATTAACCCAATAAAAGCTGTAGATCCTGGGCTAGTATATGAAGCGTTTAAAGAGGACTACATAAAGTTGATGTGCAGCATAGGGTATTCCCCAGATTCAATTAGAGCTATATCAGGAGACAACAGCTCTTGCCCTGAAAGTTCTCAAAATGTACCACCTAAGGATCTCAACTATCCTTCCATGACAGCTTTTGTTCCGTCAAATAAGTCTTTCACAGTTAATTTTCACAGAACAGTAACAAATGTTGGGCTTTCAAACTCTACTTACAAGGCAGAAGTCTCTCCAAGTTCAAGACTGCATGTTAAAGTGGTTCCTGAAGTTATTTCCTTCAAGTCATTACAGGAAAAGAAGTCTTTTGACGTGACTGTTACTGGAGAAGGTTTAAATTCATCTGCTATGGTTTCTGCATCCTTGGTCTGGTCGGATGGTATCCACACGGTTAGAAATCCAATTGTCATACACACATTCCAAGGTATAAGAGACTAAGGTCATCAACAAAAATTAGAGTTGTAGGTTGATCTTTCAATTACAATACATTGTAAGGAAATGATTCCTTTATGAATTTTTATGTTATAAAATTATAATCTTCTCAAATCTTTGGGAACGTTCTAACAATGAAAACTGATTCTTTTTCTTTTTGCCAAAATGGAAAATACAAAGGCAATGAACTAGAAATATAGCTTTTTCTTTCAGAAAATGAAAAAGTAACGATGATAAATGATAAAGATAGTATTCTTTCAGAAAAAGAAACTTTGTTTAGGATATACTCAGCATACAAGATAATAAATAAGATTTTTTGTACAAAGGAAATCAAAGTCGAGGACAAAAAAATGGATTACAATTGCTGAGAGTTATACTCCAAAATTGTTAAATATCATTTCTTAAAAATGACTCCATGAATAAACTGAGCTAAGTTTTAAATTTAACATCTTCTCTATTTGTTACCCTAAAATTTTCTGTCAATACGTATCTCCAATCTGATTCCAGTTTATCATATATAACTTCTTTCCTTCGTGTCTTCTTTATTGTAGTCTTGGTTTTTTGACCAATACTGTATTGTAGACCGGAGAACTCTTGTTTCATCACTTTTATAAAATGCCTCACAAACATAGTAGTTGCGTAGAATACAAGGAAAAGTTTTGTTGAAAATGGGCATGGGCGTATGGCTGATGGGGATGAGAAAGAAAACCCAACCAATTCAAACAAGGCATCTATCATCAATCACCAAACATCATGAAACTAAAGAGTATAAAACTCAAGTTTTGTTCTCTGTTACTATCATAATAGTATAATTTCCGAATATATCAATATGTTTCAAATTAATATAATCAAATTAAAAGTAAAAAACTTTCCCATCAATGGCCACTAACAATTGTCATAAGTCAAAATCTATATCAAAGGGGTGGCAAAACTTAGGTAATAACCCCTTTATTTCCCTATTTTATGGTGGGGGTGAGGTGCTGTTAAAGTATTTAGGTAGTCTTAAGTCTATATTTTCTATAGCTCATCTTTGGCTACTTGATCTTTGCTTCTCACCTGTTTGTTAATGAACGCTGCTAATTCTTTTGAACCAGATTTTGTAGAAAGTTTGATCTGCCAAGCAAAATGGATTGCTATGTCAGATGGTGCTAAAAAATAAGATAGACAAATAGAAGAGAGAGTGAATATTGGCCAACAGCAATGTTGTCTATGGTGGAGGGTTGGACTCTTAGTTTCAATGATCAAGATTTAATCTCAGACAACCTCAAAGTACTAAAAAAAAAAATATTGGGTAAAACAATTACCGGTCTGTCTTTATTACCCGCTTTGTATAAAAAGAGTGACGGGTAGTCATCCACCTGGAATGATGAACAATCACAAGAGTTAAACCTTCTCAGTTTCATCAATTGGTCACCCATGTCAAACGTAAATGAAAAGAACATAATAGAATTCCATATGTAATCGACTTTGCCTTTTTTTTTTCTCCTAAAGACACCCAACTTAAGAATCACAAAGTATATGAGAGCTAACATTCCTAGAGAAAGAAGAATTTGATCAGAAAAGTAAAAAGGATGTTTACTTTTCTTAATAGGCGTCTCTCATTTAGAAGTTTCAATCTCATTCAAGGCTCGGAATGATAAATGATTTGTGCATGGCAAGCGGGAGCAACATCCATGAAATGAGCACAATGAGATAGGTAATGGAAATTGAACAGTCACAGTAGTCATTCAAATTTGGCTGATTTATGACTCGAGTTTTGCCCCAAGCTAATGGAGGTTAAATGCTCTCCCAGGAATGATTGGTAAAAAAGAGCACATGAAACACAAAACCAGAACATGGTAATTGACTCTCATTTGATGATCAAGCTACCTTAGGGAGGAAAGTCAAAAGAGTATTCAGCATTAAGGTGCAGAATGCTGACATGATTTCTTACAAACAATACCTGAAGTTTTGGATGTTCATTAGCAGAAGCATCAATCTTTGCAAAGACTAGATTGTCCAAGCCTGTAAAATGCTTAGCCAATTTCTCAACCTGCTTGCTTGTGGTCTCACAATTGATGCACCAAGGTGTATATACCTGTTTTGTGAAATATGGCTTTTTTAGAGTTTAAGTTGGATATTATAGCAAACTTCTCTACTCTTGATTTAAATTAACATATAACAGGTATAGTTAATAAGCTGCAAACTATTATCATCCATGCAATCATATATATATATATATATATATATAGCAAGAGACACTGATGCATGTGTGTAGTGAATCCAGTCATCCTGTAATTTCACTTTTCATATGGAACTCTAATGAGATTAAGTTAGCTTGCATGTCTCATAGGCATAGACTAATAAAGCATGATTGTCTAACAAAAACGTAAGGTGCATTGAGAAAGCATTGAAGGTACAACAGATCGATACCTCTAAAAGGACATTCTTGGGACTGTTCAAGACCAAGTCATCAAATGTCTTTCCCACAACAGCTAGGACACTTGCATTCTTCTGCACATTTCATAATACAAAAGTTTGTTGGGAGTTAAATAAATTAGAATAAATATCAAATATACAAATTTCATTAGCTCAAATAGAAGAAGATAATATATAATCTTTTTGGATGTCTAGAAAATTGACAATTTGTATCTACATAATAAATATGTGATGATACTAATATATTTTCACGTTTCTTTAATGTTTGCAAGAAATAATGGGTTTATGGGATAACAATAGTTGAACTTGTCCACTTTTCTTACATTCATAGTATGATTACAGGAAGCAAAATTATAGGAGTAAAGCTAATTTTACTTTGTGCAATTTAGGAGCTACTTGCTACAAGAGGGTGAATTCAAGTAATTAAAATAGAGAGTCAAGCATATATGCAGAAACTAATATAAGTTACAGTTTCAAAATGAAGACAGCAATGATAAAGCAGCTGTGAATCTAAATCATATCCAACTAGCATTATCCAAAAGAAATGAGAGAAAATGTAAAATTTGACACTCACATTGTCTGGTATTGGCTGTGATTTGAAGTATGTTGAGATAGAACCATGCATAAGCCCTGAGCAAAACTCCTACAAAAGCCAATTCAGAACACCAGATTAGTTTTCTGAATAGATATTCTCTGAAAGGAGAAACCTATAGTGCTGAATTGTTACTTCTATGTTGCTTGGGGTTGGGTTGGACTGCAACAAGAACTTCGAACTACCTTTGTTATCAAATGCGGTCACCTAACAGGCATAAAGAAATAAATTGCACCAATTTTAGCTTCAGTCAAATTCTAAAGAATAGATATATTTTCAGTTAAAAATGGTAATGTCATAGAAAAAAAAAAAAAAACTGACCAAAGTGTTTTTTGATTCCTCAAGCCCAAACAAGGTTAAGAAGGGCTTTGCAAGGTTTTCATCCATGATGTCTATATAAATAAACATTATCTGCATCATGAGCAAAAACGTAAGAAGTTATTTGCACCAAAATCTTTGAAGTGTCAAGTAGTCAAGCAAAATACCTTTGTTTTAAACTTTCTTGCAACATCTTGAAGAGGCTCGAGAAGAGTCTTGAAATCATCAGCTTTTGCAAAGACATAAACCTGACGGATAATGAAAGGCAAATTAACAACACTACTTTAATTTCAAAGATAGATAGGGAAAACTTTGGACAACTGTATGAAGGCCAAAATATATAACCATAAGATAACATAACTACAACAAATGTACATATCAGAAAACCAACCCAGATTGACTTCTGTACTACCATCTCATCCTTAATTAGTTTCCCAGCACGTTAGTGTTGGAAGAGAATTTACTAGTTAACCAAAATTCAAGGATAAACATGTCTCCAGCCACTGTGATGCATAATTTCTAAAACATTACACCCAAACCAACTCACCCAGGCAAATGATGTAGTAACACTACACCAAAATGTAAACAAATTTTACATATAGGAGCTCCTAAGAAAATTTCAATCACTATTCAAATTCTAAGCACTTTACATGCTACTACTTCCATCTGCAACCCATATCCTCCCTCCTATACCAGTGCTTTTATTAAGTTTGTATCCAACTTTACAATTTTATTTGGAAAAAGAAACATTAAATAGTCATACACAGAAAGGAAATCATTCACATAATAAACAATTAATGATATATAAAGAGTTCAAAGAATCGAAACCTGAAGTTTGATTGGACTGGAGTAAACTCTGACAGAATTCAGTTCAGTCAATTTAGTAACCAATGGAAACTTGTTGTAGTCCAGAAACTGCAGTATCTTCTCCATCTCAAAGGTACCTTCTGTAAAACCAGACAGATATGTTATTAACCAATTCAATGATTCCGGTTGACTAATATAACTGTAAGAAACAAAATAAAATAAAATAAAGCCAAGAACAGAATAAGTCCCAATATTTTAATTAACTGTCTCATGTGGCTTTACTCCTCATAATCAATAAATACTAATTTCAAACTAAAAAATAATTTGCATATTCACCAAATCTTCAATGAAAAGAGAGGGAAAATTACAAAGTAAATAACTAGTGAACCATTCTGGGCAACCCAGGGTGCCAGTAAGCAGTTTTCAAGATTGACAACTCACCATAAGCAGTGTATCTTTCTGGCTCACTTTTAACAATCCCAAGGAAAAGATTAGTAGCTTTGATATCTGGGTAGAGAACTTTTGCAACCTCAACGCTGTTTGCTTCAACAAACTGGATTTCATTGTCAGAGGTTGCTGCCTTTATAAATGCTTCATAATCAGCTCCCTGCAAGAATTCCATGATAAGTACATTCCCAAGTGCATTAGCAAAATCGAGACTCTAGAAAACATCTACTTTACAAAATGTTAAATATTAGCCATACATCCTGGAAGATTGGGAATAGGAAAAAAGAAGAAGTATTAAAATAAAGGATAAACAATATGAATTTGAAAGCTTTACAAGCATAGAATTGCAGTCCCACTTGGCATCAAAGTGATTGAGCAAAAAAAGGTTGTTTGTAAATATAGTTATCATCCGCAAAGAACATTCCAGAAATCAAAAGCAAATTAAGACAAGGTCACATCTGTTACATTCAAGCAAATAATTATCAACTTCCACATTAGGTGAGAATATCGCATTCTTTAAAGCATATAGTGGTGCACTCAACTTTAAGTATTTAACTCTTAGAGAAAGTAAACTGAAAGAAAAAGTCTACAACTAATTGGCACTGTTTCACGTCATTTTTATATTGAAATCAAAACTTGAAATAGCATATTCTAAATTATAAATGTAAAATGATAGATGTCTAAAAAGGACAAATGTATTTGCATCTATCTTATGCATTGTAAATTGGTAATTGTTGGAAACAGATAATAGTTACTTATGATATTTGTTTAATCAGTAAATTCTAAAGAATAAAGTTAGTTCCCAAATATTTAAAATCTGGTTACATTCAAATTTTTAAAACTTTTAAGTAATTATCAATTACATTAAATGATTTGAAATTAAAAGACACTGAGAACTATCTAAATGTGGGTTTGCATAACATTGAAACTAGATTTTTCAGGAACCCAGTGCTTTGGAACAATGCATCCAAACGACTGGTTGTAAGCTCTTATTTTCCATAGCAAAATACATGATACAGGACAGAATGAGCTAAATACAGTTATGGTAAAGGAGAATCTAGGCAATGCCTCAAGATTCAAATACAATGAGCCTCAATGTTGACTTATCTTGCCATAAAATTTTACTTATAAGCTATCAACATATTCTGAACTGTCACATTGGAATTTACAGTCTAACTTCGGAATACTCAAATCAGATTATCAATAGGTAAGACAGTGAGTTCAACATTACCAAGGATCAAAGCACAGAATAATCAAGAAAAATGAAGAACACAAATGCATCATTAAAATAAAATTATATAGGATTAAGAATAAAAATGCGTCATTAAAGTGTGGAAATGGAGCAATAATTGAAATTTTAGGACCCCAAATCAAGTTTTACCATATAACTTACAACCATATTTTGACATGATCTGTCAAATGATCGAAAATACACATACCTGGAATTTCTCAAAAAGCCCAATCACAAACATCTGATGCCTTTTAAGAAACTCTTCAGCCTCAGTCACTGTACTTATTCTAATGACTGGCACACCGGTCTTCTTCCTTGCCCATATCACTATTTCTTCCCTGAAACAAAAATCAACCCAACAATACATTAAGCACAATTATCTGTTAAATGAATTCTCCAATGTGAATGAGCTACTCTAAATTTCTTTACAATTCAACAAAGAAAAGAGCAACTTACGCAGAAAATCCACCCTTATAAGCTTGAGAAGTGCCATTAACAAACAAAAGCAGAGTAGGGAACCCTTTGATATCAAGCAAAGAAGCCACCTTGGGGTACCTTTCAGCATCGAGCTTAGCCATCAAAAGGGGGCTTCCCAATTCTTTCAAAAAAGTAGCAGCTTCAGCAAAGTGAGGCATTAGCTCAGCACTCCTAACACACCAAGGGGCATACCCCAAAACTAAAACAAATTCATTATCATCAATGACCCTCTTGGTATTATCACTGTTAAGTTCAAGAACTATCCTTTGTGCTTTACTTAACACCTCTGCTTCTGAAAATCTACTGCTAGACTCTAGTTCTTGGTCTTCTTGTTGTTGATCTTCTTGTTCATCGAGGGCTAAAAGCTGTTCAAGGTCATCAGAATCATCTTCAGGGCTGGTGGGATCAGAAGCATTGGTGTTTATCGAAAAAGAGAGTAGTAGTAGAAGGGTGAGAGTGAGAAGAAGAAATCTTGGAGTGGATTTTATGGGAAAAAGCATGGCCATTTTGTTTGAAGAAATGTGTAGTTTTGGATGAGATCTGTGATTTCAAAAGAAAAAAAAATTTATGGGTTTGTGAGGGTTTTCTATTCTGTGAAACAGGCTTTTAAAGGTTAACGCATGTTAAGGCGGACCTGAAGCCAATTTGAGGATAGATTGCTAGTGTAAACTCCTGGACACAAGTTTGTCAGTCAAAACTGAACTGAAATGGTTTGGGGTTTGGACACTGGTGGGCCCTTAATTTTTTTATTTTGTTTTTTTAAATTATTAATCCTCCTTTAATCTTTCCAATTTGTATTTACTTAATTCACAGATATTATGCGTCTAAGTATTCTTTCAATCCATAATCTCTAAAAATCAAACAAATATCAGTCATCTAAGTTGATATTCAATATCTAAATAAAAATAAATAATAGACTAACAACTAGTGGTAATAGAAAAAATCCGTAATAAAGTTAATTAAATGAATTAAACCAGTCCAAATTTGATATTTTTTAGACTGAATTGTGTGATGGTCAACGCTATTTGTTTATGTTACATTTGCTTTAGTTCACGTCTACTTTCTTGCCATGACTTGCCTATATTTTGTTTTGACGCAAAAAAATTATATGATCAATAGATTGTTTAATTTTTTAAGTTAAGATAAGATATATTATATTTAATAATTTAAAATAAATAATTATAAATTATGTATTCGAAATGATTTCAATAAATAATTATCGATAAAATTTGAATTCTAAAATTTTTTTATCAAAAAATAATTTTAATCAATTAAATTAATCATTTATTGTATGACGTGCCTGTATTTGTTATTTATTCTTCGGCAATCGAATGATTTATCAAGTTGGACATTTTTTTAATGCAGCCTGTACCGTGTGCTTGGTATTGAGAGAGTTGCCAGAAAGGCACTTACAAATCTAGCCATAAGTTTTTCGGTTTAGTTGGTAAGTTACTTATACAAAATTCAATGTCCATGAATGGTTTGAAGAAATTAGATGGAGTTTTCAGGTTGAATTTATTCCGCTACGTTTTATGTCTCAAAATAATGCTTAATATTGGCCGTAAGTGACATATGGCTGCTGATGCAGGCTTGGCAGCAACTATCTTTTCTCTCTTAAGAAGAGTAAAAGGATAAACTTATGGTACAAATTGATCCTGCTTACGACTTCAATGCCAGCAGACGGCTAGGGAGGAATAGAACAACATTCGGACTCTCAATCATGATCTTATTCTTGCTCTGTTATTAATTCAAATCTCACCATATTGACGTTCCTAAGCAAATCATGCACACGGGACCCAAGCCTCTTATGTCGTCTATGTAGATATAAACATTTACAACATTCAAAGCAGAGAGAAAGAAAGAAAACGATAAGGTATGACTTGATCCATCAACACAGAGCTCAGGAACTGATCAGACTGCAGGAGATTCAATGCTGCATGGTTGGAAAGAGATGCAAATCATCATACAGAAACGACCTCAGTCATATATGCATGTTTCTTTCTTGAATGTAATGGGTTTGGTTCTTGTAGAATCAACGACCAAAGGGCAAGAAATTCGCCTCCGGTGCTTTGTTCTCACAAGCTTTCCAACCACATTTCCTCTTGACCGGACTTCAAACTTCAGTATCAATGGAATTTCAGCACCATTTTGTGTAAACGTTAAGCTTGATCCAGCCCCATAAAGTGGAACTTTTTTCCCTTCCAAAACCACAGATACGGTTCTTCGGCTCTTTCTTGGTTGAAAATATTTTTTCAGCTGCAATCATATATAGATTTCATAAACATGACCAAGATTTCCATAAATTATTAACAATTTCCTAAAAATGGACATCATAAGGACAGAAATCTTACTTGACCAGTTGCTACAGGAATTTCTGAGTATATGAGATTGATGGGGTTGGAATTAACATGAATGCCAAATATTGTAGCAGGGTTGTATACACTCAGCCTCAACGAGCCATTCACTGTCAGCATTTTTGTTGGGACCCCAGAGAAATCAGAACCTTCCCCAACATATAAGTTGTGCACCGACAAGCTCTGCAACAGTCACACACATTCTTCTTGAGAAAATGAATTCAACATATAAAAGTAGTGATGAATGTGCATTATTGCATTTGCAAGTGTTAGTTACTGTCAACTTTACCAAAGTAGAAAGTTGCAGACATTTAATACAGTTGTCACGTGATAGGCACAAGACTTGTGTACAAAATTTTGAGTTTAATGCCTGCAGAGCTACAGATTGGACTAAATCACAGTGCTGAGCCAATTCCTTCAATTATTGACTAGTGGTGAATAAGTACAAGTTGGTACTGTTTTCTGATACTTTATATCTGAAAGAGATTTCTCCACATGTTAGGATACCAAGTAGGTTCAGTTTTTATTTACCAATCCGACTATAAGACGAGTTTCAGTATTTTGTTTTTTTGTTTGAAGTTGTCATGAATTGAATCCGGATCATCAAAATTCAACTCTCTATTTACAGATCATATAGACCATCGGCAAAGTTTCAGTATCTTACTATCTTTGCACATTTGTTACAAATCATCATGACATGCAACTTTGAGTACATATCATTTGATCATAAATCCATTAAGATGAAGTGCTTAATAGTACTAGGATTTTATTATAGTATAAAAGAAAGACCTCTTCCAGTGTTTCCAATTGGTTTTAAGTTGAATATGCAAGAATTTGACAACAATGCTAAAAAATCAACAAAGTGTGGTACAACTAGACTCTAGACAGATACCATACATGAAAGTGGAAACCACACTCTCAAAAGTAATCGCAAATGAACAATTGAATTAAAATGGCATACCTTGACTGTTATTTCAGCTTTGTAAGGCCTGCTGGCACCCCAAATAATCAAGCAAAACACTGTGAACAAAACAACAAAAGTAAACACAGCAATCAGGGCCTGGAAACGCCTTGTAAACGCCTTATCCTCAAGCTCATCGTAGGACCCTTCTTCCATAATCACATTACACTCAGGCCAGCCTTTATCATTCCTCTTCCTGCTCCCTTTCCTCCCCGAAGATGACCTGAAAATCCCCGAAAACAGGCTAGCTGAAGAGTTCCTCGAATGGCGTCCAAAGGAGGAAGGGTGCGAAGGTGATTCCATGGGACTTGGTTGCATGGAAGATGATTTGTCCCCATCATGAGAGTCACGAGAAGGACTCTGAACATAGTATACAGGCGTGCGTTTCGGAGACCTTGAAGGTGATGATGGAGCAAGGCTAGTGATATCGGATTCAGACTTCGTTGATAGCATCATTTGTCAAACAATTTTCTGAGAATTTGGCTTTGACACTTGAAAATTCTACCTCAAACTTCTAAACTCTAAGAAAAGAACCAAAACATTCAGACCATTCAGAACAGACTAATGACTTCTCTGGGGTAGAATCAAATTCAGAACCAAAAGAGAGTAAATTGAAGAGAATTCTAGCTACCAAATACCAAGAAAATTCTTGTAAAAATTTTATAGCAATAAAAAGCAGGGATGAAAAGAACTAGGGAGTGAACAAAAACAATATCAAAATATAACGATGAAGAAGAAGATTAGAAGATGATAGAACCGTGAAAAAACAACAAATTCAGTTCACTAAGTCTCTGTTTCTGTCGGTTTCTCTCTTTGTCTCTGTCTTTCTCTGTTTGCATACAGACGAGTAATAGGAGAGAGACAGCACAAATTCACACGTTACAACTTTGTATAAAGATAGAAGGTGGTAAGGAACGAGAGCTTTAGGACAAAGCTAGGTCTTAACCTTAGTGGTAGGTTCGGGAATAAGTGTCGGCAGCAAATCATTTTATATTTTGAAAAATTAAATTAAATTAAATTAAAAATTGGTGGTGGTTTTGTGCATAATAATTTGGTATTATTTATTATATTTTGACAAACTACCTAATTTAGATCAGATTCCTTCACTTCACTATTCTTTTTTATATTGTCGTTTCTTCTTCTAGATTAAGCCAAACCATTTTTATAATATTTTTTGTTGCTTTATTAATTAAATTTATTTGGATATTTTAGTTTATTATAATATTGTTTTCTTTTAGCACCACAATGTGCAAATGCAACCTTTTGATGAGCCACTAGAAAGTTTTGGGTTACACCACGAGATCGTTGGCTTTACTTTCTTCTTTTGTGTACAGATTTTTTTGGGTAAAAAATTTTGATGTGATGTAAATGTTTAACAACATTTGCATTGCATGCAAAAGACATCTGTTGTTTTCAATTTTTATTTTTTTATATTGAGTTAAAGAATATTCGAATCACACCAATAAAAAAAATTAATGTATTTTTTTTTATTTGATAAATGAATAATTTGCATCCTATTCTTTAAAATTCATGCATCGCTTGCTAAATTAAATATCCAAGTATATAAATTATTCATTATTTTTACAAAAAAAAATATTGATTAAAAACAAAACCCTTTTAGATTGAGAAACAAACAATGTAAATAAACAAAAGAATTTATCGGTGAAATATTATTTATTTCAGATGATATATATTAATTAAATATTAAAAAATTTAAACACGTAATGTTTTTATTAAATAAGTTAAATAAATAAAAATTAAGGGTTAAAAATTAAAAAAAAAATAATAAAGACAAGAAAGTTGCCTTCACTAAAGCAATACAAAAGTTGTCTCCTCCTTAGCTGTAACTTTTAATAAGACAATAACTTGTACTAGGACATTCTTATTAGTCACTTTTAGTAAGACAATAACTTGTACCAATGCTTTCTTATTAGGCAAGACTAATGAATGATTACAATATTTATGCAATTGATACAAATATAAAAATATAACAGGTTGGCTTGTTTGTTAAAACTAGTGGATAAGGTAAGATTTAGATGAAGTGAGTTTTTTTTTTAATTAAAAATTATATAAAAAATGTTAATAAAAAATTAAATGGATAGATTTATAAAGTTTAATGATAAAATAATAATATATAAAATATTAAAAGTACAAGTTATAGTTCAAATTTTAATAACACTTATTCAACCATAACAAATAATAGATAAAAATACTTGATGCAATAAAAAATTAAAAGTTTATTTATATTTTAGAATAAAATTCGAATATTTATTTGAGTATTAAGCCTATTAAAAATGACTTTTTTTTAAAATATTTTTTAATTTAGTGAATCCTTTTGGGCTTTTTTGGGCCCAAAATTAGTTTGAATCCTTTTGAGCTTACTGTTGGGCCCTATATAAAACCCAAATGTATTGGGCCTTAGGGAAACTTGTGTCTTAAATACGAAGGCTTTTTTTTTTTTTTTTTTAATGAAATATGTAAAGTAACAATTTTTAAAGGTTAATAATCAAATAAGGCACTTGAATTTACAAAAAAATAAACACTTGCGGTTTATACTTGAAAATGCCAATATACGGTTATTGTCATAGCTTAATGATTTTTAATTTCATGTGAAATTATAAATTATAAATTATAATTCAAGTAAATACTTCAACTTTCTAATTTTTCATATTAACCTCATTTATATATAAAAAAATTTTAATAAAAGAGTTAAGATATGCCTATATGATTGGATATTAGAAATATGAAAATTATTTTTTAAAAAAAATTAGCTGAAAAGTATTTGAAAAAATAAATTATTTTGAATTTTTTAATTTAATAACATTGATAGTGTCTAATTTTATTTAAAACCCTAAGACTCTTCATGCTCTCCCTCACTCTCTCTCCAATGGCTACTATCGACGAAGAAAGAGCGACGAAAATCCTAAACCAGGTCAGAAAAGAAAACCCTTTTCTTTAAAACTCAAGAATCTCAAATTTTCATTTTAAAACCACTCAAATTAATCATTTTTTTCGGGTTTTGCAGGTAGAATTTTACTTCAGCGACAGCAATTTGCCCAGAGATGAATTCCTCCACAAAACCGTCAGTCAAAGCAAAGACGGCAGTATCCTTCCTCATTTCCAAATTGTAATGTATAAAATTATGAGATAAATATTAATTTTTAATGTCTTACAATGGGTTTTCTTTTTTTTTTTTTTTATAATTTTGTTCCTCGAATTCTTTGACTCTTAAGCTTAGTGGTGAATTTGGATCTAATATGTTCATTCAGTAGAATGAGGAATTATTTGGGTTTGGGAAAAACAAAAAGAGATGATATTCCAGAAGTAATCATAAAGAATGTAGCTGAAATTCTTCGAAAATCAGATTTTCTCAAAGTTTCTGGTGATGGTGTGTAGGTCTTTATTGTTTTCTTTTATTTAAGCCTCAATTATGGGTTATATATATATATATATATATATTTCACACACTGTCATGTAAAATTTTAATTACACAAGTGCATTTAAGAAGATGATCCATGTTCCATTTTTTTTAATTAGATTTTTTTTTTTATATTTTTAGATATATCTAAGGAACATGTGTTATCATTTTAATCCCGTTTCTGTAATTAAAATTTTACACTAACGGTTTATCAAATTTTAACTATATATTTATATACATATATATGTAGGTTTCTTGACTAAGTTGGTTTTTTAAATCAATTCCATAGGGAAAAAGGTTGGTAGGATTAAGGAGCTTTCTAACCCTGAAGAAGTTATCGAGCAAGTTGATGTAAGAACAATAGCAGCTTCACCTTTTGCATATGATGTCAAGATTGAAGATTTGGAGTCTTTCTTTGCTCAGTATGGCAAGGTATTTGCTCCTTTTATTAATAATTATGAAAATAAAGCCACTTTTTAAATCATAACTTAGTGCATTATTCATAGGTTACTTATATGTGAAACTGGTGTTGCTATTTATAGGATTAATTATGCTTTCTCTTTCAACAGTGTGATTACAAGTGTTGTTTGTGAGTTTGATGATTTCATAATGATTGTGGAATAATTTTGAGTTAGTGAATTAAACCCCAGTTTTACATTTCATTTGATTGTATCCAAATCTCTTATCTGCATCCTCAGTTGCCATAGACCCTTCTTTTTTGTTTCTCATTTACAAGCCCCTCATGCAGGCTTTCCAATAATTTCCTTTTGTTTCTGTTGAGAAAAGGCATTTTCTTGTCGTATATATGCTCATTCATAACTTTTTCTATCTTCTTTTTGTGTGTTTCAGGTGAACTGTGTTAGGCTACCTCACCATCTTGCTGATAAAAGGTTTTTCTGTGGTACTGCATTGATTGAATTTTCTGCAGATGGAGATGCTGAAGCAATTTTGAAGCAAAATTTAGCTTTTGCTGGTGCCAACTTGAAGTTAAAAACAAAGTGAGTTATGTCTGCTTTTGTAAAACTGTAAATTTTCCCACTGTCAGTGTAACTGTTTCTGCATTATCCAAGGACTGCTTCTGATGAGGTTTAACGTTATCTGCAATATTTTGTTCTTAAGATTGTGTCTCAAATTATTAGTAAATGTACAGGAAGTTTGCATATACGTAATACAATGCTAAACTCATAAAGAAAATGTTTGATTAGATTGATTCTATCTCTTTTGTGTATCCTTAACATTTGAATTTCGAGCTAAGATTAACTTGATTCGAACTAGGTTTAGAATTATTTATCTTAAAACCACTAGTTTCAATTTGGATTGTGCTATTTTTTACGTGTAACATTTAAATGTAGCAAATATCATGTCTAAAGCTTACTGTTAAGGATTTTATTTCCCTTGTAAATTTACCCCTGGTCAAAGGGTTGCATCCCATACAGTTAAAACCTTAATGGTAAGTCTTTGTCAGCGACAAAGAATAAGTATGGTAGTAGTTTGTTGGCTATCATATAAAGTTTGCTCTCCAATCTCAACCAGCTGGTGGCTATTACAACTTCTAGGGTAAGATGTAAAGATTGTTCCCTGTGAATCTACAAGTGACAAATTAAAAGGATTATGTATTTCCATTTGTAATTTTGTGACAGCTGTGTAGTTTCAGTTGGAATTTGCAAAGTTGGTATTCTGAATGAAAATCATTTTCTTTATCTTTTTGGTCCAATGTTTTGTAAATGCTTCCCTGTTTTTCTTTGATGTAGGAAAGAGTTTGATTATGAGAGAAGAAAAATGGAGGATATTGAGAAATCCCCTAAGAAACCAAGGTTTGTCCAGTAGTCTATTCCTTAAATCTATAATGTGTTATGGGTGTTACTTAATACCTAGTGATTTATGCGTGATTTTTCTTTGACAACGATGACAGCTATCCCAAAGGTCTATTGGTTTCATTCTGTTTGAAGAAGATGTCAATGGGACTACACACAAAAAAGAATGATAGTTCTAATCCAGGCAACGGTGGCACTCAAGTTCTCTCTGAAGATATCACGAATGGCACCCAAAAAAAGGAAAATAAAAAGCAAAAAAGAAAGAAAAAGAAGGATAAAGAGAAAAATAGCCAAAAAGATAAAGAGATAATCAGTGATGGAAATGAGCAAAAACATTCAGGAGATGCTAATTGCCAGCCCAGAGAAAAATCTCTTGAAAATGGCTGTCAAGAAAAGTTTACCGGGGAAGAAGCAACTAAATGTTCTATCCCTAATGAAGAGGATATTGTCTCACGTGAAGACCTGAAAAATGTCTTTCAACGATTTGGCTCTGTTAAGGTACCAAGGAGATCTTTATTTTCTTCTAGTTTCATTTTATCTAAGTTAAGGTGCTTTGCTCCTTTTTATCATTATTTATTTTGCAGCATGTTGACCATTCTTTGGGAGCAGATGCTGGTTATATATGCTTTGAAGAACAAGAAGCAGTTGTAAAAGCCCGTGCTACTGCAGCACTTGTTGAAGGTCTTACGGTGAAGAAATTAATTGCTTCCTTAGAAGCAGTTACAGGTAAAGCAGTGATTTATCAGTATAAAGCTGGTTTTGCGTTTGCTTCGTCCGTAATCAACACACTTTTTTTGAACCAAAATGGAAATAGAATTTTACTAAAGCTTTTGAGCCACATGTAAGTTTTAAACTAGCTGGAACATGTTCGCTTCCTTGCAAGCTGAGCGTTTGAGCAGCTCATAGAATGTGTCATTGGCTGTCCTAACCTATACAGTGGTATTCCTATTTCCTAGATGGCATGCATGAAAAATCCTTGGAATTTGTTGTTTTATTGCAAGCTATGCAATTTTAGAATCAACCTCTGAACATCTTTTATGCTTCCAGGTGAAGCTGAAAGAGAGTACTGGAAATCATTTCAAAGAAATCAAGAACACTTTGAGGATCAGGATAACAAAAGAGAATGGTATGCATTTGCAATGTTATACAATTCTAAAATTAAAAAAATAATACTATCAATATGTATATCTTCTTTTATTAATTCCTGTCCTAAAGTCTCGTGTAATTGTTTTGCCTTCTAGGAAAGGCAAATTTGGCAAGCATGGAAGACATTCTAAAGGCAAACGCCATCGCTCCAAAGAAAATGAATCGTCCATCCAACAGCCAACTAAAGCTCAGAAGGTTGAAGCTGTCTAAGAACTTGATACAGATTGATTGACATTGTTTAGGGCAATAGTCAGATGAATATCCTTTCCTAGAAGGCTGGGATAGTAACCCAATATTTGTAACAGGCAAAGTATGTTACATTATTTCAATGAGTTCAAAATGTTTTACCTTTGTTTATGTCCAGTCTCCCTTATGTTCTTAATTAAGATGGATGTTTTATTCTATGCTTCCTTCACATATTTTTCTGATCTTCCTTTGACATCCAAAGGGCTTACAATGAGGCCTTTTTAGTGCATTACTATCAATCAACAATACAAGTTATACATAAATTACAGCAAAAGTCCACCCCAGGTTCAATTTAGTGCCTTCTTATCACCAAGAACATACCCCTATCTTAAAGGATACTTACTCATCATCACAAAGAGATGCCATCAGGTCGCGTGGCGATGCCCAAATTGGAAGATCAAAGTAAGTTTGCTTCAATCTCTCCTCTTGCGCATTGCACATTGCTTCGGCTATGTCACACAAATTGGAAACATCAAGGATTATCGTTTCTTGTGCTTCCGCCTGCATTTCAGACGTTGAAAGGAAACTCAAAATCAGTAATAAATTTTTTATGATTCACATATGAATTCCTAATATACCTGCGAGAGAAGCTCGTCAAGCGAAGAGCCTAAAGATTTATCCTTCTTATCATTATCTTTCTTCTCCCAAGACGACGCCGTTCTTTGCTTCTCTTCTGTCTCCCTCAATTTTATTCTTTCTTGTTGTTGAGCTTGAAACCCTAAAGCCTTCTCTTGCATTGCCTTCAAAGTTTTCGACAATATCTCCCACTCCTCGATCTCTTTCTTGTACCTCTCCTTCACTCTGAGAAGATTCTTCCTCTTCCACTCTCTCCTTCGTTTCTCCTCCTCCTCGGGGTCCCCCGGCGACGGTGCTGGTTCGGTGAGAACGCGGCGGCGCTTCTCGCGTTTGTAGATGAAGCCGTCGTCGTTGCAGAGTTCCCACGCGTCGGCGGGGGTGGACGTTTGAGACGAAGATGGTGGGTCCATTTTGGAAAATTTTAAATAAACTTTTTTTGGAGGTTAAAAATGGATCTTTCCGGGAAGACGACACAGACAGAGAGCGTATGCTGTACGCTTCTTGCCGGTTGAAGAGTTGGGCCGAAATGAAAGGTATAACTGTAACTCTCTTTGATTCGGGCCTTAAAAAGACTTCAAATAAATTTCGATGCACATTTCAATTGACGGTTCCACTGTAGCACCTATTTATATCACATAGATTGACAGTTAAATCCTGACAGCGGAAACAAAATATTTGGCACAGTTTGTGCTACTATTTCCGTCAAGTTTTTGTCTTTTTTTTTTTTTTCATAAAATGAGAAGAATCTTGAAAAAAAAATTTATGTAATCCCAAAGGTTAAAATGCAAATAATAATTTGGGTTAATGAAAATTTTAATTAACTAATTATTTATATACAGATGTTTCAAAATATATCATTTATAATTATTATATTATAATTAATCAATCATAATTTAAAATTAGATGAGATTCATAAATTCATATTTATAAGTGGTTGACTTTACATAATTTTTATAAAATCATATAATTATAAAATTATAAAAAAAAATTATAAGTGAAATACTTTCGTATTTAAAGTTTGATTTTGATAAATTTTGATTAAATTCATATTTATATCAACTTCAAGCTTATCATAAATTGAATTTAAATTTATCCAAACATATCAAACATTTGGAATCTACCCAACTCTTTGTCATAAGAAGAAAAATAGCACAATGAAATCTCGTAAGCAAAGAATTTAGAATTTAATTTTATTAATTCATAAAATCAAACGTTTCGCATTTAATAATTTTAAATCCTATAATTCATTTTATTATTTTCAAACCACAATTAAAAAAAAAAAATCCTGGATATAATACAAGACTAACAAGATTCCAACTAGCATATCTTATCTTTTGCCAATTTTTTCTTTTCCTCTTATCAAACCGCGTTAGTTCTTAACAACCTGCTAAAATAAACATTCTATACTTTAAGTTATTAACAATTTCTTTTAATAAAAATTCAAGTTTGATGACCATTTTTCTTCCTTTTTTAAATTTTAGTTGGAGTGGTTTCCCAACTTTATCCTGAGAGGTGGCCTCCGCCATCGTTATCCTAATGCGCAATGATGATGACACAAGTAAGAGGGAGAAATCAGCAAAAGAATCTTTTTTATGTTATCAACAATGAATGAATAGAAAAGAGTTTAAAATCCCTTGAAGTAAGGAAAGATAAGGACAAGACAGCTGGGCAATGTGCCAGCCTAATATTGCGTTCTAATATATGACTCACTACTTCACTTTTGGAAAAGCAAGAGAGAAGCCATTGGGAAAAGCCTGCATTTTTTCCACTTTTGTTGGCTTCTAGCCCGGGGAGGAGTGAGATTTGATCCAATCTTGTCGGGGTCTTAACTTAAAGATAAGAAGAAGATAATCAGACATAAAATCCCAAACCTCGGTGTTTTATCTCTTGTTCTTGTGAGACGGAAAGAGAAGAAACATGTTAGAAGGAAAAGCTTTGGTGGAAGACACAGACATGCCTTTGAAGATGCAGATCCAAGCCATGTCTTCTGCTTCTCAAGCTCTGGATCTTTATGATGTCTTTGACTGCAAATCCATTGCTGGTTATATCAAAAAGGTTTTTTTTTTTTTTTCTTCCCCTCAGAGTCTAAAACTAACACAAAAAGTACCCTTTTTCTCCTTTTTCTTTTGCTTAAACAAAAACCTTGACTTGCTTTCCTCTTGTTTAAATTCATATGCTTTCTTTCTTCTCTTTTTCTTTTGTGACGGAAGCTTCTGTTTATGAATTTAACTTTTGTTTTTGGCAGGAATTTGACAGCAAATATGGGAATGGATGGCAATGTGTGGTAGGTTCAAATTTTGGGTGTTTCTTCACTCATTCTAAAGGGACTTTCATCTACTTTACATTGGAAAGACTCAAATTCCTGATCTTCAAAGGGGCTTCATCTTCCACCTCTACTTGATGCCAAGGCCGTGTTTCATGGTTTATTGTAGTCTTGTACAGGCAAAAGCTGAAGAAAAAGGAAGAAGATCCGAGGGGGTAAATGTGCAGTGAAGTTCCTTTTTCTGTTTCTTTTGTTTTTTTTTTTTCCTTTTTCTTTCTTTCCGTATCAAATTGAATGTCGGTTAGAGTGGAGGAAAAAAGGAGAAGAAAAGTACAGAGCATCGGAAAGAAGAGAAAAAAGATCACAAGTCATGAGCATTAGAGCATGATCATATGGGTTTTATTGGATTTTTCTAGTGTGGTTTAAGGAAGCCTTTTTGTAATGCTCTGAATCTGATGTATAAATGAAATGATGATATCTAGTGGTACTTCAATTATTGCCTGGTTTTCATGGTGTCCCCACTCGCCACTCCGCCCTCTTTTCCAAATAGCCTAATAGTACCTAAATGACCAGATGGCAAGATAACTTAGAATAAATTCATTCTCAGGAATAATTGATGTCATGGTTAAGATGAGGATCTGGATTATCCAAATTGCTATATTCTTCTTGACTTTTTGCCCTGAGAGGAATTACACGAGTGCAACTGGTACGAATATAAGAAGGTACCTGATGGCCAATGGGTAATGGCTAATGCTGCTAGGCAGCTAGGGCACCCTTCGCAATGTTGTTGGGGATTTAATGTACTTTTGATTCAGGGGTAAAATAGAGGACTTATAATCACCTTAAATTAGTCTCTCCAAAAGAACAAAAAAAAGTTGCCAGTTGAGACAATAAGCAGAAACCTGAAGTCACTGGAATGTTAGGAATTGCTTGAACACAACCAATTATATTTAGTGCAGCTCAGTCGATTTGCTTTGCTTATTTAAGAGATATTCATAAAGAGCATAGCAAGGAAAACAAATTCAGGGTGTTAAAATTCAAGCATTTGGACCAACATGGCCAATGGATTTAGCTGTAAAAACTGATTGGGGAAAAGTTAATCTTCTGGTAGAATAAGTCAGACGCAACTAACCTCTGCACAATATTGTGATTCTTATTTTCATGGGATGGTGTTGAGCTACATATGCGGAATTGTGGTTGATCAGCTATATGCATTATTAGTTTCCCTTGACAAAAATGGAATAAACTAAGATTTAAGATTTGTCTAATAGGGCTACCAATGAAAAGAACAGGCTAACAACAAGCTATTATCAGCATAAAATTGTATCCCAGCAAGGAGCAAAAACATTATAAATAAATTGTAACTGATATTTTATGGGTCAAATATCCTTTCAGTAAGAAATGGCACCCAACCCATAATTACATGAAGCAACATGGTTCTAGAATGCATCATCGATCCATGTCTAGTCTAGTTATTAATGCATTTCATCTGCCCTCTTTGAACAAAATCATATAACAGGAGTCAACAAGGGCTCACCTTTAAAGTGCGCCTCCAAGTTGCATATCACAAGATCAGCCATTGCCTTGCTTGTTTCTTCAGTGTCACTACCCACATGGGGCACTAGAACAACATTCTCTAGTGCAAACAGTTGCTCAGGTACCTCAGGCTCATTTTCAAATACATCAAGTCCAGCTCCACCCAACCGGCCTTCAAGTAATGCAGATACAAGCTCAGGTTCATCGACATGTGCACCTCGTCCAATGTTGATAAGAATACCCTTCGGACCCAAAGCATCAATGACTTTGCGATCAACGATGTGGTGAGTTTCCTCAGTTAAAGCACAGGCCACAACAAGGATTTGACAATTGGCAGCCAAGTCAACAACGTTTGAGTGGTATTTGTAATTTGTATTTGGTTTCTTAGATCTGGAGTGATAACAGATAGGACAGTCAAAAGCTTCAGCTCTTTTTGCTATTGCTGATCCAATCCTGCCCAACCCAACAATTCCAACTGATTTGCCACTGAACTGGAAGAGCCAAACCATAGTAAATAAAAGGCAGAATAAAGATGAGGAAAAAGATCTTAATCAAATGTGGGGAAAGTAGAGATCATATTCAAGGGAAGAAACATTAAGCATCCCAATGACGTAACATGCTCAATTCGACATCAATCCTGCATTATATCAAAAATAAAATTTGTGCTGATATATGTCTGAAAGGAAAATATATTTTGCCATATATGTCAGAAGAAAATACTGAAAAGATTTCATTTATTGCCAATGAAGTTGAAAGACAAACCGATGGGCTAGGCAAACAACTCAGTGCTAGACAATTGGTGGCAAACAAGGAAATTCCAATCCTTTTGAAGATTCCGTGGTCCATCATTTGTCGTACTCCCGGTATGATTGTCGTTAGATATCATCCTTTTTAGCAAAGGGGAGTGAACTCTACATAAGATCTTTGTCCTACATAATCTGGTCTCTAAGGTATGATCTACGATCTATCAAGAACGGTGGAAAAAGAAAAACCAAGTTCCAAATTACTCAATTCCACCTGTTATTATGAATTATTCAAAATTGAGCTTAAGTTAATATATATATAGCAGACAGTTTAGTACATACACCACACTGCAAATAAATTATTTAATAAATGGCAGGGAAAACACTTCAGTGTTATTAAGACTATAGAAATCATTATCCTCTTATCTGCAAACAACTTAAAAGCCTACAAATTAAAAGTAATGTTATGCTAACAGGATATCAGTTTCACAAACTTCAAACTCATCCTTATTCAATTAAACTACACTAGAAGCTGACAGAAGCATAGCAATCGTAATTTACCTTATCACAAGCTGATAGAATCAAATTAATCCACCAAAAAAAAAAAAACAAAAGAAGCTTACTGGTTCCTCTAAAACTACTTTAAACTGAATTATCATATGGGAGAAAAGAAACTACACGCAATAAAAAACTGATTACCAATTATCATACCCAAATCAAATAAAACCAAAACCCTCCAATGATATAGAAGAACAGGAGCTCACTTTTCACTAAAATGGATAAAGAAAATATAAAATCAACAAAAACAGTAAAACAAAAAAGAAAATAAGAGAAACCTAGAAACAAACCTTTCTAGCCAATCCAAAATCACCACTGATCCAGTTCCCACTCCTCACAAACTGATCACAAACACAAACTTTCCTCACAACAGCCAATGCCAACCCAATAGCCAAATCAGCTACATCATCAGTCAACACATCAGGGGTGTTAGTAACCTTAATCCCTTTTTCTCTACACTTGGCCAAATCAATCTTGTCCAGGCCGACACTGTAGCTTGCAACAATCTCTAAATTGGGCAGCGAATCTATCATTTCCGCATCAGCTCCAAGTTTGGTGTTTCCAACCACTGCTTTGATGAAACTTGAGCAGTTCTTCAACAATTCAGGTTTCGAAGACGAATGGTTCCATAGTTTGATGAGGTTGAACCGGGTTTCAAGTTCTTGTTCGAGGTATGGGAACATTGGACATGTCATTAGGACTCCAATGTTTTTCATTTTTGTGTTCGTGTTAGCGTGTGAAGAAGGAAGAGGTTGAGACTAGGCAGGGTTATGTCGTGTTCAGTTGCTGTAACCTCTTTCTTTTTGAAGTGAAGCTTGTTGGAAACTGATAGCCATTAGCTTCGCAGCCAAAAACTTAAAACTGGAGAGCAACACCCATCCCTGATCCCACCCACAATGGGACTTTGGCCCTGGATTTTTGCAGTGAGTATGCGTCGGAATTCTAGCGGGGCTGGGCTCTGCCTCTAAACCCGGCTCCCAACCAGATCCAGGGTTTTTTACTTAAACCATGTGTTTAATAGTTATTGTTGATTGGATATGAACGTCGTGTACATTTAAATAGTATAACGACAAAAAAGGATAAAAAAATAACACAAAAATGACACCGTTCAGAATTTTTAACAAATGCATGATTTTAATAAAAATAAAAAAAATCATAATTAATATGTAATAAATATCGTGGTATTATAATTTTTAAATTTTACATTTATTTGATAAATAAACACGACACAAATATTCATTAAATTTTCTTCCGATTTTTCTTCACAGAAGCAAGTCGCATAGCATAAACTACAGAGGTTTAATTTTTCCAACTCAACAATTTTATAAATTTAGCTTATTTTAAGCACTCATACAAAAACCAAAAAAATGTAAAACACGGAAGAATCTTTTTACTAAACTCATAACAATTCGAGCAAGAAACAAAATAATAAATAATAAATAAATAAAAGAAAGAAACCGTTAACATTCAGTTTTTTACTTAATTCACTGGTTCACTCTCATTCCCTATCCGTAAATGGATCAACAAGAATGACTGAATTTGTATTCTAATTGCAACCGACATTGAAATTGCAAAATAAAGAAGGTTTAACATTCATCTAGATTTATTTATAGGATACAATGTCCTAAAAATCATGAAAATATAAATGACACAGCAGAAATCCTAAGCTCGCAATCAATTCTTATCACAACTAAACCACAGGAGTTAATAGTGGTTTCTTCAGAAAGTGTGCCTCCAAGTTCCCAATCACAATATCAGCCATGGCTTGGCGGGTTTCTACTGTGCCGCTTCCCACATGAGGTAAGAGCACCACATTGTCGAGCCCGAAAAGCTCTTCTGGTACTTCAGGTTCGTGTTCAAACACATCAAGCCCAGCACCTCCTAGCCGGCGTTCAACCAATGCAGAAACCAGCTCAGGTTCATCAACGTGAGGGCCTCTCCCCACATTGATGAGAACACCCTTTGGACCCAAAGCATCAATGACTTCCCTGTTGATGATGTGGTGGGTTTCTTCGGTCAGCGGACAAGCGACAACCAAGATATCACAATTGGCGGCCAGCTCAACAACACTTGGATAATATTTGTATTTGGTTTCTGGTTTCTCTGTTCTAGTGTAGTAACTAATGGGGCAGCTAAATGCTTCAGCTCTCTTTGCAACTGCCAGGCCAATCCTGCCCAGCCCAATAATGCCAACTCTTTTGCCAGTGAACTGAAATAAGGGAACAGGAAATGAAAACAAAGGGAAAAAAGGAGGAGAAAAAAGACCCTTTGATCTGGTATCCTCATATCTGAAGCAGCATATATACAAGAACAACCAAGTTAATAAGGTTTTCAATTCAATCTTAATGTTTCTCATACCAAATGGATGAAGCATCTAATAGACCCTGAAATAAGGTTTTTTTAGTCGCACAGTCAAAAATCACTATCATGCCAGACACTGCTTCAATTTTTTTCCAAATAAATGGGTTCCAAGGGCAATAGAAAGCTTCTTATTCTCAATGTAAAAGAGCAAAAGATTAACCTTCTTATTACTAATCTCATGAGGGAAGAGTATAAAATCTCAGAAAAAAAAAAACAACTCTTCCTTTGGAAATTGAGAAAGAAACTTCTCAAAGATGAGTAAGCAGAAGAATATAATAAGCATGCACTGCTGCACCCTTCTCAAGTAGGAGGTTGTACTTGTGCATACAAATTAATCAAATAACTTTTAGTACAAGTGAGGTATAGACAAAGCAATTACAGACTTGTAACCCCACTTACATGAAAGACTGACTAAAATCTCATGAAAAGCAGAAAGGTGAGTACTCAATGATTTGAGAATAGTGTGTGAATATAGACTGTGATTGTTAGCTTCTCAGTTATATTGAAACAAATAGAAGGTATGTTATAATTAGAATAAGGGCCCCAGTTGCAACTCTAACTGGAGATTAAACCCTTGCTTTCTACACTAATTTCTAATAAGTTGAACAAGGACGAAAACTAATTTATAGAAAATAAACAGAAGTCAAGCACCACATAATAGCTAATCAGTAACCCATTATCAGTTAATTCACAACACTGCAACCATTAGTATAAGAAACAGTACTCCTGAATTAGTTTGTACCATATCTCGAAAGTAGCTTATAACCCCTCTGTACTTGTACCTAAAATTTTTGAGCCTCCATTATCCAGATAAGTGAACACCCATGACTACCAGGCATCCTTCTGAGTTACTTGTTATATGCATCACAGACCATACATAAGGAAAATAGAGTTACATAGACACATGCATAATTGCATTATGCAAACGTGTATCTACCCCTATGTCCATGTATGATAGAAATAGGACGACAATAAATCCACAAAGTACTATAGCTCCATGCCTTATGGTACTACATGTGGCCCATTAGACAACAAATCAACTAATGCATCCATCCCGAACCAATTACTTGAGAGGCTAGAGGAACAAGCAACCATGATTACAAGCATAAAACTTGCATCCTAAACTTAATGCATATGTTGTAAGATGAATACAAGTAGTATAAGCAATTTTTTCACCCCTGAATCTTTCGAACCGCAGGCTATATTGCAAGATGGTACCTCTTCAATTCAGAAAAGACAAAAATTATAATAAGTATATTCCAAGCACGAATACATGTCTGCAACTACCCTTCATTACTTCCTAAGATGAAATTATTCCCGAAAGCATCATCCTACTATCAAATTCTATTGCAGACAAAAACCATTTCTGACTACAAAGCCAAGGAACAACCCACCCACTAATTACAAGCACAGAATCCACTTGAAGCAACACAAATTAAAAAAAAAAAAAAAGTCAAGTACCAATGAAAACAAAATGACTTTTTAAAATTATTATATAAAAAAATTTACCCATTGTTCCAAACTAAGAGCACATGATAAACAGTTAAGCAAAGAATAAATTCAGCAGAATTTAATGAAACCAAAACAGATTCAATCAAATACCTACTATCACACAACCAAAGCTGCTCAATTATGCCAAAAAAGGTCAACGAACCTTAGTTGTCAACTTATAGTCCCCTTTCTTCCACTTGCCACTCCTCACATACCGATCGTTCTCACAAAGCTTCCTCAACACCGCCAACATCAAACCAATCGCCAAATCCGCCACGTCCTCAGTCAAAACGTCAGGGGTGTTGGTAACTCGGATACCCTTTTCTTTACACTTCGCCAAATCGACCTTATCAAGCCCCACGCTGAAGCTGGCAACAATCTCCAGCTTGGGCAACGCCTCGATCAGCTCAGCATCGGCACCGGCCGAGGCGTTTCCTACGACAGCCCAGATTGAGTTTTTGTGAGTAGCCAGAAACGTTGGTTTCTCCGGAACTGTCCAGAACCTTAGGAGGTTGAAACGCTTCTCGAGTTCTCGTTCGAGGTAAGAATTCATGGGGTAAACCATGAGAACTGCAATGGATTCCATTTTCGGTTGGATTCTGATAGAAAGGTTGAATGTCAGAGCCCAATAAGTCTGGAAAGCGAAGAGAGAGCAGTGGATGGAGAGGACACCAGGTTTAGGGTCAGTGGAGAAAATAAGGAATGTGGCGAGGAAGAGACAACGCTGTCCACGTGGCATGAAGCTACGCTTTTTCATTATTTATTCATATATTTATTTGTTTATTAAGATTCAATTACAAAAAACCACGCTGGTGGCGACCGCATCCAGAATTATTACAAAGGTACAACCAGAACGGTTTAACACTGGGGCAGGGGCAACTGCCCCACTCAAATCTTAAAACCTTTGTTAAATATATTATGCTATTAGACAAAAGATTTAATACTTTTACATTTTATCCTCGTTAAATTGAAAGAAAAAAAAATCAAGAGAGGAATTTAAAAATATTATAAAATATATACGCATTTTAGTAAAACAATTGATTCATTTCAAAAAATATATACATTATATGTAAAAATTAATAGCTTTTGATTTATAAATAATTATTTTATATAAATCTTGCTTTAATTAACTTAAATAATAATTGAATATTATTTTTCTCTCTTTTGGCTTTTTCGTCTATTCTTCTCTTTTTTCATTTGTAGATTTTATTTTTTAATTTTTGCTTAACTTATGTAAAATATTATTACATTATTAAAAAAAGTCCAAATCAAATAGAAAATAATGACATATAAGTAAAAAGAGAAAAAAAAAAAGGGGCAAATTAGAACTAAAATAATTTTTTTAATAAAATATAAATAACAGATAAAATAGAACCACAATAAAACATTCATGATATAAAAATTTATCTTTAACGTATCAAAGTATTTTCTTCTCTTATTTTTTTTATATTGATAATGTGATAAGGTGTTTATTTAATATTATTTGAAAATTTTTAATGATATATATTTGATGTAAAATAATTTTGTAGAGATATAATCTAACAAAATCTAAAATTAAAAAAAAGTAGCATCAATTTTAAAATTATTAAAAAAGTTTAAATATATATAAAAGTATCTTGTTGTTGGTCCTATTTTATACTTTCATACCTTATCTTATGTCTTATAAACTATAGAAAAATTAAATTAGTTAAGGACAAATATTATTAGTAAGAGAAGGTGAATTTTAAAATAAATATTGAAATAGAATAAAGTTATATATATTTTAATATTGACAATGAAAAAGAAAATCTTACATTTTCTACTTATAAAAATTATTTAACTTAATTATATAGTATTATTTTCATTTGAAAAATAACAATATTATATGTTTGTGTTTAATTGATATTTAAATTTTTGATGTATTTAATATTATAAAATTTGTTATATTTGTGTTAATTTCTATTTAAATTTTTTATATATTTGATATTGTAAAAAATATTTTAAATTCTTTTATTAAAAGTTGTTTTACATTTAGAAAACATTACTTTTACATTAAATAAACAATTTTAAGTAAATATATTATATAATAAATTTGTTTCCACTAAAGAAAAATCCTAGATCCTTCTCGGTATAACTCTTTTAGTTATCATTAAGAACACTTTTTTTTTGTGATATTTTATTTTTTAAATATTTTTAATTGTGTATTTTAAAATTTTATTAACAAATACTCTAAAATATAAAATAAAAATAACAATCTTATATGTGATGGTTAACTTAATTAATTCATATAATTATTTTTAAATATTAATATCTAACAAATTAAATATTCAAATATCCGTACTTGCAATTTTTTTTTTTATACTATAACCTCTTTAAAAAAACTTGTGTTAAGTCTATAACAAATTAGACTAAGAAAATAAAGTTTGCTAATTATAGATGTAAAAAATTAAACTTATCAAATGCCAAGACTTAAATTGATTTTACTTTAATCTTAGTACTAGTAGTACTTGTTTAGTATTTAGTTTCTTGAAATAATTAACAGAATAATTAAAATAAAATTTTATCATAACCTGTACATAATCAAAACTAAAAATGTTTATTTGGCCTGTTTTTGTGATTTATTCTTTCACCAGCCTCCTCCATCAAGTTTTAATCCATCAAAACCGTCCATCCCATCTGGTACGTTCAGGGCTGTCAATGTTAGAGGATGGAAAGAGAAATGGTGCTCATTAGCTTAGAAATGAATGAATGATGCATTCTGTTGTATCCATTCCTCCATTCCTCCCTGGTTTTTAGCAGGGTTTGACTTTTGAATCGAAAATGAACCATTCAATTCTTAAACCTTTCATTAATGAAATCAAACTACACCTTTCAACATATAGAATTAACTAAATTTGTTCCATTTTATTATTCTCCTTGACTCACAGCTCATTTCTGAAAACATGCACCCCACGTTCAACCATACTCAAAAATGGAAAAACCAACACGACAATCACCGCTCACAGTTTTGTCAAACTCACTAAAATCCCCCACAACACACATCTCCTAGACATCATTTGGAAGAGGGGACTTTTTTTAAAATTATTGTCCTCTTTTCCCTCTTCCTTAACTCTCTTGTACAACAAATACAATCAACAATATTCCACGGTTAATTGTTGTTTCTTGTTATTTGGTTTTAAAAGTTGTTTTCAAAAAGCATTAAACATGGTTCGTGCTCTTGAACAAGAACAAGAAAGTTACAGGTCTAGGTTGTTTCATTTCAGGGGTATGCATGAGAACACAGGAAGACATGCAAAGAGTTTGAGCATCGAGAGTGCTAGCGTTTTAGAAGAGGCAGCCCTGGATGAAGGGGTGGCAATTAGAAGTCAGGGATCAAGACCTCCAAGTGATTTACCATCATTGAATAGAAGCGACAAGGGTCTCAAGCCAAGGCTGACCATGGAAGATATGTTATCTGTCTACCTAGCCAGAGAAAAGCAGCTGTTAAATGGCAAGTTTCATATATTGTTCTTTAGACTAGAAATAGATTTAATTGCCTGAAATGTGTTTTTTTTTTTTTTTTATGTATATTTCTGCTGTATTCTTGGAGAAATATTATAGCTGTTAGAAGCTGTCTTAGTCATCAATAATCTTTCAAATTTTTATATGATAGAAAAAATATAAAAAGAGATCTGGTTTGTTTTTGTGACTTTTGGTCATAAAAATTCTGCCATGATTTTGATTCAGATATGGAGCAGATGAAGGAAAGGTTTGCTAAATTGCTCTTAGGTGAGGATATGTCAGGTGGAGGGAAGGGAGTTTCATCTGCTTTAGCACTGTCAAATGCCATTACAAACCTTGCTGGTATTTTCTCTCTTTCCTGTTTTTTTCTCTCTGCTATAAAATATACTGAATTTAGAAAGGCTTTTTTCTAATCAAGGGAAAATATAAATATTTTGATTTTAGTAGATATTCTCACCAAGCGTTATCAATTTCTCTTGATTCTGTTTCATTCCCCAATGACTTTCAGCTTCCGTCTTTGGTGAACAATCACGCTTAGAGCCGATGTCACCTGAAAGAAAAGCAAGGTGGAGAAAAGAAATAGATTGGCTCTTGTCTGTAACTGACCACATTGTTGAACTTGTTCCCTCTCAACAAAAAAACAAGGATGGATCAAACATGGAGGTATCGCTTTCTTCTCCCCTCTCCCTGCTGCATCTGAGCAATTATATGGCTATATCTATACATATAGTATATACTATATACAGTATATATGCATTTTCTCCAGGGATCAAGTATGTCTTAGAATCTTTATTTCTTGATTTTCAGATAATGGTCACAAAGCAACGAACAGATCTTCATATGAACATTCCTGCCCTGCGGACACTTGATACAATGCTTATTGTAAGGGCATAGATTTACTTATGCTTTTATTTCATTTGAGCTTAGAATTTTTCTGGGGTAATACTCAAGCAACAAACTAGTGCCTCATTTAATGATAATTTGCAATGCTCAGGATTGTCTAGATACCTTCAAGAACCAAAATGAATTCTATTATTTGTCAAGAGATGCCCCAGACTCAGAAAAAGGAAACAACAAGAGAAAAGATGACAAATGGTGGCTGCCTACTGTTAAAGTTCCCCCGAATGGTCTGTCAGAGACTGCAAGAAAAAATCTGCAGATCCAAAAGGAAAGTGTGACTCAAGTGCTTAAAGCAGCAATGTTAATTAATGCTCAACTTCTGTCAGAGATGGAGATCCCTGAAAACTACATTGAATCCCTCCCTAAGGTAAAGGAGGAAAATTCCTGATGTGTCAATGTTGCACGAAATCTACTTTCATAATCCCTTTCTCATATTTATTTTTCATCGATGATGCTTTGCTAGAATGGGAGAGCTAGTCTTGGTGATTCAATCTATAGGAGCATCACAGTTGAATTCTTTGACCATGATCAATTTCTCTCCTCTATGGACTTGTCATCAGAGCACAAGATTTTAGACCTCAAGAATAGAATTGAGGCATCTATAGTAATATGGAAGAGGAAGATGAACCAAAAGGATGGAAAATCAACTTGGGGTTCTGCTGTTAGCTTTGAGAAGAGGGAACTCTTTGAGGAGAGAGTTGAGACCATTTTACGCATTATCAAACATCGGTATCCAGGACTTCCTCAATCTTCACTAGACATCAGCAAAATCCAATACAACCGGGTAAGTACTTAAATTCCGCTGATAGTAACAAAATTTATCCTCTTCTCTAGGTATTGCATGGTTATCATGTTCCATTTCATGGGAAAGAAAGATTGTATCCCAAGAGACTATCACCAATGTCTTGGAAACTTAAAATTTTTAGGATTTATATATTGTTGGCATCACAGGATGTAGGGCAGGCTGTCCTAGAGAGCTACTCAAGAATACTGGAAAGCTTGGCCTTCACGATCTTGTCGAGAATTGAAGATGTCCTCCATGCTGATTATGTTGTCCAAAATCCGAGTCAAACATCATGCATATCGAACGCTTCAAAGGATGAGAGCCAGCCTACTTCGGTGCTTGCAAGCCCAAGATGTGATGTGGAGACAACGAATTCGATGACCCTTTCGGATTTACTTACTTGGAGTTTAGATCAAAATGACTCTGAGGAAAATGCAGACTCGACAGATGACTTACCTAAAGAGGGTGATGAAAAGCACATGCAAAAACTAAGCATAGTGACTAACAAGAAGGTTTCATATCTTGAGAGCTTGGGTGGAACAAGAAGCCCAACGGCACGCCATTAATAGAGGTGAAGATTAATTAACGGAAAAGAATAGAAAAATTGGAAGCAGTTAGAGAGATAGAGATATAGAGTGTGATAGATGAAGGAATATAAAGTGTGAGAAAACCTGACCTTCAAATATAATTTTTCAACCGACATGGGATTACTCTGACTTGTGGGCTGCTTGTTACATTCTGTATTTCTATTCCTTCCCTTCTGTAAATAGGGAAGAAAACTAAAACTACGGAGTTTAAAGCATTCCATATATGCTATCTTTAAAAACCAAGAAATTAAGGGATTTATAGTTTGATAGCCATTGAAATATGTTTTTTTTTTTTTATCTTCACAATTCATGTTTCTTAAATGTCAAATACTATTACACTCAATAATTTATTTATCCCGTTGCTTGTGAATTTCTTGGTGATAGATCTGACTTAATGATAATATTGCAAGAATTCAGCAAACAGTATGTCCAGAGAATCAAGCATTTGTTACTAGAAACAGTTAGATTTTCTCAACAATGGCAATGGACACTATTAGTTCTTGAATGGCAGTACTGATATGTAATCAGAAGTGACAGGATCATTATCAAAGACCAAAGATTCTAAAACTGAAAGTAATACACCGATTATGCATGAAGCAAATGTCTTTGGATTGATAACAAAGGTAATTTTTTAGGATTACATGTTTCAAAACTAAAAGAATCGAAGATACATACAATGGAAAGCTAAAGAGTTCCACTAAATTAGATCTTGCCACGGGGACCGGGCTTTGGGGGAAGTTGTGGACCCTTCTTGATTGGTAAAAGGTCGTCAGAAGCGGTGGCACTGAGGAAAACAAGGAGGGAACCGCCTCCAAAGATCAGGAACTTGAGCAACAATCCTCTCTTGGTGAATGGAGCTGCAAATGTCTCAAAGAACTTGCTCTGCAGTTCCAAATGATTGTGCATAATGTTAGTTAATCTTAAAATTCTAGTACGTGCTTATCAGGATCATGGAAAACAACTAAGGGTTAATAAATATTTTATTGCAAATAAATATGTTGAATTTGACAGAACTTAAAAATTATTCTTGACCAATGACTGGCCAAGACATGCATAGCTGTATGCCTGACTTCATTTGAGAATTAAGGGGTCAAACCTGGAGAGGGTTATATGGGGAAGGCGCATCAGATCCATATAAGTCCCATTGCCCAGTTGTGTTGCCAATATCCTCCAAATCAAAGTAAACACTCTTATCACCATACTTTGCTACCACAGCACCGGCCCTATCAAAAACCCGAAAATAAAAAAAAGAAGAAAAGAACTAAAAAGATTAGCCACCTCACAATCAATTAGCCAAGTTAAAATATATATATTTATTTATGGGGCGAAAACATTAGGATTTCCGGGCAACAGAATTTCTTTGGTTACCTGTAGTTCTTGTGTTTCAAACTCTGGCGAGTTGGCTTGACAAAGAGCTTGGTTCCGCTGAGGGAGCTGCAACCAAGGCCCTTAATTGTCGTTGGTTGAACAGCAGCTAAGGTTGCAAGAGAAGCCATGGCCTTGGTTTTTGGTTCCTCACTGTTTTTCTTGCAGGAATTTAGTTCAGTTGGCAACGAGATATTTGGGCTTTTGATCGTCGCCAAGAATCTGAACTGGACACGTGGCAACTGGGTTTTCTTGGGAGGGATATGGAGTCCCATTTAGCTAGTGCCACGTAGATCCGGGCTTGATAAGGCTATCCATTTTATGATCTTCAAAAAAAAAAAAAAAGTAATAATGGGCCATCAGAGCCTCAAAGTATTATTAGGCTGTAATAATTTTTAAAATTTGCTTGTCGAACTGAATACTGATTCAGCTGCTTCAATAAGAATCCTTCTGAACGTCATCACACATTCATATAGTTAGTATTATTTTACAGATGAATATTCATATTTTTCCAAAGCAGTGATTGAATTTTCTAAAAGCCAATTGTTCAATACTAACAAAAAGTACATACAAAAGAGAAGTATATACAAAATAAACTAAAATTTACAAAGAATCAATAAGTCAGTAACTCTCACAAAGAAAATGCCTTTTCCTATGTTACCTGCGAAAAGTCCTATAATCTAAGAGAAACTTTTTCTATTTTTTAAGTAATGAAAAAGATCTTCTCTTATAATCTCCAGCTTATAGAATCAATTATATAATTGAAAATTTCCTTTGCTTCACGAGCCTTCCTTCTGAACTTCCTATTGTTTTTTCCCATTCAAATGAAATAGATGATTGCATTTCAAGCTAGTTTAAGTATTACCATCAGCAGAAAATTTTCCTTCAACAACTTTATCCAACCAAATTCATCTAACCATTCTCCCACATCCCTTTGAAATCCAAAAAAATGCAATACCATAAGCCATACCAACTTATTATAGGAGCAAGAGAAAAATAAATGATCTCTATCCTCACTCAGTTTGCTTACAATGAAAGCATGAACAATTTGCACGACGAAGGTTTCAAGAGGAAAGTTTGAGAAGAGTGGGCAGATGGCCATCCAAGCTATCAACACATACTTAGGGATATTATGCTGAAACCAGAGTACCTTCTCCCAGTCCATTTGTGGCTTCTTGTCTCGTATGGCTTTACAAATTTTTGTTACGTAAGTTATACATATCATATTTGGTTACCAACCACCTAGGCTCCATGAAGGGATTAGCTACATTGGAAGTGGAATCAATCAGGGAGGAAGCTAATTGCCTAAGCTTAAGCAACTTTTCCTTGCCCAACTACTGCTTGAACAACATTGGATATGCCAAAAACTAACATTCTTCATAATATAAGCCTTAACCCAAGCAACCCATATGGAACCTGCTTGAGTGAATAACATCTAGATGTGCTTGAAATGCATGCAGTGTTCTAGGCTGAAATTTCTTTGAGCCCTAATCCTCCTTCAGCTTCAGGATGACAAATGAATACCCAATTGACTCTTGCACCTTTAGCATCACCACTCTTCCCTTTCCAGAAGAAAGCTGAACACAGTTCTTAAGAACCTTCCTTGAAGAAGAAAACTGCCACACCAGAAGTTTTGCAGACTGAATAAACTGATTGGATCAGATTCAATTTACAAGCAAATGATAAATGATAACTGATAACTGCCTAGAGCCCTAGACCCCCAGCTATCAATCCTCATACTGATCTTTTCTACCAAAAGATGGCATTTTTTTCTGAAGCCTCCATGTAATCGAAGGCATTCCCAAATATCTGATTGGCAGACTTCTAATGTGAAAACCGGTAGTGTATTGAATATGAGCTATATCCGGTTGATTGATACCCGAACAAATTAGACATATCACATTTTCTTATATTCAATTACAGGCTAGAGAGAGTAAAGAACTGTTGCAATATTTTCAAAATGGACACAATAGAATCCACAAAACCTTTTAAAAAATCATAAGATCATCCGCAAAACAGAGGTGTTAATATTAAGGAGGATCAATATAATATAAAAAAGCTAATATTACAGTAAAAGGCCATCAAAACATATATATATATATATAGCTATATATACCAATTTTATTAAAAAAATGTGCAACTTCAAATTTTATTAAATAGATATATAGCTATATATACCAAATTTATTGTTTTTTTTATAAAAAAATTCGGGTGCAGACACGTTGTTATAACCCCAAATCAAAGTAAAATGTGCACCTTAAAAAATTTTATTGATTGCATTCGAAACTAATACCAACCAGACTTGAACCTAAACATTTTACAGCGAGGAAAGCATGCAGAAGCTCAACAAATTGAGCCAAACCCTTTCTCATACCAACCCGACAACCTGTTGATGACAATGAAACATATCTCCAAAATTATTGGGTACTTAAAACAAATAGAAAACTACCTTCTATAATTACTCTTCTAGCAAACAAACAAAACAAATTAATGCCTAGAAAAGGCCATGACAACTTCAAAACATGTCCCACGAGCACTATGTATATGGTAGCTCTTCTTTACATATTTTTAAGCAGGCAGGCAATTATTAAAAGTAAAGAAAAAAATAAACATTTGCTATCCTTCTTCTCCTTTCACCCAAAGGTTTCTATCACGTTCATTTCCAATGGAACGAGGAGTAATCTTTTTATGTTTTCTTTTGTTTGCACTTGATGCTGTTGATGGCTTCCCAATGAATGATTTGATAAGCAAACTGCCGGGACAACCAGACGTTAGTTTCAGGCAATTTGCTGGGCATATTGATGTGGATGAAAAAGCCGGTCGGAGTCTTTTTTACTATTTTGTTGAAGCTGAAAAGGATCCCATGAATCAACCTCTCACCATTTGGCTAACAGGAGGTCAGTTGCTTTCGACTACCGTAGTTTCTATAACTTTTTTACTTGATTTTTCTTTGCTTCATGATTTGACCCATAAATTTTGTAATTAATCAATGTTCTTTGAAAAACTTTATGAGCATTAACTTTGAAATCTAACGGATTTAAAATTCAAATATTAATACCTAAAACTCATTTTGTTATCTGCAATTTGCAACATTCTTTTTTATCTAAAATAAAAAAAGAAAAATTCATGAACTATTCCATGAAAAGAAGTTTGAATTTCTTGTATTGTTCAGGACCAGGGTGCTCTTCGGTTGGAGATGCGTTTGCAAGCGTTGGCCCTTTCATTACTACAAATAATGCCCGTGGTCTCCAGAGAAATTTATTGTCTTGGAACAAAGGTTGTCTGATTCTCTTCTTCCTTTTTAACAGGCAGCATGCAAATTGATTTACATAAAATTTGTTTCCCCTATATATTAAACTTCAACTTGTCAATTACGGTTATATGTTTCAGTGTCAAATCTCTTGTTCATTGACTCCCCTATCGGATCTGGATGGTCGTATTCAAACACAAGCAGTGATTATACTAATGGAGATGATAGCACTAGTAAGATCACCAAAAAAAAAAAAAAAATTTGTTTTTCCTTTTTACTTCAAATTGCTATTGGGCATTTTTTTTTTTCTCTTGTGTATATATATTCTGAAATTTTTCCTTTGTTGTTTCTTACAGATAAAAATTTGTTCACATTCATGCTAAAATGGTATGAAAAGTATCCAGATTTCAAGTCCAGAGATTTATATCTCGCCGGATCAAGTTTTGCAGGTGCAACAAATATTCATTCTTTTTTTTTCCGCCAACTGCATAAAATTTTTTTTTAAATGGATCAATAGATACTTAATGAATAATTAAATAAGAAAAAATGAAATTAATTTAATTTAATTTATTTGTACAATCACCCGTAAAAAATGACATATTGAATTTCAAATTTTAACATCCACAACACTTCTTTATCTTAAAATTGCAGCTTTTTTATAAAAAAATAAAAAATAAAAAATAATATTGTTTATTCATTGTATCGTCCATATAGGCAATGTACAATAATGTTACACAAATTCATAAATGCTAAGAAATTTTTGTGATTTACTTTTTTTTCAGGACACTTCGTACCTAATTTTGCTAATTCTCTACTTGATTACAACAAACAATCAAAGGGTTTGAAGTTTAACGTCAAAGGATTGGCCGTAAGTAAAAACTTTACCTTTAATTTATTTTGTTTATTTATTTTTTGCATAGACATCTGAGGTTGTTTATTTTTAAACCTTTTAAACATGCAGTTGGGAAACCCAATGCTTCGTAGAAAGCTAGACATTCTGGCAAGATTTGATTTCTTTTTCTCGCGGGGAATGATTAATAGTGAATTGCACCAACAAATCGTGAAAGAATGCAACGCCATCGACGAAAACAATTACTTTGCTAACATTGCGGTCGATTGGTCTGCGCCATGCACACAACTCATGAGTAAAGCACCTCTGGTTGCTTTCAAGACGGATGATCCTAGAGCCGCCGAGGGCAAACTCTTTGATGTCCTTCGCGATCATTGTGACGGAAACTTGGAAGACTTGAAGTCTGGCAAAGAGGTACTAAAAATTTTCTCTAGACACCTTTAAAAAAAAAAAATTCTGAATCCGCAGTCGACAATAAAAATTTTTACAGGTTACTATGGTTAGCTATGAAGTAGAAATGTGTCTTCCATTAAGGCCGGATTTCTATTTCAATCAGCCGGAAGTTCAAAAAGCCTTTCATGGGAACCGAACCAACTTGTCATATGCATGGAGTGGTTGTTTCTCGTAAGTTTTCCTATGAAACTTGAATAAAGTATATTCTTGTTCATTGAGTTGAATTGACCTACATTAACAATTGCTTACCCTGAATCTTCTTCTCATTATTATTATGTTTTAGGGACAATTTTAAGTACAACGAATCTGATAAAGACCTTGACATGCTTCCTGCGCTTAAAATGATTCTTCAACAATCGGTTCCCATTACAATATTCAGGTTGGTATCGTATGTCTACTTTTCTTATTATATGTCAAGTAAAAATATAAAATAAATATCAATAAACATGTGATTTGTTGATAGAGATCGATAGATATTAAAATATATAAAAAAAATGAAAAAAAATAGAAGTAAACGATTTTAGTAGAAATATTCATGACTGACTTTTTTTTTCTTTTTTATTGCATTTGATAATCATGTTACAGTGGGGATCAAGACGGTATAATACCAACAATGGGAACCTTAAACCATTTAAACAAGCTGGCTGAGGAATTAAATATCAAATTGATAAAAGATGAAGCTTGGAAACATGAAAACAAGGTTATTTGTTTATCCATTTGAACTTTGTTTTGATTATTTATTGTTTACCTTATAATTAGCTTAATTTAATTTAATTTTTTATTTTAATAAAACCAATATTGAACAGGATGGAGGATGGAAGTACATATTTGGAGACTTACTGACTTACATGACCGTCAAGGGAGCTAATCACCATGCCACATTTTCTCGACCATCCGAAGCCTTATTTATTTTCACAAATTTCACAATTAATCGAATGCATTGAGTTCTCCAATGGAAACTGAAGCTTTGATGTCCAGTTCATCGTTCAGCAACACTTCCTTTAATTTCGTCCTTTGATTTATTGACAATATTGTTGTAACTATAAGAAGTGGAAGCGAGGATTTTTATTGGAACGTGTGAATTTCATAAAATTATTTTATGATGCAATGATCTATTCTTTTTAATTAAGTTTGTGAAATGATTAGTGGTTCAATAAATTGTTGCAACCCATTTTAAGCTTAAAGAAAATAATAAAAATAAATTGACAAAAATTAAAAAAATCTATTATATTAAATTTGATTGATCAAAATTAATTAAATTTAATTTTTATTGGTTAGATTTTTGGTTTCTTAAATTATTAATAATTTAATTGATTAAATTAATTAATTTTTTAAATATATTATTTATGTAATATAAATATATAAAACTATTTTTATTTATAAAAATAATAAGGAAATAAAGGGAAAAAAGAAGAAGAAAAAGGTTAAATAAAATTTAAGAAAATAGAAGAGGATGGAAAAATAAAGCTTTGCGGGCACCGGCCTTTTTGTCCACTCCTATACCAAACCCCAAATACCGAATCCATATTAGGTAAAGAAAAAAAAAAAAAATCCAATCCCACCTTATCCCCGTCTTCAACTCGGGAGACGCTACCCCAAAATGTCAATAACTTGCTCTCTCCAATCTCTTAAGCTTTCATCGCCATTTCTCCATGGCTCAGCTTCCCTCTCTCTTCTCTCGAAACCAAATTCTTCTCTCTCTCTCCAATCTCGGAAAACCCCTACTTTTCCTCCTCCAATCAGGGCAATGAAATTCATGCAAGGCAAAGTTGTTTGTGCGACAAATGACAAGACAGTGTCCGTGGAAGTGGTGCGTTTAGCCCCGCATCCTAAGTACAAGAGGCGTGTCAGGAAGAAGAAGAAGTTCCAGGCTCATGACCCAGATAACCAATTCAAAGTTGGTGACTTTGTCCAGCTTGAAAAGAGCAGGCCTATTAGCAAGACCAAGAGTTTCATTGCTGTGCCTGTACCAAGTAGGAATGGGAAGCGGGAGAAGGCGGAGACAGGGGAGCTTGGGATTCCATTGGAGTCTGAACAGCCACAAGAGCAGTAGGCTTAGTGTTAAGCCCTTGGGGCGTGGCCCTTTTGTTTTGGTAAATTTGTGATCTTTTGCAAGTGTGTTAACTGTTTCGAATAACCACTTTTTCTTAATGTAATCATTGTTGTTTTCATGGGTATGGATTGTTTGTTGGGTTTGTCATGATATTGATGTTCATTGATCGAATTTTTCTGCGTTTATTTGAGTTGGGTTTCTTTTAGCCAGGATTGAGAGGCTATTTGAGTTTGGATGCTGATTGAACTATATTTAGGCTAGAAAATACTGGAGACAATTGGGATTGGGTTCTGAGACTTGGAATTGAAAGCGAGCAAAATGGTGAAATTGAAAAGAACATAATAATTATGTGGTATCACTTTAGTGTATGCTTGCTTTAGGAATGAATTACCTTTAGAAATTTTATAGATTTACTTCAACGACAAGGAGTGAAATGATCATGAAGTTAAGCTGCAATGGAATTGTTCTGTTCTTGTTTTGGTCTGAGAATTTGAGTCCTATACTTAAGCAGCAATGGAAAGATGTTTGACAATCTGTGAAATTTTGGGTTCTAGATTTGAGCACCAAAGCAAAGATGTTTGACAATTTGTTAGGGATACCGGATAATTAACAGTCTGTCTAATTATGCTTGATAACAACATTACTTTCTTTTTTTTGTACGTAGGATCATAGGGTAGGAGATAGTGAAAGAAGCGTTGGGATTTGAATTTCAAACTTGTTGTATGCTATCCATTAAGAGTGGTTACATGAAGTAATTGAATTAAGGTTCATAGCAACAGTACTTTTGTAGTGATGATGTTTGATGACAACAGTACTATTATAGAGATCACTGACTGGGTAAACTTCATGAAGTTTGATCATTTCAGTGGTATAAAACCCCCGAAATCCTTTAAAAAAACAGTGGATAATTCAACATATTTCAGGGATAAATCTTGCCTGATAAATACTCGCATTGCTTCACTGATTTTTCTCGCTGCTTGTTGTATTTAGTCTTGTTTTGGCCTTTAAACAATTCCAGGCTGCATAAGTTGGTAAAGCAATGAAGACAACCACAATATTGCATTAATGAATAGTAATTCTATACATGAGAATATTTCATTATCCTAGATCTAAAAAGATTTGTAATCCAACTCTATTCATCCAGCTTGCCCTCTAAAAATATGCCTGAAGTTCAAACCATCTTGTGCTAACCAAAGAACAGAAACAAGCCCACATAACAAAAATAGGTCATTTGCTTATACCTGTAAGTTGTGGGGGAAAGGAAAGTGAAATGAAAAACCTACGAGTTTTACAAATAAAGTCTACCTAATCAAGAAGGCTGTTGTGATCAACCATCTTCACATTGCAAGCTCGTCTTAATGTTTCCCACTGTGCAAGATATTAGTGTGTTGACAGATTCCACAGATTCCTTGGTGAGTTTTGCAGTTGGGGAGCTGTTTGTTAGGATTTGGAAAGCTATTGTAAGCAAAGATCCTCCTTCGGTATCATTGCTCTTCTCGTGCTTGGAAGTGATCACTAAAGGCCTTGACTCCAGCCCATCAGGAAGAATGGAGAACCCTGAAGGTAATATGGCCATGTTGCTTGAATCGCATCCAGTAATCACTGACTGCATAGCAGTTATGTCCACGGGAGCAAAGACCACCATGGATTCAAAAGCATTAGTGCAACTGTCTTGGAGCACCCATATGCTGTTCTCTTTTGACTTCATTGTCTGAACAGAAAACATAATGCATTTTAAGAATGCTGCGTATGATTCAGAGAAAGTACATTCTATGGCTTGCCGGGTTGCAGGATTACAAAGAAAAAAAAAAACTAGGTTTGAATTATTCTTTCTACCTGGATATCGATAACTTACTTGAATTGTAACTGCATTGCCACGATGTTGCCCTTTTGCCAAGTTTGCAATGGACTGGACGGGGCCTCCGTTTGACATGATATCCCACTAAAGTTTTGCAGAAGAAAGATGGTTAAATGATTATTCATAACAATTCTTGTTTTATGATTTCTAACAACTGATTCTAGTGATTGCATGCATCAAGGCAAAGTTGTACACTATAATACCTCATTGCGACGAGCTTCATCTCTCAAGAAATCAAATAAGAGATTAGGAGAGACAGGCAACCAAACGGAAGAAACTGCACAGACAATCACCCCGAGAGGTTCGCCAGGGTCATTTAAGTTTTTCCTGGAAGAAACTCTAATGTCTTCCCCTGTTTTGCCGGAGACTTTGTTCCAAGTATGATAGCTTGATGCTCCAATTGCATAACAAAAGCTCCTTGTCATTCTTTGGGCCAACTTCAAAATGCTCTTCCTCCCAGCCAATGTTGCAACGCCTAGAATTCATTACGGTCTTATTTGAAAATTTTCTATTGCTGAACATACAAAATTGTTAATTCGCCATCATAAAATGGATATATTTGAACTTACCATTTGAATCCTTAGTTGGAACATTGGTTGCCATGAAGAAAACAAGCCGTTCACACTGAAGTTGCAATGTTGCCATCCAATGCCTTGCACCGAAGGCTAGACCACTGCTAACAACAGTACGGTACATGGTATGAACAGCGCTTTTCTGGCATTCAAGGTGTTCCACCCAAGTCACCTGAAAATTTGTTGAAATGATCCTCATACGCTTTGTTATAAAAATGAAATCATCAATTCATCTTGCTTCAAGCAAGAAAGAAAGTCAGCAGTAAATTTTCCGGCAAAGGAAACCACCAATTTCCTATAACAGCTATGTGCAAACCTTGCAATGGCCATTGGATTTATCCTCGATGATGCAACCTGACGGACGTTTTCTGAATTTTACCAAGGATGCATCAATATTTTCTTCAACTTTGTCAATAGAAACATCGACAATTGCCCATTGTTCAGCGCTCAATTGCTTGCAATACCGGACAAAATACACTTCTCTAGTAGGCACCAAGGGTGTCAGCATTTGCAGCTCCGCAAACATCTACAACAGTAGCCCATTTCATATTACCAAACATTAACATATATTTTTTTCTACTTTAAATAAATCTTGCAAATCGTATATTTTTAATTGTCTAAGTTTAGATGAATAATTAATATGAGTTGGTATATGAATTTTGGAGCCATTATCCCAAGAAACTTTGGAGGGTCAGTGACTGAAGCCTAATAAATGTCAAAAAAAAATTGACGTTCCGCTGAGTTTAGTAGTGTCGGTTAGTTGATTTTGGGTTAGGCCCACAAAAGAATTAGGTTTCGACTTTTCACGTGGGCCACTTGGCTATAAAAGAAAAGAAAGAAGAAAAGCGTACAAAGCAGTTTCTCAATAAAAAGTAGGTTGAAACGTGGGAAGTTGCTTCGCAGGTTCTTGGCTGTGCCCCAATGCCAACTACTTAATTTATTCAATGACAAATTAGCAATCAATTTCAAAAGTTCACAGCTGTTCAGCATTTTTTTTTGTTGTTGAATTTCATGTCTTACTATAATTTAACATTAACATTTAAACATGGATTTGATTTTATGTTAATTACTTGAAGTTACTAATAAACTGTTATGAAGAGAACTTTAATAATAATTCCAAAAAAACAAAAAAAATTAAATCGGATTAATTTTTTGATAGCAAACACAATGTCGAACTAAGAAAATCATTTAGATTGAGTTTAAAAGCATTTTCAATCATGATTTTTTTTAAAAAAATTTTTTTTAACCCATATGAAATACTCCTAACATTAATTATTATATTAGGAAATACTAGCTTTTTTTTTTTTTTTTTGACTGCATGTGAGATTAAATGATTGTATTCTACCAGAAATAAAGAGCATTTTCCCGCTGAATCAATAACAGCCAGTCCACATTATCTCGAAACAAATAAAGAGAGAAGTGATAAAGGACAGAGACAAGACAACTTACCAACTGTACGGAACCATTTCTGTTAGGAGCTTCACCATTGCAAATAACATCAACAGTAGCTGCCTTTGAGATTATGCATGGAAACATTTCCTTCCATTGATTCTAAGGACGAATTAAAAATCACAAATAAAATTAGCCAATGATATGCGATTCTTTAAAAAAAAAAAAAAAAACTAAAAAACGATATTTTATAGCCACTTTCAAGTCCCATTTGAAATTTCGTTGAAACACTCTCACAACTGAAAAATATGTTTTATAATTAAGCCTTTGATGACTCCAAATGAATTGTAAATATAATTTTTATTAAAGATAAGTTTTACAAGCAACATTTTTTTCGGTTGGTTGATGCAAGATCTTACTCAGAGAGCAAAATTATACTTAGAAAATACCCTTTTCCCCAAATTATAAAAAAAATGGAGAAAAATTAAGAGAAATGCTACTATGCATATTCTTACCACATCCATGAAGCTTTGAACTAGCCTTGGGAGATCAACAAAAACTACCCCAGTCTCTCTAGAGGCTTCAATGGATCTTTTTGGCCTTCCATTGCTTGAATTTTCAACAGAGAACTCTTTGACATACTCATCATAGTTAAGTATCTCCCGACGAGTCTCAACGCTTCGAACCCACAATGGTTCACCAGCGGTAGCCATCTTCTTCAACTCTTCCATTGCTTGGTTAACAATCTCCATAATTCTCGACTTTTCAAGCCCAAAAATTCCACTGTAAAAATCCAATGAACTCCTGTTTTCTTGGTCATTTCCTGCTGAGCATGAACTAGTCGATGCTGTCCCTGGAGGGTATTTACCTATTACTGTTCTCAGTTTTTCTACCTGCAATTAATATTTTGAAAAGAAAATCTTCTCAGCTATTATAATATATGAACATTAAATAAAGGTTTTTAAGGGAAAAAAAAAAAAGAAAGATTAATTTCATCGGTTAGATCTCTAGACCTCGGCTTTGAGTTTGGCATTCTCGATACGTAGTTGTTGTTCTTCGGTTGTCATGGAGTCATCTTTGCTGGTGGTAGCCATGCCACAGTTGGGGCAACAAGCTTTATTTATGGTCTTCCTCATGGCATTGTTTTCTTCCTGAAGTTTCTCCAGCTCTTGCTTCAACAAGGAATTTTCATGGCGCTCTTGTATAGCCTGCAAATTGGCTACTCCATTAACACTACCAAACAAATGATATGCAAAAATGCAACATGAGTAATAGGGTTTGTTGAGAAACAATCTGATTTAAACCAAAGTTTTCTAAAAAAAAAAGGAAAAAGTAATGAATGAATTAGATGAAATGAAAACAATATAACTAGGATTACCTTGATTTGTGTTCGACGATTTTGAAACCAGAACTTGACTTGTCTTGGAGCAAGGCCTAGTTGTTTACTCAATTGCTGCCTCTGCTTCTCATCTGGATGGGGTGATTCCTTAAACAGCCTGGAAAGACATGTATTTGTTCATGCAAAGAGAAAAACATTCCTTTAATTTGTTGAAGGCACAAAAAGAACAAATCTCATCATAATCTTTGATTAATGTCAAGCAATTAGAGAACAAGACAGACATCAGTTCAGCCATGAAAAAAAAGAATGCTTTTCGTACATACGATTTTTTTTTAATCAATCTTTCATGAAAAAACAAAGCTAGAAAAGGCTATTAAAGTCACCATAAAATTTTGAGTCATCTTTAACTTTATAATCTTGTTTTCTTTTGCAAGCATGTCACTAACTTTTTTAGCATTAAAAAATTTTCCATACTCAAATCTTATGTATGTACATGTATATATGTATGTGCCCACATACACATACACGTGCCATAACAAGAGAAGTATATTAAAAAAAAGATAATTAAATGGGAGATTTACGCTTCCATTTCTCTGATTTGTTCTCCGGTGTGACGATGATACTTCTTTCTCTTCTTCTTTTTGGTTTTGTCGTCATCGTCTTCATCATCGTCGTGATCTAATAACTCATCTTCTGAGCGTGATCTTGCAGGACCCGAGTTCTCACTACTAATTTCAACAGTATTTTCTCTTTTATTACCTGATCCTCCTCCACTTCCTTCATCTCCTTCCTCCACCTCCACACTGGCGGCAGCTGCAGCAGCAGCACCGGCTTCCCGGAATATCCCGGCCTTTTTTCAATAACAAAATAAGCGTAAAGAATAAGCAACAACAAACCATAGAAGGTGAAAAAGAGGTAGCCATGTAAAAATGGACTTACAAAAAAAAAAAAAAGCAAACTTACAAGGCTGAGAGAGAGGGCGGGAGAAGCAAAGAAGTCTTTGGTGGGTGGGTTTGACATGTCGACTCCCATGGCAATATGGGATTGGATTAGGTGATGCAATGGTTTTAAGGGGTGGAAGAACAATGAAGGGATGGACAGAGAGAGAGGAATTGATGTGGGGTCTTACTGATTTAAGGATATAAAACAAAAATGAACTCACCCTAAAGCGGTTCCCATTCTTTTCTTTTTTGTTTTAAGGGGAACAAAATTTAAAGAATTTCTCTCATATCTTAGCGTTACAGTGAGTGAACAGGAGAGGGGAGAGAGGAAAAGGCTGGTAGGAGTTGACTGTTAGATATTCTTTGTGGAAATGTGAAGACTCAACTACCTTTAAGCGGTTGAATGGAATCAAGCTGATCTCCAACGGTATTTTCAGTTTAGATAATACTACAGGCTCCCTGGCTTGCTGGCTCCAACCATTGGCTCAATTATTTCATCATACATGGAACAAGAAATTTTAAAAAATAAAACATATTATAATCTTTTAATTATATTTGTTGAAGACACTTCAAACTTATATATATATATATATATGTTAAAATTTGAGATTTTTAATTTAAAAAAATTTTAAATTCAAATCTTGACACGATGAATATGGAAAAGATGTACGTAACACATGATTTATATATTATTCAAAAGCCTTGAATATTATTATGAAATAATACTGCAGTAATTTGGCCAACAATCTTGATTATTACTATAATAAAATATAGCAAAATTGAACTGTGCATTATAAGTTTGATGATTTTAATTTTATGTATTATTAAAGAGAATAAATGTGTGTGCAAAAATCATTTCTTTGATTTTCTCATACATGTAGCCTTATATGCTAGCTTCACCAGTTAAGCCTAAGAAGGAATATACCTTTTTTAAAAAGAGGATATTAGTTTACGAATAGAATAAGTCACGGTTATTGAAATTTTAACTCAAAATTTATTAAATCTTTTAAAAGTAATTACATAAATAATTAAATAAAGTTTTGAATTGATATATTATCTTTGAAATTCAACAAAAGTTTCGATTTATCAATTAATTGTAGCTCATTGCTAGTAGAGATAATTTTTCTTTGATACTATAAATAATAAATAATTTGGGGATTTTTTTATAAACTCAATTTAATTTTTAATTTTACAAGTAAGATTAAAATATTTTACATTAATTAGTTTTTTTTAATATATCCCTAAAGATATAATTGCTCTGTTAAGTCTATTTGTAAAGTTTAAAATTTAAAATTTAATTGATAATGGATTAGATAATTTCTCATTAATTTATATATAAACATATAGACATAAAGGCGGCTTTCATTCATTGTTTGGGCTACCTCCAAATTAAGATGATCAAAACTACTTTTCTTTACTACTGTAAATTTCATACCTAATGGTCCGAATACATTTTTTTTTAGCTACACAAATGAACAAATCTGGTCTAGAGATTATAAAACCTCTATTAAAAAATTTCTGAAACAAGTAATTAAATATTAATTAAATCAATTAATCAAATCTAAAAGATGCGTGTCCATATTCTCTAAAGATTAATTAATTAGTATCCTATAAATTTTTAAATCAATCCATTTTACACTCATAGAACTTATAAAAAATTAATAAATTATGTTTTTTGTCTTTAATAAAAAAATAAATTCATAAATGATATAATAAAAAAGTTAGGAAGTATTGAAAATCATAGATTAAATTTAACATATTGATTGTAAATCAATAAATTTTCATTAAAAAAAAAAAGAAATTAGCTTAGCTTAGCTGAGCTGAGCCAGATAGAGAGGAAACGGCTTACCTATAGTAAAAGTCAAACCGTACATTTATTAATTAAGAAGCCAAAAAAATATAATATGAGAGAAGTTTGTGAGCCGTGTAAGTTGTCTCTTGCTCTTTTATTATTAAAATTCATATTATATTATGATTATTTATTATTATATTTCTTTTTTGTCTTTATATCATTTAAAGGGTTGAATTTTCCTTCAAAATTTTTGAAAAAGAATCCCTCTCCCAATGTTCCAAACATGGTTTAATTAGTCAATTCTTAATCTTTTAATCTTTAGACTTTAGGAGATAATTACAAATTTATATGCTAATATTTTTTTTTACAACTACTAGCACCATCAAATATAAAAACAAAATTTTATATTTTAATATTTTAAATTTTTTTATTTTAAAATTGATATTTTTTATATAAAAAATTATGAAAAACAATTCAACCTTTAACATATAATTCTCATTATGCATTAAATTTTGCTTTCAATGAAGTTTTTCTTTTGGCTTAAAAAAAAAAAACCCATTGCCTTGGAATGATCATGATAATTAAATACTACAAAGTATATGTTTATTACTTTCAAATATGGCTAAAAAATTAAATTAAAATATGAATATTAAAATCTTTTAATCCTTTAAAATTGTATACTTTGAATGAGATAATATTTTACTCTTTTAAAGCCAATTCTTCCTATTTCCTAATTATTTAAAAAAAAAATTGGCTACCAAGGAAAGTGACACCCTTCTAAATGACAATGTGTTGGCATCAAACTGAAATCTGATTGGGCAAATAATCCACTTTCGGTTTCACTAAGTCTGAAAAAGTTTAAGAGGAAAGAGAAATAATAGTAATGGAGACAATGGGAAAAAGAAATTTATTTAGTAATAATTTTTCTCCCCTTTTCCTTCCCCATTTTTCTCTCTTCAAAATCAAATTTTCTTTTGAAATTTTCAAGTGGTTTTTGTAAGACATTGAGAAGAAAAATGAAAAGTAATGAAAAGTAATTTTCAAAAGCATTTATTGTCTTTGTTACTCACTAAAACACCGAGCTCAAAGTTAGAGAAGGAGGGGAAGAAAGAGGAATCTCCTTTCACCGCGTAAACCCATGGCTATGTCAGCATGGTATTATTTATAAGAGATTGTATAAGAATATGGGGCCCTTCATAACAGACAAATTTTGGTTTAGCTAAGGATGCCATGTAGCTTTTGGGAAAGCTAACTTTTTTTTTTTTCTTTTGGATTGAACTAACAATGTTCTTTGCTTTGGAGCTCTTGTAAGAGGTATATAGATTGAAAAGTTATAGACAAAATCCAAATTAAGCTTGAGTTATTATTTTTCAAATATGATTAGAAGTATTTAAAAATTTTTTTGACCCTAATTTTATTTAAAATAATTTTAAAAATGCACTCTTTGACGTAAATTTATTGTATTTAAAATTTTACTAAAAAAATGCTCTTCACAGAAATCGATTCATAAAGAAAAAAAAAAAACTTCTTTTACTAATTGATCTAATTCTTAAGGTTATTATCATCTTTAACTAGAAGGCTGCCTCACTTTGGGTGGAATCACTTTTTTTTTTTAGAAAATTTATTTATAAATAATATTTATTTAAAAATTTTAATAGTAGTAATATTAACATAAAGATAATTATTCCTTAAAAATCTTTATGTAGTTACCTTTTATATACAGTTGTTGATTATAGATAGATATTAATTTCATTATGTAAACATTGAACTTTTTTTTTTTTTTTTTCTGTTTTCAATTGCTTATGGGTATGATAGAAACTTAATTCGAGTTGATATTATTCAAAAACATATATATATTTATATAATTAATGGGGGTGCTATAATGAGCCTGCAGCATCCATAATTAAAGTTTTGGTGGCATATGGGTTATGATTAAGCTCATCTGCAATTCAACTTGGACATATATCAACTTTTTTCTTTTTTTTTTTCCTGCTTTGGTAGTTAGGACTGGTAGCAATATGAGGCAATCACATGGTTCCCATAAAAATTTTAAAATAATAGACTAGAGTATTAATTGTTTTGAGGTTTCTTATAGGTTTCTCTCTCTCTCTCTCTCTCTCTCTCTCTCTCTCTCTCTCTCTCTCTCTCTACTTTATCCTTCTTTTATCATACATTCCTAACATTTTTTTTTTTCAATCATCTAATAGGGAAAGCAAAAGGAGAAAACCAAGAAAACTTACAAGCAACAACCAAAAGTATCTTGCTTTTTTAATTTTAAAGTCTTTTGCATAGAATTCTTCCGATGCAAGGTTTGGAGAGCAAAAAAACAAAATGAAAAATATAAGAAATTTCATGATGTGGTGCCCTGTCGATAAAATACTGAATTCTTAGTCCCAATGATCAGGATTCAAATCCTGATAATCTCAAGTTTAAAAAGTTGGGGAAAAGGTGTGACAATTTCAAAAAGAAAAAATGTTAAGCTAGGAAATATATAATAGAATGATGAGATTATTGAAAATGGCTACCCAAGAAAGAGGCAAAGTTTGCAAATTTTAAGGAAAAAAGGAGAAGCTATTCGTAAAAAGTTGACAAAGTGACATTGGTCCATGAAAAAATTGACCATGACTAACCCATGCAAAGAAACATCATTAAAGGATGCATTTAACAATCAAATAAGAAAGCATAATGCCCAAATAGTACAGCAACTGCTATTGTTCATACTTAAAGTAACTGATAAATACTTCCAAGAATTGCAGTAATTCATTTCCTGGTTTATAATTTCATTCAACAATAGAGATTTAGTCTCATATCTCTTTGCTTTAACAAAGCAAAGTTACATTATAGTTCTGATTTGTGTCCTGTCTTTAAATACATGTTATTTTTCAATTCTATTACTAAGGTAAGAGATCTGAAAATAATGAAAAAAAGGTTTCTTTTTCCCCTCATGACAGAAGATTTGCAAAGTTACAAGTTCAGTGACAGCAAAATAGAGATTGATGTTAGATGTGAGATGAAAGATGGTATAGGTTCATCAGCTGAAACAAAGGCAGTTGTGAGCATTTAACTCCAATTTCTTCCCAGGTGTTCTTGAGTCTTCAAGATTATCATACAACAAACAAGAACTCTTGCAATTAAGCACAAAATAAATGAACAACTTCCAATATAGTAATTTGCCTAGGCTAAGAATGATGAGATCATATTAAATTACAAATTTCCAGTAACTACAAATTCTAAGATGCCAAGCAAACTGGATGGATCACACACTGATCCCATAGGCATGCTAAAAAAAAAAAAAATCAATATGAGGATGTCAATCGAGAATTGAGTCAAATAAGGATGCCATAATGATCTCTTTAAACACAAGCAGCGTAATGTCTGCAAGATCATGATATTATGAAAAAGGCTTTTAACTTCCTATCCAACTCTAGTGACAGTTAGTTGTTGAAGAGTAGATGAAATG